AAGGTTTTGTAGTCAGATGACCTTTGGCCCATCGGTCTCTTGTTTATGTTGAAAATTTGAATTTACAATTATGTAAGAATATCTTTGTTTTTAGATAATTAAATCAGATCTCGCCTCTAGCCCAGTAAACTCTCTCTCTCTCTCTCTCTCTCTCTCTCTCTCTCTCTCTCTCTCTCTCTCTCTCTCTCTCTCTCTCTCTCTCTCTCTCTCTCTCAATATTATTTACTCTCTCCATTTCAATACATTCTCATACTGTTTTTTTCTCTCTCATTTTGTGGTATGTGTGGGTGTAAAAGTTTGTACTTGTATATTTAGTAATGGTGATGATGATGACTGAGTGAAAATGATTGTACTTGGATGATACTGATTGTATATGGTATGATGACGAATGTACATGGAACGATGTTGACTGTGGATGGTGATGAAGAGTATGCATGTGGTAATGTGATGATGATGATGATGAGTGATAATAATGATTGTACATGTAATGATAATGATTGTACCATGGGTGGTCGGGTGGCGCAGTGGTAAGACACTCGCCTTTCACCTAGCCGACCCGTGTTCGATTCCCGGAACGGACGTGGTAATGTAAGGGGTCACCTGCCCGACCACGTGGGTTTTCCCCGGGTACTCCGGTTTCCTCCCACAATAAGACCCCTCGCCACTTACACTAGGGCCAACAAGAGTGATTAGTATAAGTTGACATAACTTGTTCCGCAATTGTTGTAAAATAGATAAAGCTTATGCATATGTTTAATGATTGTGCATGGAGTGATGAGGAGTGTATATGAGATGATGATGAGGAGGATGATGATGTTGTTGATTGTACAAGGGATGATGATTGTACAATAAGACGATGAGGTGTACAGGTGCTTTGGTGTGTGAGGTGCGCAAGGTTGTTTATCTGTATGTTTAAAATGCTTTGAAAAATTAAATAGATATAAAAAAATACCTTTGTTTGTGTATTCATGTTTTGTATTATTGAAACTTCAACCAAAATGTTATTTTCTTTGTACCAGGATTAAAAGTGGATCATTTATATGTTTGATGACTGTGATATTTTATGATCATGATAGCAGATATATCTGAGGTCATTTTGTCCATTCATTCTCTCATGAAAACTGTGACAAATATATTGAGTTGGAAAAACGTTGGTTATCTTTTATTGGGAGCAGTATTCGTGCATGATATATTTTATTATTTGTTCTTTTTTTTTATAAACAAAAGTGATATGGGGCGCACCTCGTATATTTGGATTAATATCCTCACATATACGGTTTTAAAAGGTACACCACAAAAGTGCTCTTTGTACTTTTTGCAGCTCGCATGTTGAAATATGCACAACTACCTCTCCAACCATACGTACGTGTGTACAGTGAGCTGCTCAATCAAAAAGTACTGGTGTATAGTTCTTCCATGCTGTAAGTGTGATGTAAACCAATCTATGCACTTCCCTGTAACTCTAGGCAATGCGAATGTACAGCGAGCTGCTCAACCAAAAAGAGCTTTGTGTAACTCTCCTAGCCGTGTCAGTGTGTGTGAGGGAGAAGGTGAGCATTTTATATCATAACATATTCTCTGTAGACGGAGTGTATAATTCGACACGATATTTCAAGTTCACGTGTGAAGTTATTCAGTAGTACACTACTAAGATTAGTGGTATTAATGTCTGCAACTCTCGTGAGAACTTTAATTTTCACATTTTAAAAAAACCCACAATGAATGTCAACTATGACAGCAAATAGATAAGCTGTCTTCTTTATGGTCAAAAGGCCAAGATTTCGAATACCCTTGAAGAGTATTTTGGAGTTATTTGTAGACGGTAAATACTACACCAAAATGACAATGTATGGTCCTCTGTATGTTTGATACCTATTATAGTTGTGTTGAAACTGGATCTACACTGGTCCTCTGTATGTTTGATACCTGTTATAGTTGTGTCAAAACCGGATCTACACTGGTCCTCTGTATGTTCAGGGACATATCTGTTATAGTTGTGTCGAAACCAGATCTACACTGGTCCTCTGTATGTTTGATACCAGTTGTAGTTGTGTCGAAACCGGATCTACACTGGTCCTCTGTATGTTTGATACCTGTTATAGTTGTGTCGAAACCGGATCTACACTGGTCCTCTGTATGTTTGATATCTGTTATAGTTGTGTCGAAACCGGATCTACACTGGTCCTCTGTATGTTTGATACCTGTTATAGTTGTGTCGAAACAGGATCTACAATGGTCCTCTGTATGTTTGATACCTGTTATAGTTGTGTCGAAACAGGATCTTCACTGGTCCTCTGTATGTTTGATACCTGTTAATAGTTGTGTCGAAACAGGATCTTCACTGGTCCTCTGTATGTTTGGTTCATGTTATAGTGGTGTCGAAACCGGATCTACACTGGCATTGTTTAAACTATCTGGGATTTGTTGTCTTTAGTCAGGGCAAAAAGACACCAATGAACATTTTCACTAGATCGTTTTGATAATATCTTTAATATAATACAACACGCTTAATTGTATAGCATATATAAAATTATTACACCAAATTAAAATTCACATGGACTACAAAGATCTTTGCATCTCGTGTTAGGTCCTGTCAAATGGAGGTATGAAATACATATACAGTTGACTTAAATTCATACGGAAGACATTAAAACTCATTGATAACGAGCAAAATACAAAATGAAATGATCACATTTGTGTTCAATGAATGGAAAGCATTTGTCTTTTCATTGACATCTAACTTTCAGCTAGGATTTCACAGGGCAGCTTTCATATTGCTAATAATGTGGGAGGAAAATTGGTTAATTTTTTTCGTGTGACAACTTGGGCTACTACAAAGTTATATTCATATCAACATTATTGTGCACTGTACTCGAGTTAACTCCCCTTGAAATCGAACTGAACTCGTACGCTCAATGGCGACAACAAGCAATTTTAGCTTTTAGCTCACCTGGCCCAAAGGGAAATTTAAGGTCATTGGGGTTAGATTTGGTAAAATAGTTAATCAACTTCTTCTGATTAGCCAAAAACCCATCATATTTGGCCATTAAAGGCTTATATACAAATGACTTATTTTGGACTACTAAGGGACAGAACCCATATTGCTTTAAGCATCTACTGTGGAACATATGCACAGATATTGTACAGTTGGTCATAAAGATCCAGGTAAGCGATACAGGCCCTCTGGGCCTCTTGTTCACACTTTATGTTTTATTAGTGTTATAGATGTTGGTATCTTGTACCCAGTTCAGCATTCCTTTGTTCATACTTTGTTTTATAGCTCTTATAGTGTTATTGTTGTTATAGATGTTGGTGTCTTGTAACCAGTTCAGCATTCCTTTGTTCATACTTTGTTTTATAGGTGTTATATATGTTGGTATCTTATCCTATAGCATTAAGAGGTCTAGAGGGCCTGTATCACTCTATAGCATTAAGAGATCTAGAGGGCCTGTATCACTCCTATAGCGTTAAGAGGTTTAGAGGGTCTGTATCACTCTATAGCATTAACAGGTTTAGAGGGCCTGTATCATTCCTATAGCAGTGAGAGGTCTAGAGGGCTTGTATCACTCTTTAGCATAAAGAGGTTTAGAGGCCCTTATCACTAATATAGCATTAAGAAGTCTAAAGGGCCTGTATCACTCCCTATAGAATTAAGAGTCTGGAGGCCCTATATCACTCCTATAGCATTAAGAGAGCTAGAGGGCCTGTATCACTCTATAGCATTAACAGGTTTAGAGGGCCTGTATCACTCCTATAGCATTGAGAGGTCTAAAGGGACTGTATCACTCCCTATAGAATTAAGAGGTCTGGAGGCCCTATATCACTCTATAGCATTAAGAGGTTTAGAGGGCTTGTATCACTCTATAGCATTAAGAGGTCTAGAGGGCCTGTATCACTCTATAGCATTAAGAGGTCTAGAGGGCCTGTATCACTCCTATAGCATTAAGAGGTTTAGAAGGCCTGCATCACTCTATAGCATTAAGAGGTTTAGAGGGCCTGTATCACTCCTATAGCATTAAGAGGTCTAGAGGGCCTGTATCACTCTTTAGCATTAAGAAGTTTAGAGGCCCTGTATCACTAATATAGCATTAAGAAGTCTAGAGGACCTGTATATCTCCTATAGCACTTAGAGGTTTTGAGGGTCTGTATCACTCCTATAGCATTGAGAGGTCTAGAGGGCCTGTATCACTCTATAGCATTAAGAGGTTTAGAGGGCCTGTATCACTCTATAGCATTAAGAGAGTTAGAGGGCCTACATCACTTACAAAAATATTTCAACCAAAATGGTGAAATATGCTTTCTGAAAACAGTAATGTAATATACCATATTCTGTGTACAAAGGTGCTAATGTATATAGGAAATTATTGCTTCATGCCCTGTGAAAATTTCAAATGCACGATGTGGCAAAATAAAATTATTCAAAAACACAATATCCTCTATCTAACACAATAAAATATCTAATTAATACTAATGTTCTGTCTTTATATGAAAAGAACAAGTAGAATCATATCCATTCTTTCTGTATTGAGTTTCAATCCATGCAAAACATACAATCTACAAGAATGCTTGCGACTCAATGAAACATCTGTACTTAACATCAAGTTTAAGTATCAGATTTACAAAGTTGTTATAAGGACAAAAATACTAAAACCATGAAAATCTCTGTGTAAATAATTTCTATTTCTTCGCTCTACCAAGAAATTCTTATTGAAACAAATGTTGATTTTTAAAAGTCATGACATAAATGGTGGCAGATATATGCAAATCACAAAATTTTGATGTTGATTCCAAACATGTACTGAGACGTTTTGGATATTAATTTTTCTGTAATCTAATAAGACGCCTTGATAAGGCTGTATTGATCAGATACATTATATACTATCTTGTAAAGGATGAAAAACTTGATACTCAATTGTTTCACAATAATTCATCAACATCTGAAATTATCAAACTAATACAGAACATATAACAATGGAAATAAATAGGAATTGATCTCATCAACAACATTACACACAAAATCAGGACAGTTACAAAATAAATTAAAGCAATGTAGATACTATACTAGTGCATACATTATACACTATTCACATAATCAGTAAAGTATAAATTGATTATGATGGTAAATTATATTGTACAATTACATGTGCAATAGTAATATACAAATGGCAGTGTTACAGCGTGTATTTCTGATCACATATAAAGTATTGATAACGGTTTTTAAATGTTATAGAAAGTCATTTTTGAATCCCAATTCACTCTTCAAACACTCCCCCGACCAGAGCCTCACACCCCTCCTTCAGATACACACTTCACTTCTTACAAACCATTTCCCTTTCATTTTTATTCTGTATCCTAATAGCTCCTAAATACTGTACTCCAATCCATACACAGTATCCATATTCTAGAAATCCCACTCTAAATCAATACATAGGATGCCTAACTACGGTATATCCTCCCAAAATTAATTCTATATCACAAAACTTTGATTACAGTTCCTGCTTCAATCTACTAGCCAGCTATGACTTGCCCCAACAATGGTTACCCACACTTCCAAAAAACATTTCTATTCCAACATCATATATCCTTCCTTATTCAAACTTTTCCTTCTTATATCATACCCTAACAGTTCCCTAAATCTTATACAAAACCCCTACCCTTATTCTGTGTGTGTATAAGTTCCATATCTCTTATTGAACACGTTATGAGATGTACTGTTACTGTACTTTGGAATCATAAACATCTCAACTCCTGGTAAATCACTTCAAAATCAATCTTCTTATTTATAACGGATTCAATTCTTTAGAATGAAATAAAGAAAATTGTTTCATGATTTCCTGGAAAATATATCATTTTTGGTTCAAAATTGATATTGAACTGTGAAATTTTGAACTATAAAAATAAACATCTATGATATATATAAGAATTCACTCTCACTAAAAAAATTCAAACTAGTCAGAATATTCATATGGCTCTGTTGCTTTCAACTTGCGGTCTTTGATACAGTCATATACAAACATCTCACAAACAACTGGCACCTGAAAAAAAAAGGAAGAAAAATCTTTATAAATTACAATTACATAAAATACCATTCACAAAGATATTCAGTATGTATGATTACATAAACATCATTGGTAATGAGGTCAACGGTCAGTAGTCCTGTATTGCTTACCTAGTTCAGAACATGAATTGCAAATGACTGTATGCTTTTGGGGTGGACATCTTTGATTTCTGAGCTTGACAATTTGGAGAAACCAAGTGCAAACAGATGTGCGTTGTAATCACCTTGAAATATGTTTTAATCAATCTGATAACTAGGTAGACATTTTGTATCTCTTCCTTATCTATCTTGTTCTAACTTGCTCAAGGAGTAAAACGGTGAGGAAACTACAATTTATTTTCATGAGTCAACGTTATTGCTAAAACAATGGGTCCTGCAATGTAAAATTTAACAGTATCAAGAAATTCTACAGGTCCCATCAAAATTCTATGAGTACAGGACCAGGACTTGCATGCAGATCAATCACTGAATCAAATTCCCTTCGCTAAAATTGTATTCAATACAAATGGAGTTTCAATGAAAAATTCAAGTATTTGTTTCACTCTGAAGCTCTTCCATAAGGTAATCTCTATACATGTATTTGAAGAAAATATTCCATTATTCAATTAAATGATGCTGTGCAGTAAATCGGACTCAAGAGCAATTGTATACAATCAAAAGTGATTTTGATATCCCCCTCCATCCCAATGTTTTCCTTTTTGTCTTATATAATCCAGGGATTCAGATTTTTTTGAGGGTTTTTTTTTATTAAGGATATTTCATACCAACTTCAGGTAAGTCAAAAGTCTCTACCTACACTTTCAGAATTAAAAAAAAATGACTGCACGATCCATAATTCTTACCCCTTTTGACTCTGCTTGCTGCACTTTATTACTTTTATTTAGGAATTCCATTTGTGAGGCCACCAGTATACTGAAGACTTTTGGTGTAGCTGCAGGAAAAATCAGTCGGTTTAAAAAAACTATAGAAATTATAGAAAAACACAACAAAATAACATAAAAGTCAACTGAAAGCTGTAATTCCACTGAATATAAAATATGTAAATGAATATAAACTTTATCATTTGTTTTACAACCATTGTAAGGGGGGGGGGGGTGTCTTATTGTGGGAGGAAACCAGAGTACCCGGGAAAAACCCTTGTTGTCAAGCAGGTGACCCATTGCCTTTTTGCATCCATTCCAGGAATCAAACCATGTATGGATAGGTGAACAGCGAGTGTGTCACCACTGCACCACCCGACCACCCCAACTAATACATATTAAGAATGCAAGAGGCATCATGTTACAGAACTTATGATAAATACATTATTTTATAAAATAACTATTGTTCATCACCCGTGTATCATGGAGCATTTGTTCATTTTCAAGAGCATTACTATCAGTATGAGTAACTTGTTTCTTTATAAAAATGGCTCTTTCTGAACAAGCTTACAATGTGTGTTAAACAGTTTGATTTCTCTTTTTAAACATTTCATTTTGATCTTCCCTTTCAACTAAAATAAACAATTTTTCATTTTAATATTAATTATTCACTTCCATAGTCACTACATAAGTAATAAAAGATTAACTTACCTTTCCCAGATCCATGTTTCTGTGCTAGCTCCAACATTTGGTTTTGTTTAAGTTGGAATATTCCAGAAAACATGAGTTTCTCATTTTTAAAAGCTCTGTAAAAAAAACATTAAAATGAATTAATGTTTAAACAACTACTTTTTTCTTTTCCCAATAGCTCACAATGTGGGGAATACATAATTTTCATTAACAAGTTATGTGAATGTTTAATGCAAGTTTATTTCATGAAAATATCAATTTCATGAAGAATCCATATGTAAAATCCATCAGACAAAAAGCTGAGATAAACTTTCATTGTTCAGAGTAGTGACCATTCAGGTCAGATGACCTTAAAATATTTATGTTAACTCAATTTTAACTACACGTCACACAGCAAGGAAAAAACCATTCTTGCAAAGTGCCTCGAGAAATTAAATCCAGGTCTCTGGCTGATATCCAAAGGCTCTATCACATGTGCCACAGAAAATGTTGTATAAGCTGAGTGATGGGCCATTTTTATCATGCCACACTGACCAGGACCAGTGCAACAGGAAATGTTTAGTTACATCTTGTATTTTTATCATTTATACAAAAAAAAAGGAGATAATTTTACAGCAGTCAAGACATAAATGGTGCAAAATGTTGAATGTAACAATTTGTAAGAAATAATACTCACGATGATGCCTTGGAGTTAGCTATGGCAGCGTAGGCACTAGCTACCTTCTGATCATCAAGCATATCAGAATTGGAGACACCATCACCCTGTAAACAGAATCAAAACTATTACACATAACCTTCCACAGCAATCAACTTACACATCTCCAACGAATTGAAACACTGTATACACAGAATTTCTAAATTACTAATATCTCTCAGAAATTGTATCATATAGCACTACTCAGTCACACAAATCTCCAAGGATAGTGTGGTTGGGAGACACAATTGAAAAACACTCCCCTTTCACCTAGATGTCCAGGGTTTGATTCCCTGAATGAATGTAAAAAGGTAGGGGTCACTTGTCTGACCACATGGGTTTACCCAGAGTTTTCCAGTTTCCTTTCACAATAAGACCCTTCGTGGGCTTTATCATGGCTTGCAAGACAGATTAATATAAGCTGCAATAATTTGTTTCATGTCTGTTATAAAAAAATGATGTTGAATTGAAAAAAGTTTTATGCAACATAATGAGCATCATGCATATCAAACTTCATTTCGCAAAAGGAAACAGATTATTTGCCAAGGAGATCATGAGATCAGATGAAAAAGTATCTGCATAATTTTTATCAGCTTTTAACAGTAAGACAGCCATATGCTAGCAATTGAAACTTTGGGAAATCAACTTTGTCAAGTAAACACAGTTGAGGGAAGCAGGTCATTTGCTATCTAGAAATGGAAATTTGCATTAGTTCATTTATGGTACAGATATTGTATTATGCAATAAAGTGGTAAAATATCTATGTCAGTCACTTTGTGAGTATACAGAGATTTCACTCAAGATTAATACAAAAGTGTCCTTTTAGCTACAAATGTATTTCAACACATGTAAGAAACTTCCAGAAGAGTTTAATGCCGGGCTAGACATCATCATACTTACTGCAGTTTTGTATTTGAAATTGGATACGGCATGTTCATAATGTACAATGTAGGATGGAAGGATGTGATTGCCATTGAAGATGACCAGTTCCTGTTTGTCTGGTGATGTGTGGGAATCATGCCCCTTTTGCAGTGGTGCTCCATGGATTAGCTTTGTACATTGGAACACATTCCCTGGTAGAACCTGGCACAACAGCAGTTTAGTTGACCCCTGAATATACCCCATAGAATATGCCGGAAACTCGCTGAAGTATACCCCTTTTCCGTACCATCCTGTGTCGGTCTTATGCTTAAATCCAGAGTCTCCTGCCAGGTTTAAGACATCTCATCAATAAATCCTGAACATACCAGTGAATTTCCTTGTGAACTCTTAAGTCGCTTAGTTTTTTGGAGACCAAAATAAATGTTTATTCAAAAAATAACTATTTCCGAGACATTTTATTTTGCCAATGAGAAGTAATCACTAAATCAACTGCACTAAACAATCATGTTATTTCTGACATGTTTATCATTTCATTTACAGATATAAGATGATCCAACAAAATCAATGAAAACTAAAACTCTCACAAAAATTAATGATTCTACAGTATATTTCCAAAAACAATCTTACACCAGCGCGATATTTTTCACTTTTGTATTTATTTTCTTTCCTTATTTTTTGAGGTACATGCAATAGAAACGTTTCCTTAAGGTTAAGGAAGTTATAAAATTGATATTCTCTGTTGCCAAGGTATCCTTGAAAGTTAGAGAGAAACTTTAAGTACAGGTTCAATGATTATTAGTGAAGAATTACCTGGAACTTTGAACCCAGTCTCGCAGATAGGGTGGATATTTTTCTCGTCTGTCCCATGAAAAGCTAGGACCGGATAGGATTTGTCCTCCCCTCTGTGCTTCTTCAAATCTTCACGGCCGGCTCTGAACGTCAAGGTTACTTAAATAAACTAATCTGGTTGACAGCTACCTTACACGTAAAACATTTAATTATGGAATAAAATAAAGTGTTTTTTGAATGTAATTAAAAGTTAATATAAATTGCGAGTGACCTACTGGAAAATTTCAAGAAATAACAGAAAGATTTGCCAGACCCCATGGCCTTTCAGTTACTAAGGAGCAGTTGTTTGAAAATTTTTAAGATATTTGACACTTGTGACCCTGAAAGTGGATCAAGGTCATTTATTTGAATAAACTTGATAACCCTTTATCCTTGCATGCTACAGTCCAAATATCAGAATTGTTGGTAAAAATCATTGATATGTTCTAACATTATAACCTATTATCCAAGCATGCTACTCACAAAACCAAAATCACAAAATAATCAGATTATATCACAATTTCTCAAGAAATGGACATTTTCCCCAAAAAATCTAGATTAATCCATGTACATACATAGACCTCAAAGTACAGAGATCTGGCACTCTTCTTGTTTTGTACACTTACAATATACTTATATTATAATGCACATGTTCACATAATGACCTAGGGACTGGGAATTTGTGCCAAGTCTGTGTGTATAACATTGAATCAGAATTATGATACTTACTTAAATTTTTTAACTAAAACAGGATTCACCACATACTCAACATTTGTGACGCGATATCTGAAACATATAATGAACCTGCAATTATTTTGGTGAAATTGGAAACTGTTTGTCCCTGGAGCATCAAGAATATTAATACTACTAAACTTGCCTAATCCGGGATGTCAGTTAGATATTAGACCATACAATTAAACAATTACAGCTCTTAGGAGGGACACCAGAAATCTTAAGGAATTCAATAATTTGAAAAATAAGCTTATAGAGTACTGGTATATTTCACATAAGCAGATAATCTACATAATATGTAGGAAGGTCCCATGGCTAAAACACATAGCTGATGGCTGTTACCACATACTTCTGGTTCTGTCGGGAAGTGCTCAGTGTTTTTGTTTCAGTTTATCATGCACATATATCAACACCAATATCTTAGTAACCAATCCAGTTAACCAAGGGTCCTTGGACTTGTTCCGTCACATTCATCTGTATTTATCTGAGACAGCCAGAAATACAGTCAGTGTGTCAGTCAGAGACAGAGAGAAAGAGAGTCTGGGCTCCTGGCTCAGTTCTTTGGGACTTGCCTGCTACCAAGCTATTGAACTTCACGTACACGTTTAAGTATATCTATTAACTTCATCACCATTCTCCTGGTAAATACTACAGACACAATTTACCATTTGGCCAGGGAGGACTTCTCTTTGTCCCCATTGGTTGAGCATAAGACTAGTGCATTATTACTAATGTAAATCAGAGAAGGCCTGTCTTTGAATCCTAGTGAAAGCGATGAAATAAATAATGACCTATATTACAACAGTTTCCATGAATAAAGAAGAAATCACCCCACAACAGAATAGATTTGCCCATCTGCACAAAACATCTTTGTTAACAAGACTTCTGTTCATGATCATCATCCCTATGAAACATAGAAGACTTTAGGAGTGGGCGGGTTTTTAATTCAGTAAAACTATCAAGAAAGCATTGTAGTGAAGAAAAAACTTGCTGAAAAGCATCTATATAACTTCAAATTCAAAGTATGCTTATTACTAAATCCTAACAGCTGTTTAAAATTTAGGGCACTAAAAAGTACTGCCTTCAATATGTTTACTATTCCAATGCATCATGATTTAGTTCCATTCCGATGTTGTTTTCATCAAATCACGATATATTGAAATGCTACATGATTACCCTATTTCAAATTCTACTTTCATTCCTTTCAAAGAAACATTTCATAAGGGCATACATGCACTGATGTGAGACTACCATTATAAGCATATTGAGGATGTGTAAAGCTTACGATGAGGCACCAGGACCACTAAGGAGTCTGTAGAACTGAGATTCTGCGAGTCGAAAATGAGTTTGGTCAGCTGACCCCTCCTTGTACGACCGCTCTGCCTTCATTGAGAAGTACACAGTCTTGTTCCCTTCCAAAGCTTCTTTCTCTCCTTCTACTAGCAACAACCCTGTGCTAACCTGAAGCAGTTTAGCATATTAAATTTATATTGAAATATGTTATTTACCTTATAAATTAAAAGTGATGAATATATATATATATATATATGTAGGTCAGTATATAATTAGCATTACATATCAAGACACAGTCAAGGATTTATAACAAGATGTCACTTAACTAGAACAGAGTTTGTTGTCGAGATAAGGTCGTTTTCTCTGTACTGAAACCATTGTAACTTGTAACACTGAACAGAATTTTGTATATTCTAGCCCAAATTAAATGGTTCAGATCAAAAACTTTGTTTCACATCTTTTTCACAGTTGGTACAGTACTATTTTTTATCAAGATTTTTATCAAAATTATTTTTTGGCAGACTGATCTGATATTCGGAGGTATAGTGTATAGTGGTCAGATTGTAATGGTCACTGACCTATTCTCACCATTTACCATTTCTCCATAATGCTGAGTGAATGTTTTTGAAAAATTCAATCTTACTTACTCATTTTTTTCCATAAATGTTTAAGTAGCAGAACTTGTTACGTAATATTACTAGCATGTGCATCCTCTCCACATGCTGTAAATGAATCCTTTTTTGTAGTAAGTGAATGTGTTTTGCATTTTTTTACACTGTCCACTACCTTTCCTGAGCCCTCACTCTGCACCTGATCAGTACCCAGCGCAGACCTGGTTCCTTGATATGAATATTATAAGAAATCTATGTTCACCGTCCATGTTACATGTTGTTATAACGATGATATACATTCAGTCTTGTGCTAAGCAACACATTTGTATTGCAGATTCCTGTCAATTGTCCACTGACTAATGTCCATGTGAAAGTCAACTGAAGTATAAAGTGCAGATCTCTTATCTTAGTTTAAATGACAACATTTTTTTCAAGAAAAATTTGTGAGCTGAAATATCACGACTGAGAAGGTGAAACATTTGCATTTGTGAGAATCAGAAATGGGTAAGAATGGGTCGGCAACGAGTACTAGTAGTCCAAAGTGGAGGAAAATGTAGTGTAATGAATATTTGGAAAACCAGCAAGTCTTGCTTTAGTAAAATCCTACCTGATCCTGAAGCTTCTGAAGTTTCTTGTCTTTGTTTTTCACTTCATCTTGAGTTTCCTGAAGTTCTTTCTGTAGTTTCAGTTTTGCTTCGAATGCCTTCTTGATGAGCTCTTTCCTTTCTTCTTCTGACATTTTTGAGTAGCTCTTCACCAGTGACATTCCTCGTTTTAGGATATCATCAGATTTCACCCCATCTTTCTTATCCTAGGAAAATCACCATGGCAACAATTACAATCTATAAAAAATATAGAAGCTGAAAATTCTCATTATGGCTACTTTACCTTATTGAGTACTTTCGAAGATATTGTCTGAGGACTTAACCATGCTTATCGTCGCTCAATGTCACTGGTTGACACAATTTTTACCCGAAACCCTTGTATCAACTTAATGTAAAGTTTATATTTGCTCAAAATAAATCTGGATAGGAACATAAACCTCAACTTTTTATAAGATTTGTATATACTGATACTGGTAAAACTTTAAATATTTGTGATCTGATAACTGAAAGACTCCTACAGAAAAGAAAATTACAATAGTTGGGAGTATGCTGCGAGTGTTTGGAACCCATCAAAAGTAAGAGATATTGAACTCGTTGAAAATGTCCAGATAGGGGTGACAAAACTACTCATGGGATTCAGAAATCTGACTTATCTGGAAAGGCTTGAAAGTTTAAAACTGCCAACGCTACAACACCATAGGACAAGAGGAGACATGATAAATCTTAAAAAAACGATGTCGTCTTGATGGAAGGAAGCATTTTTTCAGTCAACGAGTAATCGATTTATGGAATAGCTTACCACAAACTGTTGTCAACGCAGAATCTTTAATTAAATTTGAAATAATGTTAGATGAACATTGGAAAAATAACTGTTTTACATATGAACATTAACATGTACGTACTTGTAGTCGTTACATTGGAAGTGAAATTTGTTTTTATTATACTTTGTAATATACATGACATGGACATAGAGGCTGTGAAGCCTGCATCCATTATTTATGCTATCAAATGCTATTAATAGTCACATAGCATATAAGTACAATGCACATACACTGTTTCGGATGACTTCCAAACTTTTTATCAGTATACATTACAGTGCATTTTGTATTTATATCAAAATCTTGTAAATATTATACATCATTTTCACTTTAGTAAAGTAACTTAAGGCTTATATATAGCTAATAATAATAATGGTTTATACTAGTATCATCTTTCGAAGTCTGCTTTGCTTTGTGTGGATATATTGATGAATTTGTTTCATAGCTTTTTGTATAATGTTATACGTTTATGCTTTAATCGTAATCACGGACTTAAATCTAATATACAAGTCCGTGTCGTATGTGTGCATGTTGTTTTGAAATATTTTACATATATTCGCTGTCGGTTGTAAAAGCCCTTGGTACAAGTTTATTGTTACACACACAAATAGATGTGTGTGTGTATGTGTGTGTGTGTGTGTGTGTGTGTGTGTCGACTTAAAATATAATTGACTTGACTTGAAGATGTCCCTTATCTGGGTCTACTTTCACTTTAGAGCGAGGTTAAAATGAACAGCAAAAAACTTACTTTCTTTTCATCATCTGAATCGGAAATTTCGTCCGTGTCGCTGTCATCGTTCGATGTGATATTTGAAATAACAGTTGTTGGATGAGAGAATTCCGCGAAATGTAATAGGTTCTTTCTGTAACAAGACGCCCCATACTTGCAGGGAGGAAGCTTGGACATATCGGCTGTTAAAACGTCAGACGCCTTCGACCGACTGCTTCCTGCCACAGCTCCATCGTCTTTTGAGTTGTGATTGAATTCTTTAAAATGCTGTGGATTCTTACGATAGCATCTGGCACCATACGGGCAAACAGGTAAGGACGAATCAGTCTTTGCTTTCTTTGCGGGTGAAGCCATGTTCGGTGTTTTGAAAGAGGTGCTTTTTGCTAAATAGGCATTACAAACGTCATGACGTCAGTACAATGACAGATCGCGTCCGAACATGCTTCTGAGAAGGATTTTTTTTAAACATGAGGCATCGAAAAAGTAATCTATGCTAAACTAGAATAGAAATGTGTTAAAATAGTATTATTTTCAACTGGATAATAATTTTTAGATTCTGTTGTTAGTTTTTCTAAGACAACACTGCATACTGAAGATTTTCACTAAGAGGGCTAACTCGGACGATACTTTACAATAAGGTTTAGGCCTAGCTTTTTTTCAATATATTGCAATTGATTGTTCTTAATTCAATTACACAGGTGTTGATAAGTAGAGTAACCGTTGCTTAGGAGTGATTTTCAAAATGCCGCTCTTCCATACAACTTCATATTATGTAGAAAATGATGCACTTTAATTAATCTTCAATGAAAAAGCATTATGCCTATATTTTCCTCAGCAATATTCAGTCTGTAAAATCAGAGACGTATAACACAGTGTCATATACGTCTCTGGTAAAACACTGTTTTTCTTATGCATTTTCATCCCTTTAAAATAACTTAATATTTTCTTATTTTTGTTTTTTACATTCTCGATGACTTGTTTATTTATCTAGGATTGCATATATTATTTATTAAGTGTATCACCTTATAAACAATGACAGCTGGATTCCGATGAAATGTGCACATAAATAGATTAATTAGGAAATCCTTATCTGTTGATCAATAATTTACTTATTTCGTAATTCTCAATAGATATTAAATAATTTTTGACCACACCCACGGGATTTTACTGACTGTGTCATTATAGTCGCTGTCATTTCTGCCCGCTATCATGTGTTTGTGTTTACAAAATGAGCTGCCTCGTTTTCAAAATTTTGCGTGTCGCCGTTATCAGCGTTGAAATTGATAGGGGTTTCCCGAACCAAAGAAACTATCAAGCTGGACATCGGAAATCGACCGTGAATGTCGTGATGGCATAGAAATGTGACTTTAAGTGTACCAAACACACACACAATCAGTGACAAAATTAATGTTTTACCGTGATGTCTTCTTAATAAATATTATCAATAAAAGTAAAGCAAAATATTCTCACAGACCACCAAATAGAAAAACAGTAAACATATATTTAAAGGTGAATTTCCGAATCTCGCATTTGTAGAGATGGAACGAATTGTCATTTTGAAACGTTATAATTAATAATCATCAAGACTGAAGTTCCATATCATATCACGCAATACGTATTTTAAACCTTGACATTGGCAACAATTAAGTACAGAGGATGTACTTCCATAACTTCACAAACGAAAGCAAAGAGGGGACAATCTAGTAATCATTGGGATTCCTGAACAGAAAAAAGTCGTGACGGAAAAATCGGGAAGAAAGACGAAATTAAAGTAAGATATATTGTTTAAATTGTGTGAATTAATTGATATAAACCCACCTTGGAGTTATATTATTAAATGTTCCACGTAAAATATTCATGAATAGGATTTGTTAATATTCTATCATGCACTCGTGTTATTGCTCTCTGATTGTACATTCAACAAATCAAGTGACCTTTAATGAATTTTTTCAGTCGAAACAACCCATTCTCACAATAATATATGTCACACCATCAACTCGAATTCGTTGTGTGTCGGATTTCAATCACATCACTACACCGACCGTCGGGTCGTGTCAGTCACTTAACTGTAGCTCTATGTGGTGCCTGGACTCCCGAGGATGTCCAGAGCGACGTGGTTTGTCTGTAATTCTGCCCAGCACCCAGGGGTATCCCTAGTTTTATTACCCTACATACTCACTCTTGCACGACTTCCTCACCTGTCACACCTGGACATGTACACGTCTCAAGACAACACCATATAAGGACAGACACTGACACTACCTAACAGGTAACACCAAATAAGGACATACACGAAAATACACGGACAGTAACGAATACAGATTAAACAGGACGTTACAGACACTTACTCCAATTTACCCTGTGACATATATTAAATATACATATATATATATGTCGGGGGTGGGGGTTGGAGGGCAGGGGGCAGTTATCGGTTTAGTTTTATGATTCCGTCTGATTTAAATGTTCAAATACACCCCTAATACCTGCGAATTTTTATATTAATATATCAGGGCGAAATTTCGGATCTAGATTCTAAAATTAGTAGTCACATAGTTATGTAGCCGTTTACGTGTAATAAATGTACATTGTACTTTAAGTATGTAGCTCTAGACCTCGCCTTATAATGACTTCGTATGTAGAGATCTGTGTTATGAGTACTTTCAGACTTCAGGAGACATTTTACGTTGACTGTCAGTAGATCTTGTGTACACATGCTCGATTGCTAACCTCGTGTAAACACACGAACCAGGTACGTTGATTAAATACGTACTGTGAAGCTGTTGACGAGTGTGAAACAAAAATATGTCGTAAAGTTGGTTTCCTCTGATCAAAATCCGACATAGATCTAGATGGATGTGAGACAACGGACATTTAAAATCCAGCTTATGTAAACAGATGTACAGGTATGTGCATGTATGCTTTGTAGTTTATATATTCACCGTAGGTGTGTGTGACCTATATCAGAGACGTATATGTGTTATATACGTCTCTGCCTATATATGCCTAAGATTTGTACAGGTTACGTCTTCGTACACAAAGTTGTAACATTATGTGACATCAGACACGTATATAACACAAGTTCAAGGGTTCAATTTTATTATATAAAATTTTTAAATCTTCTCAAAAACCAAAAGGCCAAAGGTCATGATATTTGGACAATATCATACTCAATTGGTGGAAAATAAAGTTTAATAATATAAATGACCTTGACACATGTTCAAGGTCATTGGGGTCTTATTCTTCTTCTTTTTCTCCTTCCGTATTTTGTGGAGTCTCTATTTTTAGATGAGTGAAAGCAATTTTTGATTTTTTGGTTAGTATGTTATTAATGAAGGTCTGAAGGTGCTACAGGAACATTTTCAAATAGGTCAAAAATCCAATATGGGCGCCATGACGTCATACATTAAAATCTTAAAAACCACAATAACTTAAAAACCGATTATTGTATACAGTTTGTGGATTTATATTATTTGTGGGAAATTTCCTTATCGGAATATTTATCATTACATGTTATTAGAAAAATGTAAAATATAAAAGTTCGCTTTGGGTCAAAGGTCACAGATTAAAAACATTTATTTCTCTGGATTTTTGAATTTTTTCCCCATAAATCAATGTAGAATGATAATCTGATGAATTTGAAGTCTTCATTTTTTCCGTAAAATTTTTCGTTACCGTTTTACGCCATTTTGAAAATTTCCTTTGACTTTTAAAAATGCCGACAAAAAGTTCAAATTAAAAATTATTCCTAGATCATTAATAAATATCTTATTTAATTGGTATGAAAAAGTTTCCCCATGTGTAATTTACCAATTGATGAAATTTTGAACCAGATTGAAAAAACAAAATGGCCGCCATGACGTCATGTCCGATTTTAGTTTAAGTGTCAGTATCTCATTACCGGCTTAATGAACTGAATTTAACTTTGGATATGTAATGTAGAATTATATATCAATAACGTTTCTCAGAAACTTTTTCTATAAAACGACAACTTCCTGTTTCGGTTGAGGGTCAAAGATCATATTTGCAATTTTCAGAGCTAATTTTTGAAAAACTTAATAACCAAAGGACCCAGGGTTTCGTTATTGTGTCTGCAATATGCCGAGATAAAGGGCTACCAAGTTTGTTTATATGACTGACCTTGAGCTATTTTTATGGTCACTGAGGTCAAATATGTTAATTGTCTTATTAAATGAAATGTTCAAAGTATTGATATTTGTCCAGTAACTTGCTGAAAAGATAGGCTACTAAATGCATGCGTTAGAATTGCCATATAGGCTAAATTATGTTAAGATTGTAAAAAGGCTTTTTCTCAATGAAGTAACCACCAGAGCGTTGACATTTGGGAACAATGTAGGTGAAAAGCCCGTTAAATTGTTTCTAACAATTTCTAATTGTGATTGTTATGCCTTTTGATGATCTTAGAGTGCGAGTGATCTCCCTTGCATGACGCCATTCCTTCTAGCTTCTGTACCACGTTGTGGACCCGCCATGTTTGTGTAATGTCAACATGCTCGAAAGAATACACACGTCTACAAGTTACTGACGTTTTCATTCCATATGTACAACACTCAAACGTTACAAAGGTTATCGAATGTAAAATCACAGTTGTTCCTGTGATGCGTATAGGCCGTTTTACATACATGTATATCTATAGATAAGCCTAGATACACTTGAACACGCTTCAGTAGAGTTGTACTGAACAGCATGTAACTAGCTTTTAGTTTAGCTTAAACATATTTTATTGCCAAAATATATTTAAACAAGGGAATAGGACACAAGTTATTACAACTTATTGGAGCCCTCTCCCAACATACATTTTCAAATACATGCTTATAAAGATATAGGCTTAAACATAAATTATAAATATTAAGTATTCACACACAGACATAAATACATGTATAAGAATCTTTTAAAACCTTTTGCTGGATTTAATGAAATTTTGCACGTCTAAAGACAAAATAGACTAGGTCCTCAGAAAGATCAATACTACCAAACAAAAGAAGCTCTATATTCAAATCTTCGTCTAATTCAGCCAGATTATGAAACAAAGTCCGTTTTTCATTTCTGAAAGTTTGACACTCAAAGAAGAAGTGAAAGGCATTCTCACATGAATGTCCACAGGAGCAAACTGGATTTTCGACAAGATTTACTCGATAAAGATTGTATTTAAGGGAACTACAACTGCGTCTAAGTTTAGTATGTATTATGTTACACTTCCGTTCACCATAACTAAAGTAGACAGGTGGGGATTGTTGTTTTTTTTATAGTAAGTGAGGTTTAATCAAATTTATGGAAGTCAGTGAGCGTACAGAGAAATCTAACAAGTTCCAGCTACGAAGCGTAGAAGGTATAAAAGAGAGGTTTTTAAGAGAAAGCCCAAATACAGGAATTCATTGTTATTTCTAAGATTGTATCGGTTAATATCTGTAACAATAGGAAGGCCAGTTATAATACGAGCAGCTTCTCTTTGGGCTTTCTCTAATGTAACTAGCATGACGAACACTTAAAAGTAAGACGGGCATGATCGATGGACCAGAGAATAAAATAAATCTATGCATAACTGAAATATTGATTGTTCATGCACTGACTCGTGTCACTTGTCAAAAGACAGTCCCAAACTGGTATGTTATTAAGTGCCTGTGTACTTTAACCTATATACTGTAAGTAAATATGATCACAGGGATTTGAGAATTTGTTGTAATCTATATGTCTACTCTGGTCTGTTTTTAAGATTTTCACCTGTTTTAGGAGTATGATCATGATCGTCCTCGTTAGTTAACAGCGTCGTCACTGAACAAAAATAAGTAGAAATGGCCTTCGGATTGTGACTTTACGTTATTCATACAGGTGCTTGTATATACAATATTTATGTCAAATGACCCACTAGCTTTAATATTACCAATGCTGTATTTATTGATCGGCTTTATGATGGGCTTTTGACTAGTAATATTCCATATTAATTCTGTCAGGTGATTCATCTTTTACAAATTTTAACATGTCAACAAACCATGCACGTGCAGTGTTCTCCTTACACTCTTTTCAACCGTGAAATGAAATTATGTGCTATTTTCAGCTAAACAATAACACAACTAATTTTTTATTAAAGTTTGGCAAAGTTATGGCTATGCGTTGAAAACTTACTAAACTTGATTGCCAGAGGAATACATTTTGAGATTGTTTTTATTGCTTGTATTTCACATTGAAGTTGTCAAAACAAATCGTTTTTGTTAAAAGTTTGGTAAGACTATGAAGGAGATTCGTGTGTAAGTTTCAAATAAACTTATTTTCATCAAAAATTAAAACAAATATATATTTGTAACGGAGAAATTTTAAATTTAGTGATCAGAGGCATACAAAACGACATATTACTATTTTTCTGAAATTACGCTATGTAATCTATAGTAAAGAATCTTTCTCCTGAAGCGAGAAATCCGCGCATGCGCCTCGCGGTATGTCCTCAATAGCTGTATACGAAGGACAGAATAGAGTAACATTTACCTGTGGCACACATTATAAACACTTTTTTATAATGAAAAGGTACAATAATCCACGTGCACATTGTAACGTCGTTGCTTGTAATTCAGTCAATTTTTATGAAGTGTGTTGAACTGCCACAATGCCACAATGCCACAATTCCTTTTTGGTATTGAATAGCATAGAACGTCGTGTCAAAATTGGCATAGATCCAAAAGATTATTTGTGAACTTATAATTAGTTAGGAAAAATAAATAGTTAAGAAATAACTGATGGTGGTCATTCATAACTAATAGGCTTGGTTTTCTATAATCCGGTTCATCGCACACTAAGTTATACTGATGACTAATAATTTAAATGTATAATCAACTGCACGTGTCATTTTGAAGTGACCACAAACAAACATCCCGATTGGCTTTACTGCTGACCTCTCTTTCAACAAGGACGTGTTGTCATCATGGCATAGCAAATGTTATAATTATTTTTTTAATCGAAATCGGGATGAAACTGAAAAAAGGTAACCTCTGTCATTAGAAGTTTATGAAATACATGTATGTTATCTCTTTCTTTGCAGAGATATTATGATGCAACGAATTTTGGTCACAAGGACCGACGCCCACAAACAGTAATCCACACAAAAAACGTATGAGAGGTAAATATTGGGCAATACCTGGAAGGACAACGATATAGCAAAAACAGTTAAAAAAAGTTCGCCAACTGCACTGACCGAACGGAATTGATACAAAGGGGGGAAACCCTCGTTGATTGATTAACAGGTTTTCCGTCTCCGTGCCTCCTCCCGTGCTCGGGTATTGTCTCACCGACGAACGTCAGTGTTCTGGGACGAAAGTCGCTATTGTTTGGGACACAATGTGTATGTGCCGTGTGTGTCTGTGGTTTCTTTGTAATGGCCGTTGTGGGTGTGAGATTTCTGACCCAGATCGGTCGATTAACGATTCACCAGAACCCTCCATCGACCAACAGTGCATTGATCACCCATCACCATCAGTCTCCCAAAACCACAAAACAGAATCGACCGGAGGTGCTTCTTAGTGTTTTCATTTCTTTCTTTCTTATTTCTATTTTTTCAGAAATACCTTGTGTTATGTTCTCGTGTATCCTTGAAAATAAAAATAACAAGTTTCTTCGTTGTATAATGACGGTCGTTTTTCTTTTAAAACCCTTACATAATGCAATAATTTATAATACTTCCGTTTAAAGCTCAGAAGTAAAGATTGTCAAAAGGTAATTACGACACTGATTTCTCCCTTAATTCCAACTAGATCAGAAGATGTTTCAAAGATCGTTTACATACTTTTCTTCTAGACTGAAAGAATATTTCACACCTCGTAGTCTAGAATTGGTCTATTCATAAACTGAGAGAATAGACAATGTATTCGTTATAATGCATTGCGAATGAAGATATTGCCAAAGTTTCTTTTGCTAAGACTTTATGAGATAGAAAGAGAGTTAGAATAGATCATTGTGCTCGGTTCATCATTACTTTTTATGTGTTCAAGGGCGAGGTAGACTGCACTTCCTTCTGTGAAAACCATTTAAGCGTTGTTCAGTAGCCTGTTTCCAGAAGCTGTATGCTGAGCAACGATGGCAACGCCCACTTCATTGTCTTACGAGCAATCGATATAGGTTTAAAAGCAGTCCACATGAATATATATGTATAATTAATCTCCAGCACACACATAAAAAGGATATATTCAGGGGGAACAGGATATGATATCGCAAATGGTTCAGGTTCTGCATATATCGATAAAAAACGTAAATTATAGATGAAGTTGAAGTATAGGTACCTATATTTGGCTTCATGATCACACATTTCAAAACACAGTTCCCAATCATCACTGCTTACACTCACAACATGACGATGACAGGTGTCTTCCTGGCGTCAGGTAAGTTTAAAATCATTGTATGAAAAAAAAAATCTGCTCTGTTTATCTTTTTCAAGCTCTAAAGTTATGTTTATTTTTACGAGGTTTAGCGTATTCTTAGTTTAGAACCTGATATTACTTTCTGGTCTGATCAAGAAATTTTAGCCTCAAGATTCAATAAATTTCATCTGGTAATTTCAGAAGACTTTCAAGTATATGTTTGAATGCCGTCAAAAGTGGCATGTAGGTTGCGACAAGCTTCGGGGACTTAACAATCCACCAGAAGTGGGTAACACTTGCGCTTTTTTAAGGAATGTTTAAAAGGTATTAAAATATCGATTTGTTTATATATTCTGCAGTTTTTCTGCTGTGCAGTATCATTAGATACGTTGTTTGTGTTGAGAGCTACTGGGAAGAATACAGTTTGCTGCGGAATAACCTACCAGTCTCTGAAGTCACCGTTATGTTTGAGACAAGCCTTTTTGCGTGTTTGATTTACTGTTCGAGTACGGATGGATGTTGTCTTGCCTCCTATATAGATACCAGTTCAGTTTGTAGACTTTACAGGAATGTCGATAAGTACAAGACCCAAAACTCTTCCTCCGTCTGGACCGTGTGTATGTTGGTTTTAATGTTGTATTTGTATTGTTCGCAAATTGTGAATTTTCATAACATAGATCAATTTTGATATTTTAGTAAGCGCACTCTGTCAGTCTTCCACTCTGTGCTACAGTCCTATAATTACTTGTTTTGTCTAGTTATATTTGGTTGAACGATTGTGATGAATGTAATTGATAAGAAACATGCAAAAAGCGTGATAAGGAAAATAATGTGAAAAAAATCGTAATCAAAACTCAAAATTTATAAATAATTTCATAAATCACAAATCTACAAACAGATAACTCACGCGCATAACCCTTTAAAAATGACGACTTCTCTCATGATCACCATCGGTGACTTCTTTAGCGTCACTGAAATCGATTTTAAACAACAACAAAAATCATATACCCGTGTGCTATAAAGGGAAAACCCAAATGAAAAATTGTGTTGGTAAAATAACAGATGTTTTATGGTTGTACGTTAAATACAAAGGTCAAATTACTTTAGTACAATTTTCGAATTAGGTAAAGTACATAGAGCTATTTTGTCTATATATTACTCGTCAGTGATGACAAGGGCTTAAATATTTAAGACCTAAATGATTTAGGAGGCGAAAGAGAATTATCGATATTTATCGTCAGAAATTAAGATGAAAATGTACCCTAACCCTTTCATTCAATAAAACTCATAAATCTGATAATTTCAGAAGAACAATAAGCATCTCTGTATGTTTCAAACCTTTCCACTATTCAGTTCATAAAGATCAAACTATTCTACACCGTTTCCCACGTTCTGCTCCAATAACATCTCACGATAATTCCGTGTGTATATTTATCATCAGTGTAATTAGTGCAAATCACTTTTGCCTTTGACATCATCGTCGTCGTCCTTACATGCATCATCATCATCATCATCATCATCATCATCATCATCATCTATGTCGTTCTTACAGTAAACAATAATTATGTTCATTCAATATATAAACAATTATTTAACCTTGGTCAGACTTCCGTTTCTTGGGAACTGATAGGCATATTCTTTCTACTACATGGAACTTAAACATAGATTTGATTTGCATATTATAGGGAAAGATGACGGCTGCCCGTGTGGATGGTACAGATTCAAAACTTCATGCTTTTTATTTGCTGATGTAAATTTGACGTGGGAGGATTCTAGGGTGAGCTCTTAATGCAATTTCATCTTGCCGTGTACAAATCAGGGCTATATGTTGTTAATAATATTATCCTACAGGTTTACCAACAGTTTTGTATTGTTGCCTGTATGTTTTGTTATATAACCTACTTGATGTATTAGTCATATTTCAATAATCAATCATTCATCTCTGGAACAAGTAGCGGGTGTCGTTTATGAAATAGTAGACGCTTAAGATTCCGGAACAACCTGGGCTTGTGTTCAGGAAACCCCATTCATGCTCAAATATATAATAAATGGACAGGCCCAAATGCATAAAGTGATAAATCTGAAATCAGAATGTTTATCTTTTTCGACAGATTTGTAGGAATTTCGGAAATATTTCAAATAAGATATCCTTTTTAATAGTAAGGGTTTTCCTTTCTAACTCATTTTTTATATGATTTTAGCAAGTTTAAAGAACGTTTAGTAGAGTATAGAATACCTGCTTGATCACGAGAAATGTTCTACTTTTCAGGAGTATTTGCATATTTTTCTTTTGTTCATATTTTGACCTTGTATTGAATTTGAGTTCGGATTATGATTTTGTTGACATTTTGTGCCCGTTATAACATTTGGTATGTTGTAAACGTGTCATTTAAAGTCAAAAGTTTCATGATTTATTTTAGGTTTATTGTCAGTTACATTACGGCCATCTGGCAGAGGTCGACACAGAAGCGGAGGATGCATTCATTCGAAGTGTTGTTCTCACTATTCCAGGTACAGTGATGTCTGAGTTTTTCTATGTAAAGAAGTTATATCCGCAATGTTTTCAACAGTATTACTATCCGTACTCCTGTCTCCCATGTATTGGAAATTGTATAAAAGTCATGCATTTAAAATCAGATAGAGCGGAGTTAAATAATGGATTTTACCGCCTCATATACCTGTTTGTCCCTACAGGTCTCTGAGGCAACGCCAATGGTCCAAATTCAGAACCCAATATGGCGACCAAATTTAAAGTGTTCGAAAGATATGAAAACATCAAGATAGGAGGTGCACCAGTAAACCCCGGGGGCTGAAAGTCCACCCGCAGTGTCAAAGTATCAATTTCCAAGATTGTACAAAAGAATTAAGTGTTAAGAATTAGATACAGTTGAGCCAGATAATAGATAGCGCTACTCCTCTTAAAACAAAAAATATATCTGCTCCTCCTTAATGATCAAAACATTTAAGACTACTATCCTTCTTTAACACTGCATAAAACAGCTTTTTCATCTCTTTAAGAGACAGGTCTACAATTGTCTGTTTAAAGTCTGTTGATGGCCATTGCTCTGTTTGAGAATAAACTTACTAATGAATTATACTAAATAATCCTCATATCCACACATCATTGTCCTTCATCCCCTCATGCAGACATTCCAACACACTTTGCTTCATTTTAGTTCTTACCATCATCTGTATCTTGGCCATCTCCTTTGTTAAGAATTTATATTACTTTTTAATTGCTTTCTTTCTAACTCTACTGATTTTATTCACAACCATATTTTATCTGTCATAATTCAATCAAAACTATCTTGACGTTAGAAATACCCCTGTAGCGGAAACAATCCATTGATAAAAAGATTAATCATTGCGTCACCAATTGAAGACCAAAATGGGTCTTGAAAAGTTTGACATGGGTGAAATTGTTGTTACAAAGTCACTTCGTACACATTTCACATACATTTTTGTTTTGTGATAAAACATATCTCCCACTGTTCCCACATTCTACAATCAAGTTATCAATTTGTACCGCAATACTATGGCTTCAGACATTGGCCTGAATACAGATTATGTCTAGAAAAAATCACTCCGTCTTCCGCTTTCTGAAAATCTTAAAATCAATTGAATTCATTACAATGAATGAACCTTTTTAAAAGTCGTTGGTGAAGTATGCAGTTGCATCCCCACTGATGCAATTGTGCATTAACAACAAAGGAAATATTAACATGGCATTATCATCAAAATCCAGAAAATTTGCAGGAAGAATTAGATCAGATTTTCCGAAAGGTTAAACCTCTTTCGCTTCATCGACGACACACGCAATGTAAATCTTGATCGATTGAAGTGAGTAATGTCATCTTTACAAACGAGAACAAAGCAAACAACAAAGGAACCTCGAGTAACGAGTATCAAACACGTCCAGCAACGTTATCTCGAATTTGGTATAGTTATTTCATTAAATGATGCAATAATTTTTTAATAGTGTACAAATTATTATGACAGAAGTTTAATCATTTTCAGTCCTCATTGTAAATTTAGAAGTTTTCTGGTCCGCGGAAAAAGTTATTATGGGTGGGGCAATAAGTGGGTCAGGCGTAAGTAAAACTCTCGTGTATAATAAGATCAACAAAATTTTTTTTCGGAACTATTTTTATTTCTCTTGTAGATCTTGACAGAGTCTGGTTAGGCGGGTCTGACCTAATTAAAGAGGATGAATGGATATGGAATACTTCTGGTCTGGTTATTTCCAGCTACTCTAACTGGGATGATGGACAGCCGGATAATAGTGGCGACCAAGGATCAGCTGATTGTCTCTGTATGAGACAGTGGGCTGATTTTTTATGGACCGATACCGAGTGTACAGCGGCCGGCATGCCCATCTGCGAGACACGTTATCACAAAAGGATATAGACGTTTTGAGTAGCACTTTTAAAAGAAATAAAGTAAATCCAAATGTTTACCGGATCTGAAATAAACCTGCAAAAGCCAAATCCAATTTAATAATTTATTGACAATGATGTTCAGATAAGTAAGACGATGCAAATTATTATTTTACAAAATATGACATGTTACACATAAGACTTCAATGATAATTATATAAGTATTGCCATATCAAGAAAATGAGTGCAATAGAATGAACAACTGTTTATTGGAAACATATGTACAAAATTAATAAAGGATTTCCGAATTATTGCGTTCAAAACTTGTTTTATGTTGGTACGTCTTTACGTGCATAGAAATGCATGGAAACCACACACGTAGACAAACTGGTTAGATATTCTCTTTTGTTGAAAGAACAACATCTCAAACATCCAACTGAGTACGAATCACCAATAAGGAAACACCAAGGACTAATTTCAATTTCTGTGAAATGTCATGGCCTCGGGAGAAAAAAACAACCTTCCTGTTTCGTCTTTCCAGGACTCGTCATTTAAGTTAAGAGTCTGAGGATAAGCATGGCGACCGAGAAAATAAAAATCTGTTAAAAGAGAAAGTTCCAAAGATATTTTATAGTTGTAGAGGAACATCTTAAATTAGGGGTCAACTAATTGCCTCCTTGTGGACGTTTAAATGCCGACCAAATTCCGCTTTTATCTTTGTTCGGTAATTTTGTGTGTTGTATGAAACATTTGGTTGTCATGTCTCTTAAGAACGGTGTCAGTAACTTATGTAAGCATAATTGGCTAGGGCCACAGCATTACGACGCAAACTCATAGATCTTGTATATCGTCGAATGCTGTGACCGTGGATGACGGCCCACTCCTCCTTCAATGACTGCGCCAGTTCCTGTTAGTTGGTTGGCGGATGTGGCCAACTTCGAACTCGTTTTCCAGGAACATCTCAGATGCTTTATTAGGTTAGAATTGGGGAATGTCACCGACTCTCATTATTGTACATCAAAGAAAATCTCGACTCTTCGGTTAACAATACATACGTCGGTGTCGGTGTTGGTGTCGCCGAGCCCAATCAAGACATTTGGTGCGATGGTGTCGCATGAAGACAGCCTTAGTAAGGCCTCATCTCACATATTTAGTGACGTTTCGGCCTGTTACTGATGTTATGACTGCTTACCCATTGACAAAGCAAAGTCCTTACTGTTAAGGTTGCAGGAAGAAACAGTTTCAGAAGATGCTGCAGCAGTATAAGACGGTCAGTAACTCGTAGTTGGCTGCTATTTGGACGTTCGGATGTTGTGAAGTGGTTACATGAAAAGGTTGCCAAAGTGACACAATCGTTTGGCTATACCCAAACCACTGCGCCGACTTGGAACATGCCAATGTCTCTTTCCCATTTCGACAGACGCGGCATTGTACAATTTAAAACCAAATAATGATTTTTATAAGTGATAAAGATGTTGATATAATTGCGTGGTACCAACCTTGTCTGAATTAAAATGTTCCACGTAGGTATCGGCACACCTCGGAGACTAAAGTCCACTAGCAGAGTTTGCCGCCTACAATATACTAGGATTGTTCAAAAGGTATATAAGAGAGTAGCATATTTAATATAAATTCAGAATTGAATATATTAGTCTGTAAGTCGAAGAGTAATTTAAACTGCATCGTACAGCTACACCGTCCTATCTACGACTCGTCAGTGATGTTAAGGTCTCAAAGTGTTAAACCTTGGAGGCGATTGAGCAACTTGAAATTGATCGAAGCAAATTTAAAGCTACTATTACCTTATATTTCAACATCGGTAAATGGAGAATATTAAAATATATCCACCATAAAGCGATACACGCGTCTATAACGTCAAATTTGTTGTTTTTGTACATATTTTCGGCGTCATTGTTTCTCTTGCCTATTGTTCATGCTCTGTTTATTACGAAGAAAGAATGGGTCACATGGCTTGTCACGTGACGAAGTCATTTACTTCCGCCGGAAAAAATAATAGATTACGGGGTAAACAAACGCACATGTCTTATGTATGACACTTGCTTTTGCACCTTCTTGCGAATTCTTGTTTGCAGTAAATGATTCTATAGTGTTATAATATATCATTTTTAACAATCAATCTTAGTAATTCGTTTAGTTTTGGCTTTGTCGTGCGAGAATTATCTATGTCAATCGCGGGCGCTAAACAAGTGGGGTCCAAGGGGTAAATAAAATTGGAAAAGAAAAAAACTCATTGTCCGGAAATGCACAGGAGTTGATATTTTATCTGTCCACATTAATAGATATTGCACTGTTTATTATGAAGGCTATGTTTATCATCACAGTTGTTATTCTTACATTAACACTAGTACCGTCATATTTTTACACTTAGAAGGAATACCCCCAATTGGGCCCCACCCTGCAATCAACAACAAACACACGTTGTCGATAGTAAATTCAAGCGAATAACACAACTATTTTTATTCAACATTTATCAGATCACACTTTTAGTAGTGTTGTTCATAACATATTCACGCGTCAAACACTGGATATTGGAATATAATCAATGACAAGAGGATACGTTATAATTATAGGGCTGACGTTAAGCTAACCAGCCAAGCTTCGCAAATTCCGAATCTGTATTCAGTCCAAGATCCATCTTGATCTTTCCCCATCTATCGATCTCCTGTCTAATATAAATTCTTGCCTATCCTCTTTTCTTGTCTAACTCCTTCCTCTTACGCTTTCAGGCACTTTCTGTAAGGTAACTTTTAGGTCCTCCTCGCTTTTTCGTATTTGCGTCCGCCATATTGCTTCTTTCTAGATGCGCGACATCAAGGTTACGAGCGGTAATTTATCAATTAGATCAAGACCGCACAGTTTACATTCTTTATTTTTTAAGATATCAAAATAAAAAAAGGTGGTTGCAGTGACTTTAAATTTTAGTTATTAACAGAAAGTCTTAGATTTATAACATACTATTGGAAAATAGAACGTTTTATATCGTTTATTCGTAGTGTTGCTTAACATTATAGTAGCTTTAAGAAAAATCTAGACAAGAAGGTGCGCTAGTCACATAATTCAATCAATTCAATACTTTCAACTAGTCGTGTGGTTTGAGGTCAAGAATTTTTTCATGCATTTACCGAACACATATATAAGTAAGCAACACGCCTATCTTTACACTAGACTTACTTCACAATCTGGGATAACGCATTGCACTGGTACCAGCGAAATGCCTTTGTATATAATCCAACTATGCATCATTTTTTGAGCTATCAACCCATTTCAATTTGACTTGTCATTATATGATCACGGCTAAGTGGACCACAATATCAGATACATGCAAATCAAACTGTTTTTAATAGCCTGTACCGTGCATTTACGAATCAAAGGCATGGAAATATTTGCAGCGACAAGCTTTCAAAAGAATATCATTTTTCTGCTCGTCTTACAGAATGTGTTTATATATTCTTTGCAAAAGTATAGGCCATTAATTTGGCACTCGATTATTTTGAAAAAAAACATCATGCCTTACGTGGAAATTGTGTTCTCAAACTCTTAGTAAGTTTGAAATCATCTGACCTTAAAAATGCATTGACCTGTCAATTGCAGCTAAAACAAATCTTGCTTCAAAATAATGTCGGATAACCATATGGATTCCAGGAGACATTGGAATGGTAACAAGGCAGCAAAACAGGTTTTAAATCTGTTACAGATTGACATTCAACTGCCATATACTGATCATATACAGACTATATCTGCTAAAATCAAAGAAAGTCGGCAGCAACGGTGGTTTCTAGAATATACAGTAACACATTATTGTAAGTTCAGGCAAATATAGCAACACGCCAACCAAAATGAATTAAACTTGGAGAGCTGTCCATTATTGGCTCATTTCTGAACACACATATCTAACAGTTCAGCTTCACGGGCAGCGATCCAGTGATTCCCTTACATAAGAAAATTTTCTTGGTTGATGTGTACAGAAACATTTGTGATATTATCGTGTTTTTACAAGATTTTATTTTGTTTTCATATGATAATGAAAAGATTGAAACTAAAAAGTACTCAAATTAAAACGCACTACTAGACCACTTGATTAATGAAACGATTCTAGCCTAGGGTCATTCGATGCACCCTTCTGTATCTAGGTAGCTATGGTTAATGTCCCATGTAAAGGTGGCTGATTTTGGCGATTTCCCTTTGACAGGTAATACTCTGTTGTGTTGTTTTGGAGAAATAAAATCCAATCCAGTTTCATTGTAGTTTTTGATATATGAATGATGTATACATGAGGAGTGACAACTATACCCATACTAGGGTTTGCTTTTACACTTACCTAGATAATAGACCTGAGGGAACAAACAAGTGTTACATAACGAACATGAGGTACTGGCACATTGACGAGTATTGTTACACTGATTACATGTAATTCATATAACTTAGCCTATGTTGACCTGTGCACTAGTAATTAGGTAATTAATTCCATGTAACATTAGCTATAGATCAACAAAGGCTGCTGGCCATGTGTAAGCTGATCGCTTATCTTATCATAACCTGGGAGTAGTGTACATGTATATTTCTTGCAATAAATTGATGATATTTGAAACTACAAAAATTCCTTTGCCCTAAAATAACATAATGGTTTGTCTTTGTCAGGCATGCCAAAGCGACAATCCGATAAAAACTAAGAGACAATACGACGATTCGACAATGCAATAGAATCTACCCGCCAAAGTGACAATGCGGCAACGCGGCAGCGGCACAAAAGTGCCTCGTCAACGCGACAATGCAAAACCAGACATCTTAGAGAGGTGATGGGAGTTCTCATCGATGACGTATTGGAGAAATTCCGATTATTTGTATTTATAACTGCAACCTACATAATTGAACGGCATTCCTGATTGCATCGCGTATCGAAGCAGTAATGGGGGAGCGCTGGATGACCTTTGGTCAGAACAATACTTTAATTCTGATACGTCTTTCCTAGAATCTGAAATGAATTTCATTTCTAACGTTGGGTTCAAATTAACATAGATCATAAATGTAATAAGAACAATAAGAAAATACCAATATGTCAACATAATCATAATCCAAATTCAAATTCGATAAAAGAAGGGAAAATATACTCAAGGGATAAAGAAAAGCAGAACGACATTATTTGAAATATCTTCTGAACGCGTTTATTAAAAACCGGTCAAGCAACTCTTTAAATTACAGTGCATGTGGTCCTTTATCGAATGATGCTTTATTTTATTGCGAGACGATGTCTTCCGGGAAAGCACGAAACGGGAAAATCTCGTGCACAGCATATTGTGACATAGACTTACTCTGCTCGTCATACCATTAGGTAGACTTCATAGAGACAAATAATTTTTCGATATTTTGATTAATTTCTGATAGCAATAAAAACGGCTGACGAAAGTTCAGAGGGGTCAGGCCATCGGATGATTATGCAAGGTCAAAGGCAAATATTGCTAGTTGCCAGACATTTCGGTGTCCATATTTGCACTTTAGAACGTTTTGTAATACGTATAAGGGAAACTGGGCGGATTGCTGTCAGACCTAGGTGTGGAAGTCCGCGCGTGACGTCACAACGTCAGGACAGGTTAATTCGTCTCGCGCATTTGCAAAATTGGTACCATATTGCCACTGAATCTGCCCTTCAAACCATAAAAAAACTGTAAGGAAACGATCGCGGGAAGTTGGCCTGTAGGAACGTCACCCGTTTGTAGGTCTGTCCCTTACCTCTGCTCGTCGCCAGCGTCGTATGGCTTGGGTGATGGCACCTGCCCCCAGAATATTCCCAATGAGGGAGTGGAGGTGGGTCTTGTCAACTGAGTCCCGGATCACTCTGTTTCGAGGAGACGGTCAACGTCGTTTTGCCGACTGCTGCGAAAAGTAGACGGATAGGTTTGGGGTGGATCGGTTATGGTGTAGGGAGGAATCTCACATGAAGTTAAGTCACCACTAGTTGTGGTAGCAGGTAAATTAACTGCTGCTTGGTATAGAAGTGAGACCCCATGTTGTTCCATTCCAACAGGATAATGCTCGGCCCCATGTAGCGAGGATCTGTCGCGACTTTCTCACTAACAACAATATCCTCCTACTGGACTGGCTGCCATACAGCCCCGAAATATCCCTTATTGAGCACTTGTGGGACCAGCTGGATAGACAGGTTCGACGACGCCAGCCTCTCTTGCTACTCTGAACCAATCGAGAGCAACCCTCTTGGAAGAATGGGCCAACATCCCAATGGGGAGGATAAACTCACTCATGAACTCAATACATAGGAGAATCAGGACTGTGGTGAGAGCGAATGGGGGACATACCCGGTATTGACAAGTCAGCTCCCACAGTTAGTCCATTTCGATTTCAGATTACAAGTTCTCTTTAAATTGCATTCAATTACTCCTAAATCACTAACCAGATACAAATCGTTGATTTTGTGGTTTGTTCTGTATGAATTAATCTTCATTCTTACTTTAAAATATTGAACATTCTACTCGACGTCTTGCCTAGAATCATCTTCAAAGTTTACCTTGCGTTTCTTTATCCCTTGAGTATATTAACGAAAAAAGGTTTACAAGTTACTAGGGGAATAAGAGCAGGTGTTCCGAAATAGTAAGCGTCTTCTGCTTCATCGACGATATATCTTATTCAAAATGTGTGGTTGGTTTCGTTTGTTAACAGTTATGGCCCCCCTACGTATGTAAATACTAAATAAAACGTTATTTACATGTGTGCCTCTCGTTCTATCGATTATATAACGAGGGAAAGAATTGGTCTTCTTATATAAATGCGAACCAAAAGTGTCTTTTTAATGCAAATTAAGTTTCTCCATTTAAAGAAAATCTATTTACCAAGCATACCTATGAATCTTAAAACTAAATTAAGGAAGACAAAGGAGGCACAAGATATATATGTAATTCTTTCTAGTAATGAGACGAAACCTACTTCACAAAGGACATGAGCTGGTATTTTTTATATCCAAGACCAATTATGGAAAAGGTTTATGCCTGCCCCTTCAAAACTACTAAAAGTTCTAAATTAAGATGGCTTCAACTTCGTATTAATCATAGACTTTTAACTACTAAAACACTTCTATGTAGAATGGGTGGTAAACAGCATTTAAATTGTTCTTTTGGTACGGAATCACCGGAAAATATTGAACATCTGTTTTGGGATTGTGAGAAAGTATGTAACATGTTGAGGGAGCTAAAGCATTATCTCGCAACTAATAACATTAATTTAAACTTTGATAAACGGGAATTTCTCTTTGGACATTATAATTCTGTTGAAGTTGGCCTGATAATTGATAACCTTATTATATTATTAATTAAACAATATATATTTAAATCAAAATGTTTAGAAGTGGAACTAAATATAACAAGTCTGAAGAATCATATTCTGTTTGAACTTAAATCACATAAATGGTCAATAGTTAACCATAAAACATGCAAAAATAATTTAGAGTTGCAAAGTAAAGTAGAAAAATGGCTTCTTTTATAATGTTATGCACATCATTGCTGTACTTTTACTTTTTACGAATAAAACATATTATATTCATATGTCAGAGGTTTGCTATCCCCCTCCCACGGTGTGTATCCCTGGTATGTGTATGTTTACAAGTGTGCAAGTGTTGTCTAATAGTATTAATGTCTTCCGTTGCACCAGTCTGCTGGTCACCATTTTTTTCTAAACAATATCTTGAGAATTCTTTCTTGTATTATTATAATATTCTGATATTGTTTTAGTTGTAGTAGAAGAACTAAAGGATTTCAATTTAAAAGGCGAAAAGTGTAATAACATATGAAATTAGTTTAAGCCGCTTAACCGTATATCCATTTATGCTATATCAATGTTAATATGTACATAGCATGGCATTACATAATCCCTATTGATTCTTAGGTCGAAAGGCCAAATATTGTTAATTTAAATCACAAGGGAAGACTTGTACTATAGTTTTGTTGTTGCATCCGTATTCAATGTCTGTTTATGTTGTATACTGTCTGTAAATAATTTGTTTATGTAAAATGAAAATTGAATAAAAATTTGTTTAAAAAGTTTCTCCATTTAAATGCTGTTTACATTAAGGCCCGCCATGAATTGTGAAAAGGAAAGTTCGTTCTACCTTTGTCGGTTTGAGAGTTTTGCTCGATCAAACATGATAAGTACGTGCGTATCTGAGCGACAGTTGAGTTCATTTACATATTTCATGAAAAGAATCGCAATATGAGGATTTACCTGAATGCATTGCCTTATATGGTTAAACGATAGACGTTGGCTGTTCCGAACGTGCTTAATTGTGACCTTGTGGTTATCTTAACAAGTCGATGACTGGCTAGTTTCCTAACCCAATGGTGTGATGTTGACATATACACAGCGTATAAAACTAGTTAAATCAAATAATAGACAGGCATATATCAAATTACCGCCAGGCAGATATCACGCAGGTCCAGCAGGACACGGTGAGTACGACTAGTATTTAACTTAATATAATGTATAATGTAATAATATCTTACAGTGGGTGTGACATTAAAATCAATATTTACACTCCACCCCAGCCAAATTCGATCCTATCGTGTCTAGAGGGACGAGAATTTACGTCGGTTTTGTCAGTGTATAAATATACACCATATACCGTTGTAGGAACATGGTGCACACCATAGAACATAGAGTCAGCTATCGATTTTGATAGTATCTAGCTGTGTGTTAGGTATCAAAACATCTGGACATCACTGACGAGACCTAGGGCAATATAGTTTGTTCGATGCAGTGTATTAAAAGGTGCTTTCGCATATGCATACAATTTTTGTACTTATAAATGTACTTCACTGTTCACGTGACCTAGTTTAGTTTTATCTTTACAGTCCAGACAGCTGAGGCATTCTGCTCTCGTGAAAATGGAGGTGTTGGGGTTGGTAGATATTCCGACCTGGCTACAATGGCTGATGGTGTTCATTGGGCTGATAGTGGCATACGTTGTGTAAGTGTTAAAGCAAATACCCGATGCATATCTCATTGAGTGATATATCTGTGTGATGTAATTTTATGAGAGGAGACAAATGTAAACAAGTTTTCATCTTTTATTTGTGTAAAGGTAACACTAAATAACAACCACGTCGAATTATGTAACTAAATAACAATAAACACCGTCCGAGACAGACAGAGAACGACCAGTAGCGCTAAGCTAAAATGTGTATACATTGCATCTGAACAGCCATACATCCGATAATGTCTACACAGGATGATCATCCAATGTTTCAGGGGTGCAGAGAGCGAAAGTGATCGTAACCTCTTAATGATCTAGTTTATAGCGGAGTAGATGACATAATAAACGAGAGTGTCACTATTCATGTGTGTAAACAAACGTTTTACCCTTTGAGGTCCATCCGATTATTAGAAAGCATTATATCAAAATACCCTATCATGTAAGATAAGTCTGTAGAGAAGTAATAAGGTGTTCATTTCAAGGTAAGATGAAGATGTAGGTCGGGAGCTTAGCAATTATTGGTTTTCTAACAAATCATGACTCACATTAACACATACAAATGTACAAAATATGTCAACAACATATACAAAATGATAATTTAAATTACCATTGTCACTATAATTGTAGATATATGTCGTGGGACCACAACACGTTTAAGAAGATGGGAATTGATGGTCCTAAGCCTAATCCAATTTTTGGGAACATGAGGATGTTCTTTAAAGACGTAAGTGTAGACTTACATTGTTATAGTCAAAATCACTTAGCATGTTTATCTGTCTTGATCACGATGATAACAGGCGAGTAAGTATTTGTACGGTGAGTATATGTAAGACAAATCGTTACGAAAGAGTGGTTAACAACCTTTGACAGAAGAATCCAAAGTCACATATTTGGATACTTTATTTTTGGCCATGTATCCAGTAATGGTGAGGAACTTGAGGAATTATTGTGAAGGCTCAGGTGGAATATTCTTTGCAAAGTTCAATGTAATTGGTCATTCTCGCTGACCATCCTTGTTGTCAGTGGTTGCATTATTCCGTGTAGATATACAACTATAATAAGTGTTGCAGCTCATTTGTACAGTGTCATAGTACATGTTCGTGAAAGATTTTGTCGATACCAAAATGAATGACTTAGCAGGAATTAATGTTACTGCAAGTTTCTTATCAGCATCAGTACAAATTATAGATTAAGATTTACAAATTATAGATTAAGATTTGGAAGGTGTCTATTACGTCAGTAAAAAAGGACGGTAAAATAGTCCTTGCCTATGCGGTCTGACGTACAAAGTCTATGTATATAACAATACAATCGGAATGCCTTTCACTCGGGTCTGTGAGGAAAAACGAAGAATGATGGAGAGGCCGTTGGTTGGTTGCGCTATTTATTGCTTACTTGGTTGATTGTTTGGCACGTTGGTTGGTTGGTTGGTTGGTTGGTAAGTTGTTTGTTGGTCGTTTGGTTGATTATTTTGCTGGTTGGTTGGTAGGTTAATGGTTGGTTGGTTAGGTGTTTACATGTTTCTCTTCTCCTTTACTCCTCCTATTTCTAGTTGTCGTCTCAACGACAAATGTCAGTGTTCTGCCTGGGATAAAATTGGATACATTTTCAGTAATTAGCGTGTTTTCAGGAAAAAAATCTCGAATACGAAAGTACATGTACATAACACAGCACATGGTATAGAAAGTGTTTGTTCTCTTTACAAATGGTAGCTGACAATGTTCTGTTTGATTGCTGTGCCATCTATAACAAATAAGAATGTCCTCCTATTCAAACAGTTCAATGTTTACCCATCAACATAACGTTTAAACATTGAAAGCACATTGTAGATAAACAGACAGACGCGAATACAGATCCCTATGTCCTGAAATCAAAATCGAAAACAAAAGTATGTTTTACGGAGATCTTCGAATTGCAGGTTGATATTTAAGACAAATATTTATTAACATTTTAACCAATTTTAAGGATGTAAAAAATCTTTATAACACTGGAACCAAATATTTCAAAAACATTGGTAAACGAACTACAGTTGCCTGAATATTGGCGAAGGAGAAGGAGAAGCGATGTTATAAAAAGTCTTCGAACCAAGTATGACGTTGAAATGCTGGTTCATTATATCATACAACATGACTCAAATCAACGTTTTAAGGACTAGTGACATCTATGTAATTAGAAGGTGTTCAGACTAACGTCATCTAACAATACATTCCATTATGTACTAATGTGTCTTGTTAAAAAAAGTTTTGGCCGATTATGTTTTTGTGATGTGATTTAGGTTTCTTAGGTGCGTTTGACCCGATAATCAAATATTTGCACTTAAACCTTTAAGATATTGATTGTGTGTACAACCATATTGTATGTGTAACCGTATGTATTATACTTGACAATTTACTGGGTTCTTCAACATCCTTCTGTAATTTACATGTAAGGCAAATATGTATGTCCAAATTAGTTGTCGATCCAGTACAATGGGCAAAATGTGGAGGGGTTTGACAAAACATTTTTTCCGTCGATTACATAAAATTCTTGACAAAAAATAGTATTCCTGCGAACCCCCACTCCCGGGTTACGTCACTGCAAATGTTAGATTTGATCTGCGTAATTTTATTTTACATTCATGTGTTATTAAAATGTATTTATTACACGCTGTTATCTTTATATCCAGGGACTTATTAAGACGGAACAAGATATGTACCGCAAATATGGCAAAGTGTTTGGGTAAGTGATTTCATAAATATCCACAGCTATTTTTCTAACTTGTATCGTAGAACGACAGGATCATGTAAAAATATTATGTGGACATGTAACAGTATAAACAGTATAACATGAACATGTAACAGTATAACATGAACATGTAACAGTATAACATGAACATGTAACAGTATAACATGAACATGTAACAGTATAACATCAACATGTAACAGTATAACATGAGCATGTAACAGTATAACATGAACATGTAACAGTATAACATGAACATGTAACAGTATAACATGTAACAGTATAACATGAACATGTAACAGTATAACATGAACATGTAACAGTATAACATCAACATGTAACAGTATAACATGAGCATGTAACAGTATAACATGAACATGTAACAGTAACATGAACATGTAACAGTATAACATGAACATGTAACAGTAACATGAACATGTAACAGTATAACATGAACATGTAACAGTATAACATGAACATGTAACAGTATATGTAACAGTATAACATGAACATGTAACAATATAACATGAACATGTAACAGTATAACAAGAACATGTAACAGTATAACATGAACATGTAACAGTATAAATGAACATGTAACAGTAACATGAACATGTAACAGTATAACATGAACATGTAACAGTATAACATGTAACAGTATAACATGAACATGTAACAGTATAACATGAACATGTAACAGTATAACATCAACATGTAACAGTATAACATGAGCATGTAACAGTATAACATGAACATGTAACAGTAACATGAACATGTAACAGTATAACATGAACATGTAACAGTAACATGAACATGTAACAGTATAACATGAACATGTAACAGTATAACATGAACATGTAACAGTATATGTAACAGTATAACATGAACATGTAACAATATAACATGAACATGTAACAGTATAACAAGAACATGTAACAGTATAACATGAACATGTAACAGTATAAATGAACATGTAACAGTAACATGAACATGTAACAGTATAACATGAACATGTAACAGTATAACATGTAACAGTATAACATGAACATGTAACAGTAACATGAACATGTAACAGTATAACATGAACATGTAACAGTATAACATGAACATGTAACAGTATATGTAACAGTATAACATGAACATGTAACAGTATAACATGAACATGTAACAGTAACATGAACATGTAACAGTATAACATGAACATGTAACAGTATAACATGAACATGTAACATGAACATGTAACAGTATAACATGAACATGTAACAGTATAACATGAACATGTAACAGTATAACATGAACATGTAACAGTATAACATGAACATGTAACAGTATAACATGAACATGTAACAGTATAACATGAACATGTAACAGTATAACATGAACATGTAACAGTATAACATGAACATGTAACAGTATAACATGAACATGTAACAGTATAACATGAACATGTAACAGTATAACATGAACATGTAACAGTATAACAAGAACATGTAACAGTATAACATGAACATGTAACAGTATAACATGAACATGTAACAGTATAACATGAACATGTAACAGTAACATGAACATGTAACAGTAACATGAACATGTAACAGTATAACATGAACATGTAACAGTATAACATGAACATGTAACAGTAACATGAACATGTAACAGTAACATGAACATGTAACAGTATAACATGAACATGTAACAGTATAACATGAACATGTAACAATATAACATGAACATGTAACAGTATAACATGAACATGTAACAATATAACATGAACATGTAACAGTATAACATGAACATGTAACAGTAACATGAACATGTAACAGTATAACATGAACATGTAACAGTAACATGAACATGTAACAGTATAACATGAACATGTAACAGTATAACATGTAACAATATAACATGAACATGTAACAGTATAACATGAACATGTAACAGTATAACATGAACATATAACAGTATAACATGTAACAGTATAACATGAACATGTAACAGTAACATGAACATGTAACAGTATAACATGAACATGTAACAGTATAACATGAACATGTAACAATATAACATGAACATGTAACAGTATAACATGAACATGTAACAGTATAACATGAACATCTAACAGTATAACATGAACATGTAACAGTATAACATGAACATCTAACAGTATAACATGAATATCTAACAGTATAACATGAACATGTAACAGTATAACAAGAACATGTAACAGTATAACATGTAACAGTATAACATGAACATGTAACAGTATAACATGAGCATGTAACAGTATAACATGAACATGTAACAGTATAACATGAGCATGTAACAGTATAACATGTACCAGTATAACATGAACATCTAACAGTATAACATGAACATGTAACAGTATAACATGAACATGTAACAGCATAACATGAACATGTAACAGTATAACATGAACATGTAACAGTATAACATGAACATGTAACAGTATAACATGAACATGTAACAGCATAACATGAACATGTAACAGTATAACATGAACATGTAACAGTATAACATGTAACAGTATAACATGAACATGTAACAGTATAACATGAACATGTAACAGTATAACATGTAACAGTATAACATGAACATGTAACAGTATAACATGAACATGTAACAGTATAACAAGAACATGTAACAGTATAACATGAACATGTAACAGTATAACATGAGCATGTAACAGTATAACATGTAACAGTATAACATGAACATGTAACAGTATAACATGAACATGTAACAGTATAACATGTAACAGTATAACATGAACATGTAACAGTATAACATGAACATGTAACAGTATAACAAGAACATGTAACAGTATAACATGAACATGTAACAGTAACATGAACATGTAACAGTATAACATGAACATGTAACAGTATAACATGAACATGTAACAATATAACATGAACATGTAACAGTATAACATGAACATGTAACAGTATAACATGAACATGTAACAGTATAACATGAACATGTAACAATATAACATGAACATGTAACAGTATAACATGAACATGTAACAGTATAACATGAACATGTAACAGTATAACATGAACATGTAACAGTATAACAAGAACATGTAACAGTATAACATGAACATGTAACAGTATAACATGAACATGTAACAATATAACTTGTAACAGTATAACATGAACATGTAACAGTATAACATGTAACAGTATAACATGAACATGTAACAGTATAACATGAACATGTAACAATATAACTTGTAACAGTATAACATGAACATGTAACAGTATAACATGTAACAGTATAACATGAACATGTAACAGTATAACATGAACATGTAACAGTATAACAAGAACATGTAACAGTATAACATGAACATGTAACAGTATAACATGAACATGTAACAATATAACTTGTAACAGTATAACATGAACATGTAACAGTATAACATGTAACAGTATAACATGAACATGTAACAGTATAACATGAACATGTAACAATATAACTTGTAACAGTATAACATGAACATGTAACAGTATAACATGTAACAGTATAACATGAACATGTAACAGTATAACATGAACATGTAACAGTATAACAAGAACATGTAACAGTATAACATGAACATGTAACAGTATAACATGAACATGTAACAATATAACATGAATATCTAACAGTGATGTTTATGATAACAGGATGTACGAGTCCTATATTCCGGTATTGTACATCGCTGATCCGGTACTTTTGAAGGAAGTCCTGGTCAAAGAATTCAAAAGTTTCGTCAATAGAAGGGTAAAGGACATTAATATTAATTAAAACGCATTTATCTTTTTTTTTCTCTCACATTAACTCCCAATTAATATTGACTACATTAAGACGACAATCGATACATCTTAGATGAAAAGACAATGATATGGCGTTATTTTGGCGCCATTTTGACCTAGGTTTCGTCAGCGCTTTGTACTTTGTTTTGATAATTTTATACAAACCATCCAAATGTTTCTGATTTTCATGAATATCTGCAAGTAAATAAACACACAAAGCGAAAAAGAAAAGAAACCATAACTATTAAATGGTCGTCAGATCGTATTCAAATATCAACATGAATGTTTTCTGGGTGACATATATAGTACCATCAAATATTAGTTAATTTGGATAAAAAATATTTTGAAATTCAACTGCCAATCAATATCGCGAATATTATTAGAGTAAACGATATATGGTATCACATGTCTCAGTTATGTAATGTTGCCGCTCAATGCTTATGTCTTTATCTCCCTTTTTCAAATTTTAGGATACATTTAATAAATTTAGTGAATCCAACACGAAGAACATGCTTACACAGATAAGTGATGACCACTGGCGATTTGTCCGGAATACTGTTACCCCAACATTTAGTGGTAAAAAGCTGCGACAGGTGTGTATGATATAACTTTGTGTGAGGTAGGACAATTTGAAGCAAACGATTATAATCATACCATTCTTTTGTGTCAGACTGAATAGCTTTGCTAGAGAGATACATGGATACCTTAACCAAATAGGTAAAATTAACACGAGACTTCGCTGATGGGTAAACTTTGAAAATCACAGCCCGAGAGGATGATGGTTAACAGTAAAAGTAGGGGGTGTTGTTTAAACTTGCCACGAGAGGAAAATGGATAACAGTAACAGTAGAGGGGGAGGGGGTTGTTTAAACTTGTCAAGATCCACTGGTGCTATGCTATTGAGTTGACAAATGGTGGGAATTGTCAGAAATGGAAGTCAACACAGAACTGTTATCATTTTTGGCGTAGATCAAGTCATCTTTGTAAGGGATATTGCGGTTGCATAACCTCGATGTGATTTTGTATTTGGTATAATGTACGCATTGCCATATTGACATGTTATTTTCAACTATTATTCTCATAGATGACACCTTTGATAAACAACTCTGCGAACAAATTCATTGAACACATAGAAGAGAAGGTAAACAATGACGAAGAAATTGACATGAAAAGGTAAAGTTATTTATTTTAGACACGAGATTTAAACTTGCTGTTTATGCGAAAAACGTGACTTATACCTGTGAATGGCATACATTATGATCTCGGTATTATGGTATCGCAACAATCGTTCGAAAATCTGTTAAGGGAATTGATTTTGCTGTTTGGGAGTTATTTAATTACATTTGAAAGTATGTAGTGTACATTCAAAGTAAGAAATAATCAAAAAGTAAAAAACATTATGAATGAATCAGACTAGTTCCAATATCCAGTAGGTGGTTTGTTTAACCTCGAGTTAATTCTCATTACACACCAAACACCGAGTAGAAACAGTGTAACAAACATAATGTATCAATGCTCCGTTCTAGAAGATAAAATTAGCTGTATGATGAAGCTATTTTAATCATTTGATTCTGCCGTATCTAAATTCTACTCTTGTATTGATATTTAAAATTCATTGATTTCAAACATTTTCTTCGAAAAGGTTATATGTATACAGAGAACAGAACTTATTTTGAATATCTCCCCTGTGGATAGGGGTTAGAATATATCCGCTGTGCCCTACTGCATGTGGTAAAAGTCCACTAAAAGGGGCAACCTGTCTGCAGTGGGTTGCGTCCCGTTAGTACTGGGGGAAAAGGATCCTGGTGGTTGAGGGACGGTTATGTAATTTGCGCTTTATTCTCAAGCAATCTCGCATGGCCTTTCCCCAATACATCACTTTGGCCTCTATCTCAGTAAGACGGGTGATCATGGTGGTCCTCAATGATCAATCGGCTGGTCATGTCAAGCCCTGGGTCAACTAAATCTCCTTAGTGTTTCGTTTTTCCTTTTTATTTCACTCAACCGTATACCCATCTATTTTTGTAGCTTTTATTTAACAGTTGTATCCCAGAAGGCGGTGGCTTAAGGATCAATCGAGATAGTTCTATTCTTAGGAGTATACTGCCTGTGAATCCTTGGCACCCGTGTACCGGAGATCCGTACCGTTAGTATTGTCCCCTTGTTGGGCTCCGAGGTGGGTGAGGAGCACGGATAATGAAAATCTATACACCTAACTATGGGCACAAAAAGTCAAAATAAACGACATTGTCCTTCATCAGCAGACTCAGAAGATGACCCAAGATTTCAATCAGTTCATCGTCATACGTCAAATCAAAGTCATCCGTTTCACCATTCGTAATAGAAAAGACTATCCTGTCAACATGCGGTACTCCAAAGAGTGTGAAAAAACTGCGGTCGGGCGAACTCCTTGTAGAAGTTAACCGCCAGCAACAGGCCAAGAACCTCTTAGGAATGACAAAGTTTTTCGAAATAGCTGTACAGGTTGTCCCTCATTCCTCCCTGAACACATCAAAGGGCGTTATACGCTGTACATCCCTTCAGGGAGAGAGCGAAGAGATCATCCTCAGTTATTTCAAAGAAAAACAACAGCAAGTCAACCATGTGAAACGGACCAGGGTGAAGCGAGATGGCAACATCCGTGACACTAATACTTTTGTTCTTACTTTTAACACCTCAATTTTACCAAAACAGGTAAAAGTTGTCTTCATTCGTAATACCTTAATGCTATATCATGAACTTGCCTTTAACTTTCGTATTGCTTTTTGCTGGGTTCCTGGGCACATGGGAATACCAGGCAATGAAAAAGCATATCGTGCCGCAAAGGAAGCTTTATCGCTACCACCTGTTGTTTTAAGCTTCATTTTACCGATTTTAAACCATTTATTAAACAAATTTTAAAAGCTCAGTGGCAGGAGGATTGGAATACCTTTACCAATAACAAATTGCACTCCGTTAAACATGTTATCGGTGAATGGTCTCCAGGCTATAGAGACGAAGCTGTCCTTGCCCGTCTTCGAATAGGTCATACATACCTAATACATCCATATAAGTTGAAAGGCGAAGATAATCAGTGGTGCATAGTATGTGATGAGCCATTCACCGTTAAACCTTTTTTATTGGACTGCATTAACCTTCTTTCTACTCGAGAACGTTTTTATCGTAACATTACATGTCTAAAATCCCTTTTTGAAACTGTTGAGATTTGTAAAATTCTACATTACCTGGAAGATGTTGATCTATATAATAGACTATGGCGTACCATTTTAATCTTTTGTTTTAACATACCCATTTAAGATTTTTTAACCTTTCGGTTTGTTTAATGTTATTTCCTTTTGGATCGCTGTGTGTTTTTACCATTTGATGGCCCTAATGACCTTTTATGTGTTGACGGGCCGTTAAGAATGTAATAATAATAAAATAATATATTTTGAATATCACCACTATTAAGGAAGCTATGTGTAATGTTTCGATGATGTCATCGTCATCAACGTTTAAGTTGATTTAAACATATATATTGCCCCAAAATTAAGCAGAGGATTAGGCACAAGTTATTTAAACTTATGACAGCCTTTTCCTCTAATACAGTACATGATAATATTTACATAACATTAACAAGGCATACATTATATATTTAACACTTTTAAGTGTACGAGATGGTAATGTCAGGACTTGTGTTATGATTCTTTGTACACTGATGATATGGTCCAAATGCGTACAATTGCCATTTCGTCACATAAATTTCAAACTGATTGCTATATATATATATATACAAGAATATCTCACCTATAAGTTTAATTCACTTATATGTGTATTGTATTTTTCCTAGATTTATTGGAGGGTTTACAATGGATGTAATTGCTAGCACTGCGTTCGGTCTGGATGTCGACAGCCAGAATAACCCAGATGATCCTTTCACAAAGCATGCCCGAGCTTTCAGCGACACCACTGCTATAGCTTTTCTTGTCGTTATTTTGTGTAAGTAGCACATTTTGAATGAAGACAATATTTGATGGGAAAGTTTGCAAAATATTTTTCCACATAGTGCAAAAATATATTAAGTACATTGTACATTGTTTCGAAAAAAAACTACAGAGAATATAATGTTTCAACTGTACATCCATATAATCAGAGCGTAACATTTCAGCTAATGAATTGAATTTTCTTCTGTGAGACTTAATTCAGTGCAATAAAACTGGGAGGGCATTGACTCCTATCTCATTGCGTAAACATTAATATATACGTAATTCAGAATTGATCCAAACACATGAACTTTAAATTCCGTTACCTCCAATAGACTTAAGTAGATAAAACTTATGTTTCTCTCTTTTCAGTCTTTCTGCCATTTTTAAGCTGGATTTTCAGACTGTTATCATTCTTTGGATTCGGCTTGACGAAAATGAAACAAGCAAATGATTTCTTCTCGCGTGTCACTGACAAAGCTTTAAAAGAAAGGCGACAAACACCAGGGGTACGTCTGAAAAATATTTCTGCATATAAATGCACTTTTTTTATTTAAATTTCAAGTTTTAGATCAATGTTTTTGGGCATGTTTTAATCAAAAGACACACGTTGTGGGGAAAAAAAGAAGAAATTACCAACAGGTCTACAAAATTTTAATCCAACCTCAATTTCATTTTCATATTTTTGACCATCTTAGACTTATAAGCAAATGGAACCTTGTCCTTTTCTGTATACAGTTTAATATTCACATTAGTAGAATTAAAATTAGAACTTCAATTTTCACCTGTAGCGTCCTCCATTTTCGGAGGGCCAAGTTATCTGTTCACTTCCAACGGCGTCTTTTGTGAACGCGTTCCTGTGAACAGTTGGTTGGTTGGTTGACAGATTTCCCGTCTCCGTGACTTGCCCCGTTGACTAAAAGAATATCCACCTACCCTGAGGGTGTGACAGAGGAATCTCCAATCATAGGGGTGATTTTTTTGTTGTGTAACCTGAGGCTCTGCCGAGGGTTAGACTACAAAAAAATCAGCCTTCGGGTTAGATATTTCTCTGTCACATCCCTCAGGGTAGGGGAAGATTATTTTTCTCCCACCCCATTATTTCCGCCACGACGTCAAAAAAAAAAAAGAACAAAAACAATCCCATGGTACAAGTGTCTCAATGGCGCATGAACATCACCATCCACGTTTCATGACGTCACCGTTTGCATGTAAATCATTACGCAACATAATATTGGTCGCAAAAAATCAATGATGTTTATTGATAAATCATTTACAATATATTATTTCTTATATCAGATATCAATGAAATGGATCAACATATGCGATATATACCACATTCATATATAAACAGTCGTAAAAATATCATCGGTGTCAAACATTTGAAATTTAAATATCGTATATGTTCCTATGGGGCGAAAAGTGTCAACTATTTTCCCTATCCTACCATTTGCATCTACTCTCACCACACTTCCTACTTTGAAGTTCATGATTGATACAAATTCTGTTGTGTTAAGTTTAGATTAATTTGCTTCAGGAGGCTATCTCCCCATAGATGATGGCCAGCTGATCTTTCCCCGGTAAAACGGGAGACATGGCTGTGAATGGTGGGAGAAAAGTAGTCCCAACCCTCTCGTATGATAACTGAGTTCGATTCCTATGACTATTCCTATAACTAATGCATTCACATTTACCATCACTTTCATTTAACATTTTTCTGTTTACTAATTTTGATAAAAGTTGATAAATTGGAAGTTTGACTGCCCATATATCGACATGTGACAGGATTCTATGACACCCTACATTTGCTCTGTGCGTCATAATGTAAGGAAGTTTACGTTCTTTTTAAAATGAAATAATGGTTGGTTATGCAGAAACATTCTGATTTCCTTGGAATATTGGTGAATGCCGAAGAAAATGGCGCACAGGAAAAGCAGGAAAATGAGCAGAAAGCCGAAAATGAAACATCGACTACTTGGACCCGCAAGAGTGAGTTTGTAATTTAGAAATACTGGATACAAGAGAATTTATGCTATAAATAAACATAGAGGGGATCATGTTAAAGAACAAGTTTGATACAAATGATATTAGGTTTGAAATAATCACTGTCGGTGGTGATATTGCAAAAATAAAATCAAGTCTACCGTGTTGGCCTGACAAAATAACTGATAAAAATTCCTAATTCATGAACAGATAATTTAATACACTATTTGTTGATTTTTCTTTTAGCACTGACTGCAGAAGAGATCACTGCTCAAGCTACTTTATTTTTCGTCGCCGGGTACGATACGACAGCTAATACTCTTTCTTTCCTGATGTACCACCTAGCTGTCCACCCAGACGTCTGTGACAGACTTTTCCAGGAAATAGACGACAAGTTAGATGGGGTAAGAAACATTTACATGGCGTTTCTCCTGGATTTTTTTATACATAGTAAATACATTTAACGTTACCTGTTGCGAAATTCAGTGTTTTAATAGCACAAAAGCAAACAGGGGCTGGCCACTTTGTTGATAACGTCGTTGTCCATATCATTAAAAAATGTAAACGTTTTTAGGGTATTATACACTAGTGATATATATCAAAAATATTAAAGAGGTGGATTTTGTGGTTAACTGACAGATTATGACATAAAATTACTGTTATCAGTTACATATATGATGTTGCTAAATGCATTCATATATTACTTTGAAATGTTTGTCACGATTCCTCAAATAACAAAGTGATACATCGTCTCGGGATGTGTTATTTTACACCAGGATTGACTTATATAAACGATTATTACGTGTAATGTGTATATACATAAATTGGGTTCATAAAACTGAGCTTACAAACAGAACACATTATCAATACTATTTCTACAGGACTTTTCTAGATTGATGACAATTAATTGTCTACTGCAAGTTTGATAAACTCGTCGCTAATTCCCATTATTTTGATTGGAACAATTAAATATGGTTTCCTTTATATTTTCTTTTGTAGGAGAAACCTAACTATGATAACGTGGCCAATCTTTCCTACATGGAAATGTGTATCAATGAAACGATGAGGCTCTTCCCTGCTGCAGCAAGGTAGGAATTCGAATTCGAAGTTTCACGTGTGCGAAATAAGGTTGTCCTCACGTGTGCTTTTTTTGCATATAACACTGTTCATTTCACGTGAAGATACTTAAGACTGAACAAAACATTTTTGGAAACTTTGGACTTTGTTTTGTATCATAGATGTAATGGATGTATCTGTAAAATAATATTGTTGCACTATTGTATAAAATACTGTTTAAAATTAGATCGCCATCGCCATTAAAATTTCAAAATCTGACTACTTCTTCTCCTGGAGAAGTTTAACGTTTCATTATTTCTTTTACAGTTCTGTTCCAAAAGGACACCAAAATACATTTTTATTCTCTTAAACCGCTTTCTTCATCTTTTAATTTGAATGTAGTTTATATATGATACATGTGTTAGTTGAAATTTGTCTACTTGTATAGAATTGACCGCATGGCCTCCAACGATGTTACCATAGGAAATATCAAGATCCCGAAAGGAATGATTATAAACATACCTGTAGGTGCCATACAGATGGATCCCGAGTACTGGCCAGAACCCGAGAAGTTCGACCCGGAAAGGTAGGCAGTACTTTCATAACAATAACGCAAAGCGGAATGCACACGCGTCAGAGTAAAAGGGGGAACTGGTCAATAATCTGGAAAAAAGGCATGGCATTCTTTGTCAGAGTCTTTCAGGATTAATGCATAGAGAAATCTTATTTAAAATTTCTCGCCGCCATCATATCACCATTCTTTATGATCAGAGCAATCACTATTTTCTGTGTTTCATGTAATGGAGATGCTTGCTGCCTAGTGGTACAAATACAATCAACATAGAATCCATCGCTTACCTTAGGCCTTCGATATATTGCACAAACGCTATAAATATATTAATATTTGGTAATGACTATATTGTACTATAAAATAAGAAAATGATCAGACAATTGATTGAGGATTCAGGAAAATATTTATTTGTTTAACGAGATTTACGACCACTATTACGGCCTTTCTGCCTTTCAGCGGACGATAAATATTTCTTAGTTATGTCATTATCATAATATGCAAGTTCAAATATGTTCAGAATATAATAAAACACTTGTTCTAACAATCGACCTCGACACAACAGATTCACCCCAGAGGCCAAGGCTAACAGAGACCCATTCGTCTTCATGCCATTCGGTGCTGGTCCCCGCAATTGTGTTGGAATGAGACTGGCTATGCTTGAACTCAAGATTGCAATAACAAGAATTCTGCAGAAATTCCGACCTGTTAAAGGTCCAAAAACAGAGGTAGTGTTCAATGTGTTTATAGAGAATCATTATACACAAAAGCAACCTTATCAATCATTCGTGTATTAGATATCATACGTCGGTATATCTTATTCGAATTGAATATACCATAACAAATATTTTTGTTATTTATATATACATATATATATTGTTAACTTTCGGAAGAAATTGGTTTTGATTTTCTGAAACAGTACTACCTCGTTTGTCGTTACAGGTTCCTATCCAAGTTTCCAAAATGGGAAACCTTCCATTGGGACTTTACCTTAAATTTGAGAAGAGGGAGTAAAGTTTTGAAGTTACAGGTTCCTATCCAAGTTTCCAAAATGGGAAACCTTCCATTGGGACTTTACCTTAAATTTGAGAAGAGGGAGTAAAGTTTTGAAGAAGCCAGGATCAGTGTGCTACATAACAATCGTTTTGTACAAATCGATATTTACCCAAAGGTGTTACATTAGAGACACCTACTTGTGGACGAGATAAAGAAATATCTGTAATTGATAACAGTTGATTTTTAGGTTTGTATGCTTTGCAAATGAATTCAAAAGACAAATTTCATGTTGCACTTTGAGAATGGATGCCGCAGATGGATCCCCTGTCAATCATTATCGATTGACATGCTTGCGAATGATAATTGTTATCAACGATAATCTAGTGTTAGATTGTAGATATTTATATATAACATAAGTTTGTTATATATTTTGATACTGAAATTATTTAGAACATATTTCAACAGGTATTGTTGTTGATTAACGAGCTATTAAAACAAATACATCGATTGACACGTCGTTGAAATCTTGGTGCATACACTGAGGTAAAAATAGTCTGTAGTTTTGTTTTTTCCTAAATATCGTGTCCTTTTCTGTCGGTTTTTTTTTCAGAACTTTCCTAATGGAACATTTTGTGATATATATATATATATAATCGTTTAATTGTATATGATTAAGTGATACACAATATAGTCTGTTTGTATTGAAGCTTCTACGATATCAATTATACGGACATTTTGACAAATTATGCGTGACAGAATATCAAACGTAACGGCATGATTATAATATACTTTATTGATAATGCAAACATGGCGGTGAAATAATGTAGTATATTGTACATGTCAGGCAAAATTTGTAATTTCCCATTCCAACCTCTACATGTACAGACGAAACGTTTGCATATCTCTTTGTTTGTTTTTTTATTTATCAGTTACATTTAGAATTCGCGTGACGTAATCAGTAGTAAACAGTGACAACGGCAACACGTTACCTAACAGCTGTAAATAAAGGCATATTTGTAGTAAAGTCTGTTGTATGTATTTGTATTATATATATGTTTTCCTTCGAAAACATCCTTTCTCGTTATTCACTGCATTATCAATTGTTGTACATGTATAAAAAAAATTGTGCAATATGTGTGAGAGAGGGCCGATAGAAACCTCTTAAGGCCGAAATCTGCCCTCAGAGCTCAGTTTGAGTACCAAAGAACACAGGGTGACATCACAACTATCTGTATATTTAAACTTGTCATATATATTTGTTGGATTGCTGTTGAGTCAGTCTTCTGATGTTCTTGTCAACGCTGGTATGTATGATCGTGAAATCTATGTCTCGACTTGTTTTACTTACAGCTATATCAAAATTAAAACCTGCTGACAGTATGCACGAAATAACAAGAAAAATATAGCAGTTTCTCTGCAATATGCTCTAGGAGATGAGGGAGACATATCAAACGTATTGTTCTTTTTTTTAAATACATTTCATTTGTAATTAACATTGCTGAACAATTTGAGATATTTCTATATTATCTTCATTCGTGTAGTTATTATGCTATGATGTAGTAACTGCAGGTCTAGCGGGATAAAATCATGTCATTCAGAGATTAGATTTACTCTCTGGTCAAAGTAATGATTACAACTTAAAAACATATATGTGTGTGTGTCTTCTTAATGATATATGCATTGGCGGTAACGGTTATCTACTAAGGGCCGGTTTCCAAAACGGCCCCTTCTCTGATTCAAATTTCCTGTTGGTGGTGCATTGCCCATGCCGTTGTAGTCACAAATCTATAAAGTATAAAGATTTAGGTCACTTGGTTTGTTTTTTATGGCTCCTCAAAGTTGTACCTTTCAGAAGCTGTCTAAGTGTTGATAAAATGTGCATGTTATGTAAAATATTAATGAAAATTTAATCAAATGATAGTCACCGTAAAGAATACATTCATGGCATGATTGTGACAAAAAATCATGTTTCCATCGCGCCATTTGGCTGTTTTATGGAAGAAACAATCTCAAAAATGCCATTTTCGATGATAACATTTTAGACACAAAAACTGTGTTTTTTAGAGAATACACCCTTTTATGGGCGTTGGATGCAAACCAATTTTTATCCTATTAAATAGTACGTAATATGCTATTGATGAGAGGAAATATCATCAAAATGTAAGTGGTGGAACATTTTCAAATGTTGGGTTGAATTAGCCTATGGTTGAATTGCCGATTTTCGACTTTCCTTAGATAATTAACAAAAAAACGAGAGTATTTGCTCGGTATGTTGAGAATATGTACACAGATATGAAAAAAAAAGTGAGAGAAACACTTTTTCATAAAAAAATCTAAGATGGCTACTTCACAAGTCCCCGTGGTTGAAGACATTGGCTGACAAATAGACAGAACAACAAACAAAACGTGTTCCTTATGATTTTGGTTGGTTTTCGCATTTACGGGAGTGTTCATAGCTACGGGCGATTGTATAATACCTATATTTATAAGTTTGGTTAGTCACATGGTAACGGGGATCTTTCATATCGAGCCCCAAACATACTTTCGACATATGAACTCCGTTGCCGCATGGAAAACTATTTCAAGTTTTGTCGGAATTTCTTTACCTGTGGTTGTAATGGTCGAGGGTTTTCCAGCGTCCTGTAATACCCAAGGTAATACAAGATACTGGAGATGTGCGCACACATTCCCATCGTTCTCTCTCCAACTGGGCACTGGCAGTAGTAGTCCTTTATTGGGGCCTCAACATCGGGTGAAACGGTGAACCGTATCCAAACGTTATATTTCGTTTGGCTTTTGTGTCGAGAATGTATTTGACATCGGAGAAGGTCTGGGGAGTGCTGGTAAAGCCACACCTCATAGTCTCCGTCATCACTTTAATGTTCGGCGATGTAACCAGGAGCCAGAGATATCTGATACGTTCCACACGTAATGGTTCTCAAGTAATCAAGATCGAGACGGGGAAACAGTACGGAAGATGCATCTATCTTGACAAACTCGGACCTTGCCCGTCTAGATAGATCCGGATCTATCTTGACTCTCTGAGCTAAACCATTCGGTGTTGTCAAACGGTCCTTCATACGTTCAGCCATTAGCCTATCTTTGGCATCTCTCTCTGGAGATCTCTGGTAGATCGGTCCTCTAATACCATTCAGACAGGCTGTGACGGTTCGGAGCAAAGCCTCAATGACATTGATAAAGCTGTTAGACACCAATTGCGTTCGGAAGAACGTCCAGTGTTTCAAACGACCATGATAGGATTCCACAATCCATATAGATTAAGTGATAGTTCTGTCAAGATTTGCGTGGACGTCAGAATGTTGACTTTGACCGGGTTTCAGGTATGACGGCATGCTAACATTGAGGCCAGAGGCTTCGAGAACTGGTAGGACATCTCTAAAACCTCGGTCAACGACAACGTTGTCGTCTGGTTGTAGCCAAGTAACTAGCTTGTCTATTACTTTTTTTGTAATTGTAGCATCATTTTCGCTGCCAGTGAATGGTCCTACGGTGTCCAGAATGTAGCCATCTGGTAAGGCGATGCTCATGAATATGACATAGTTTCTCTTCTTCTGGCCACAGTAGGACATTCTCTGGAGCTTGTGGTCGGAGCTTTTCTGGATATAAATATAGGTGCCATCTAATATGGCAGTGGCTTTATCTCCAAAAAATGCTTCTGAAAAGACAGTATTGTGCTCGAGCAATTGTTCTCTTGTCAAGTGATCCGAACCCACAAGTGTCAACACACTAAAGGTCTCCAGTTAAAGGTCGGTGCCCAAACTATTGAGGCCGTCCAAGCTGTGAGAAACCTTGGTGTATACTTTGATAGCTCTCTGAACATGGAGAAACAGATAAACTCAATTGCCAGTTTCTGTTATCACCAAATCAGAAACATTGGGGGTATTCGTCAGTTCATCACCACAGATGCATGCAAGACACTGGTACATTCTCTTGTTACTTCTAGGTTAGACTATGGTAACGCGTTACTCGTTGGTGTATCTGATACACTTATGAGCCGCCTGCAGAGGGTACAGAACACCGCAGCACGCCTAGTTACCCGTACTCGAAAGAGGGACCACATTACACCAGTCCTTTACTTATTGCATTGGTTGCCCGTGCGATTCCGGTCACAGTACAAGATTTTGATGTATACATACAAGGCAATAAATGGAACAGCTCCTGAATATTTGCAGGAACTTGTCACTGTTTATCGGCCGTCACGATCACTACGATCGGAGACAGAATCCTTGTTGTGCGTTCCGAACTCTCGTATTGTGACTTATGGTAACCGGTGCTTTGGAAAGGTAGCGGCCACTTTGTGGAACAGCTTACCATCTGCTACTAGAAAGTCAAAATCCCTGGCCAAATTCAAGAGGGATATTAAAACCCACCTGTTTACGTCTGCATTTTAGACTCTCACGCAGACGTCCTGTATATACATACTTTCACCACTACTTACTTGATTTGGTTACTGTGTTACATATGTTGATTACTGTGTTATACATGTTCTATAAATTTTGTAGTAAGATTATTATGTAATTGTGAAGCGCATTAGAGTATTTTGTCAAAAAGTGCGCTCTATAAATGTGGGATATCATATTATTATTATTACTATCGATGTGTCTAATGCCTGTACTATGGAGTGGAAAGTTTTGGACACACTTGACTTGGAAATTCCAAAAAGAGAAGAACACTGACTCCAGGAAATGTCGGTTTTCAGTTTTACCCAGAACAGTAATAGAGCATCGTGTGTAGTCTTGGTATATATACCAGATGAACCTGCCCAGGCCATGCATGCCGAGTCATCAAGAGAAGAAAAGCTTATTGTAAACGCTGGCTGGTTCTGTGAAAGGACGTGCGACACCTCTAGAAGGTCATTAATGATTTCGGACAATTTCGATGGTAACTGAGATTCCAAGGAACCTCTACCATCAAGGACAACCTCTGTAGACGGATCTAAGTCGTTACCAATAAGGTGAATGGAGCAGACGCGGGATGAGGTGGGACACCACAGTTTGTGTGAATAGATCAGGTGATGTCTTGCACGTTTTGGTAAGACTGATGATTTTGTTCCATTTTTTGGAAAGGTAACAAGACAGAGACAGCATTTTTTGTGTGAAGATGATCCATTCAAAAGATCATGAAGGGTCAGCAACGGCAGGATATGGGACGGGGAGTCGTCTTCTTCCTCTATTTCCTGGTTCTGCTCGGGTTCAGGTTCAGGCTGATTTTTGTTCCGAAGATACTTTATGTAGCACTTCTGGGAAGTAAATGCTTGTTCCTTTGCTGACATCAATCCTTGTTGCACCAGCGTATCTAGGAGCCATTTATATTGTGGACTATTTACATTGCGTGCACTTCTGTTCTTATTGCCACTACGTTTCTTGAAGTATACTTGACACTCTTCTCCAACACATTTACCCTCCATCTTGAAACAATAACGATTGGTTTATGAAGCGTCGATAAAGTAACAAAATAGCAAGCCACCGATGATTGCTGTAAACAGCTAATACTTAGTAGTTTGGTACAATTATGCGAAAATGTGTGATAAATAACGAACAACTAATTACACAAAATAACAAAACAATATAATAAATCACATTCAATACCTCCAAGAAGCGCAGAATTGATTGATTACTTAGAACAAAATAAAGTATTTCATATGAATAATCTATCTATTCGATGTGGCGTGGTCGGCAGGCACAAAGAAAGTGAGACAAGTCAGAGTCCCAAACCTGACAGAGCCACAACGCTTTGGAGATGGGACAATAAAACAAGGAAATTGAGACAACAATAGCTAGCGTCGAGTGAATGATTTCGTAATAGTATAGACAAAGACAAGAAGATACGGATAAATGTACAAGGCCACACGATCAGACAATTCAGAAGAGGACAGCTTGAGATAGAACAGTATTCATGTATCAGGGTGTCCTCAGTGTAAATCTTTATATCGATACTATTTATTTAGTCGTTACACATCATAAAACTGTCATGAAAATATCCGCTCTGATATTCAATGTAAAAGTTTGTATATAATAAGCTATATAATAGGGTTTCAGACAAGGTTGTTACTCATTTCCCCTTTTCTTTCAATTACAACCACATTCAGGCGGCGATATGAGAACGTTCCACCACATGGAATTAACTGATTTTTGGTACACATATGAACCAAGTAAAGCTCTATCCGATTATTTGATGGAAATTTGCATTCAAAACTATATAACGGGAGAAAATTGCAAATTTATGGCATTTTTCTTCATAATTGTGTCTCTGCAAGTGCATTTTCATCCGAGAATATTTTTTTTAATGTTTTATGAATAAACACGATGTTTTGGAAATATTTATCAAAAGAAATTTATACTATGTTGCGAATTACAATTTCGAGATAACCTTCTTTTATTTACGAACTTATGTCTTTGATGCTGAAATTGACAACTTTATAAAAATACATTTTCACTGAAATTATGAAATCTGGGTGTCGGAAAGGTGTAAAATTATTTTTCGGAAAAGAAAAAAACAGTAGTTGAGCTAGATAAGAAATTATACGGGGGCAGGCTCCTATGGAGAATTAACATTACTGGAAACAGGCCCTTTGGATCTGGAAAGGTCATTGTATAAAGTGCTTATTATAATGATTTTAGTATGTAATTTTCCCGATTACCTACCAAAATAGTGTGGAACTAGTTGTAGTCGGAAATTTTTACAACGAAAAGTTGTGTGCATCACGGAGACCATGTTAAGAGTTTTCTGACAACTTTGTGTTACCCATGGGTACACGTCCGTCCGTCCCGTACCATCGCGCCACTTTCCGAATCAATGAGTTAAAATATCTTGAGAACTTCCCAATAGATTTGGTTCATATTTACACCGATACTATGACATGTTTCTACACCGATCGTATTAAAATGACCATCGGTCAAGGTTAAAAGGTCAAGGGTCACATTTATCAGGCTCCGCTAATTCATCAAGCAATGATAATAGGAGCGTTGTTACATCCACAATGTCATCGTTGTATCTTTTGGGATATAGACGATAATCATGTTTGGAAATCACAATATAGATGCTTTTATCTAAATCAAACAAGAAAATATTGATATATTGACAAAAGCTTCAAACAACGGCAAAATAAGAATACATTCAGATTTACACAGAAGGCCAGGGTGGAAAGCCAGAAAGCCTAGTCTTCTAGTTTATTGTCATTCAAAGAAAGTTCTGTCATTTTCAATATATTCTAGTACAACAACAACAGATAGGTTACATTATTTTCTATAAATTGAATTAACTTCTCTCAGACGCTGAAAAAACTGACAGAACTGTCAGTGAAGTATCCTTTTATATTAGTCATAATGGCTTTGTCTTGTGGGTTCACTGCGAGACCATGGTGTGTTTTGGACCTGTAGTGCTGCAGTTCTCGGATAACAGTCCGACCTTGATTCAACTTTCATGACCGTGAATTTATCCCGATTTCGTACCACAGATGGATAATACCAACATGACAGGTAGGTTGGTTTCGATGTTGAATGTATAGCAGTTCTAACTTTTAAAATGATGATTTATGAGAATTGTATTGTGTGTTAATATCCTTGATAGACACGATATTATGTGTGGAAATTCAAAGCAGATTGAAAAGAACCGAACAAACATCAAACTGCACAAGTGATCAACCATGGACAGTTCGGTCGCTGGAACTTTAAACGTTCAGTGCCAAGATAGGTGTACACACTTACATATAATACCTACTAGAACCATTCGTCAGTGCCAAGATAGGTGTACACACGTACACATAATACCTACTAGAACAATTGTTCAGTGCCAAGATAAGAGTACACATGTACACATGAAAAACACATCAAAACGATCCTTACACATTAATAAAATGACGTATACACTTAATACAGTTTCAATAATCCTGACGTATTCAAATAAACGTACACACGTAAACAAACAAACATGAGAACAATTCTTCCGCACAAAGATAATTTTACACGCGCTTATTCTATTTCTAAACAAAGTTGTAAACAGATACGTCCCTGGTTTAAACAATCTCCCTTTTCAATGTTATTTATATCAACTATTGTGGATCGGCATAAATGGAACATGAAAAACGACTTACACCTGTAAAATAAAGGTTCATTTTTCAAACAATTTGATAGATGATCTGAACTTTGACAGAAATCATCCGACGAAGGGCCAGCCCCGGTCTGGTCTGATATTTGTGATGTTTTTCACCTCAGTAGTAGAATCTTTTCACCCATATATTTTGTAAAGAATTGTGAGTCATCCCTTTTAATACAAGGTTGACTAATCAAACTACGTTGTGTCATATGGCAATAACTTTCAGCTATGATATAAGCGACTGACACAATTTTGTTGGTATATTATCAAGGATGCTGCTCCCAAAATGCCAAAAACGTAAGACAGAAATTTCGACAGTTTAAGAATTCTAATGAGGAGGGTTTTTAAAAATGACCTTGGTTATGTACCATTCCATAATGCTTGTGTTTATGAAGATGCTTATGATGTCTAATGGGCACACGAGTATCTGCTAACAAACTGAGTTGTTGATGAACATCTTCCATATAGGGAAAAGGTTCTGCACAAACGTTTTTCTCATGATAACTTAAGTTCACTTTGGACGATCGATCTCAAGCAGGATTAAAAATGTTTCTGGTGAGAAATATCTCGTTCAGTACCCATGCACGGAATTCGTAGAAATGCGCTAAATGTTTACTGAACCAACGCATATTTAATTAACATCAGGACGTTGCTTAAACATTTTCGAAAGAGTGAAAGTTTTTTTATGGAAATGATTGGAAAATCCCCAACTACAGACACCAGAGAGCTTAACACTGATACTGGAAGTATGTCCTTTTCTTGAAAATTCTGGAAGGTGTCACTTTGTGGAAAATACGAAAATCCTTGTATACGTGATACACACTAAGAAAGGGGATCATAAAAGTAAGGAAAATTACAGACCTGTGAGTGTTTTACTTGTCCTATCTGAAGTTTTTGAAAGGATTCTTCGTGATCGACTATGCTCATTCTTTGATCCAATTCGTTTTGGCGGTTTTCGGTTGCCAGACACTTTTCTACGAGTGGAACTCGATCCTGGAGGACTGGCGTCAGGTCTTGGACAACAATATCTGTTCACGGCTAGACTGTTCATCAATGCACCTTGTCAGCGACAGACTCCATGCGAACTGGTCTGGGGGCAAAATGGTTTTCCCAAGGTGTCACTAATTGGCCCATTGCTTTTTGGCATCCTAATTAATACTACATTCTCTCTTTTGCCAAAAGTCACAACACCATCCTGTCAAATACACTGGGAATGAGAGTTAGGACTTAGTGAGTTGATTTAATTGTAATGGAAAGCGAATCTGGCCAAATTTCAAATCATCTGCCCAGACGATAAAACAAATCAAATTATTCCTTCTTTCAACATTGACAACAAATTAATTGTGAAAGTTCTGTTAAACTTCTTATTCCCAAAACGAATGGTTGTTACCTCGCTAAGAAGCGCAATTTTTAAATATTTTATTTGTTTATTTTACAGTTATTTGCTACTGCTCTCCGGCATTGCACATCTGAAGTATGAAAATCACTAGAAAATCAGAAAAGATAGAGGAAAGGTCACTCAGATTTGCAGAGAAAAAAATATACTCTGCATTTACACATACTTTTAGAAGAAAAGAATTGCTGTTTCTTTTATGTCAGACGACTTGGAAATATGGCTATGGAAGTGTTTTAATATTTTAAATGGTATCGATTCACAGTACATATCTGATTTGGTGAGCTTTAAAAATTCAAATTATAATATCAGGCGCGACCTCACTGTTACTATTCAGCAGGTCAAGACAACTTGGTATGATAAGAAATCCTTCAGATTGGAGACAGCCCGGGTGTCGTCCAGCTTAACTTATGAGACATTCCGGAGACGATTACACGCCTGGGGCAGGTCGGTATGTAGTTACAGTGACGTATAATACATAAACCATGAACTTGCATTACATATGCAATATTATTCAGTTAATCCTTTGATTTTCTTACCGCTGTTTTCCTTTCTTTGTTGTCTTTTTTCTTTCCCTTTCTTTCTATTTTACGCGAAACGAGTTTATAACGCCATTCTAGAATACTTTCTAAATACTGTTTTAGATTATGATATATTAGCATGAATCCTGTTCCTTTCATTTATTTACTTATTTCGACATATAATTAAGACACGCATCTCTTGAATGATATGCTGCATGAGCATTTTGTTTGCACGACCTTTAAAATTAGTTATCCTACTATTTATTCAGCTTACTGTGATGCATGGCTTCGTTGTGATATTTTGTTGTGTTTATCATTGTATTGCTGTTTTAGTCACACGAGAAGTTCAGATTCGACTCAATCTGATTAAAATACATACCTCAATGAACGGAAGACATTGAAGTGGTACATTAAGATCTGTATTTTAATCAGATTGGACTCTACTGTGCTGAAGTTCTAAAAACGTGATTAAATAAAAATGTCTCGTGAATCAAGCGGATTTGACGCTTATCTTGGACTTATTCAAACTCCAGTGTGTGTTTTGCTTAGTATTAAAAGAACTAATTGTAAAAAAATACGTATTAAAAATGACAACATTTTTGCTGTCCTAACTGAGCTTCGAACGACGACTGACAATGTTATGGTCTTTGCGACGCATGCGTAATTCTCTTAGTAACTACAAATAATATATTTTTAATCCGCATTAAACAAAAGCGGAAAGCATCGAAGCGTTTAAATAGTGTCACATTTTATTGAATTTAATTCACAATTTTTTCTTCAAATTTTAAATGATTTTGAATTATCATATTATATATTTTATGTTAATTTGTTTTAAATTGGCAAAATATTAATCTCAATCCAAGGTTGGTTTCGTTTGTTTTCGAGCACCTGTTTTTAACCCCAGTGCATCCTATTGTCAAAACGAACGGATAGTGTCAATATTATCACCCGACCACCGCAAACTACAGCAAAATGGAGAATTTGAAAGCAAAGGCCAGGTCAAGGAGAAAACTGGTCGAAGATTTACACCGAAAGAGCCACTGTAAGCTTTTCTTAATTCCTACAGCGATAAGTTGTGATATATGTTAAAGTCCCGTTGCAGTGTCCATTTCCGCTAAATGTTTATATTAACAACGCACACTTGTACAAGTTACATGACCAGCTAATATGTCTTACATATAGAATGCAAATACGAGCACATTATGTGAATACACCGTAATTTCCAGTAAGTTTTGATCTTCATTCTGTTGACAATATATGTGTGAAGACTTGAAGAATAAGAGTTTTAAATGTCACTTGTCAGCTGATCAGTAAAAGGTTCATTGCGCAGATTACAGCCTTCTGTCAAATTAGATTGTAATAGTAATTAAGGGGTAATGTCCTGTCCTACCATTAGTCCTGATTATCCTTGTTTCTCTGGCCTAAACCATAGACTAAGAGTTTTTGGTATCTAATTAATTCACAAAGGTAGCTAGCTCTCTTGGTATTTACAATATTCAATTCCTCCTTCACAATCTTTAACCTCAAAGACAACAACCCAGCCTAACCGAACTTTCCTGTGGCTCCACACCACACTTTTGGCATATTGGCAGACAATTAACAGGTGGAGGAAATATCAAATTTGCATACATGTTTAATACACATTATATGCCAACTGCAGTATGGATTTATTAATAAAAATAGCTGAAATCTCTTAAACAGATAAAAGTCGCATTAATTTATGACAAGTTGAATTATTTTTAACACTAAGATGTTTACTGAAAGTGCTGGCTCCTTAAAAACTTGATGTAATAGTCCTGCCTTAGTAACTGTACATGTACTACATGTATTTAACATGGGCTGGAAGTACTGCACCTATTTTCTGTACTTTTCCATGTATAAATATTTTTTTTATTTTTGCAGTTGTTTGATGTCTCAGTACTAAATAAATGTGAAACAAAGTAAACAAATTGAAAAAGCAAAGTTTAAAGTGATTTTGACAATATTTAGTAACAAATTGGGGTATAATAGACCAGTTCGCATATCAAATTTATCACTGATGTTGGTACCCATTCTTCTATTCACACTAGAAAATTTGATATATAATAATTCAACCACTAGATAAAGCCTATGATAATACAGCTACATACATATATATAACCTTCGTCTGAAAGGAAATTTCCACCTGACGAGACAAGTAATTAAAGTGATGTGTCCTATCAACTTCTACACTACATACTTGCTCCTTCACAAGTCTTCATCACTAAAGACAACCATAACCCAGCCCATGCAAGTTCTTTATAATTAAAAAGCTATTGCACTGATAACAAAACATTTCATCTCCTATAGCTTACTTGCAGTATGGGTTGCCATTATGTCAACAAATCTGATTTCAATACATATATTATAAAAAGATTGCAATTGCCTTGCACACACTGGGGTTTGAACTAGCCATTTCCATCTCTCTGTTATACCCACCAGCAAAGATGTAGTAAGGTAAACTGCATCTAGAACTTTACACTACTTCTTACTTCACAAAGTCTCCCCTTGCTCCCAAATGTAACTGAACCTTTACCAGGTTCTTTTTCTCCAGCAAAGCTTCTCATTTTTCATATATTGAATGGTCAGCAACATAAAATCCTTGTAGTAGCTGGTGGCTACATCACTGAACAACCTATTTGAGGCCCATCACATGATATCTAGAGCGATTAGGGTAAAGTGTCTTGCCCAAGGACTGTATTAGTACATTCCGATCAGGTTCTTAGCTTCTTGTGTCATGGTTGACACAAAAACATCAGATAATAAATGGCCCAACTAGCAGCTTCTAAACTGGTCTCTTTCAAGAATAACTCGGAGACAAGTCACAATTTACTTTCAACTGAACTGAATGATATAATGAGATAAAATTTCATTTTACCATCTATATATTTTATATTATTGCTATAATACCAGCTTTAAATGAAAATGGAAATTTCATTTTCCAATGTACTGATCTGAGATTTTAATGTTTCTTTTCCAGTTGAAATTCACGAGGTTGAGCTTTTACTCAAATTGCATCAGAGAAATGCAGATACACCCGGAAAATCTGACAAACCAAAAATTGACCGACAAAAATTTGCAGATATTCTGTATGAGGAATTTAAATTGACAGATGATGTCTTAAATGATCGTAGTAAGTTGATCTTTTTTTCATAATGCATACATGTATGTGTACTACAGTATACAAACTAAGCTAAATCACTCTCTGTAACTAGGCTATTGACACATCAAAAAAGGCCTCACATTATGTCTAACTGGAATGATAACACTGATCGAGTATTACATCTTGTATGTGCCAAATACAAAATACGTTTGATATATTCCGTAGACCTTTCATGACAACTTGGATATATACATATATTCATAAGTATTAAAATCATGCAAACTGAATAGTCATTAATTGTTTATTTTTTGATGGGTTTGGCTATACTATGCAATTTTTATTATCTTTTATATTCACCTGCTGTAACATTCTCTTTGATTCCTTTCATTGAGACAAAATATTACTGATAGCATACTGTTTTGAGAAATATTACTGATAGCATACTGCATTGAGAAATATTACTAATAGCATACTGTATTGAGAAATATTACTGACAGCATACTGTGTTGAGAAATATTACTGACAGCATACTGCATTGAGAAATATTACTGACAGCATACTGCATTGAGAAATATTACTGATAGCATACTGTGTTGAGAAATATTACTGACAGCATACTGCATTGAGAAATATGACTGACAGCATACTGCATTGAGAAATATTACTGATAGCATACTGTGTTGAGAAATATTACTGATAGCATACTGTGTTGAGAAATATTACTAATAGCATACTCAGTTAAGAAATATCACTGTTGACATCGTGATTCATAATATCACGAGAAAAATACTATCTAATAAAATATTTAAATGTAACCTTGACTTGGAATCAATTAACTTCAAAATAGGATTAGGATTTTCCTTATTTGTTTCTGGTCAAGTTTGCTTCATAATGTCATAAAATATCTACCAGAATAATATTCCGATATGACCTTGTAATCTTGATCTTAGTCAGGCTATTTCTTAATGGATTCTATTTAGTGTTGGCTCATATTTCTTAACAAAATGTTTACCAGTAAAATAGTTCAAATCAGATGTTGACTTTTCTCATTGTGATCTTGACCAGTGATTGGGCAACTTCTTTTAAGATTTCTGTCAACTTCACTTCATAATAATGCTATAAGGAAATATTTGCAAGTAAAATATTTCTAATTTTACCTTGACCTTTAACATGATGGCCTTGACCTGTGATTAGTTGTTTCATTATGTTATCAATAAATATGTATCGATAACATTCAGATATGAGATATTCTTGTGCTGTATACTACTAGTTCTATCTAGAGTAATGGTGACCTTAACTTTTGACCTCTGAACTTGGAAAACATTAAAGCCATTGAGAGCTTGCAATATATGAGAAGAAGTGACAGAGCTATAGATATTTTGCAGAAACCAGTTTTCTATTTATTGTTATAGTGACTTTGGTTATCAACCTCACAGACACCCCTAAAATCACTCCAACCCACTTCTTCGAAGAAGCATTGAGTAAAAATTGAGTGTAACTATTGTGACAAAACCAAAAAAATAGACAGACAGGCAACCAGATTACTATAGGGCATTCATAATGAAATTGCCTGACTGACAAAGGTAAACTTAGCTGAATAGCAAAGCTTCTATTGTGATGAATAGAGTCCAAACCTGCATTGAAATTGTACATATTTGCTGCCCTGTGTTTAAATAATCATTTTCCTTTTTTTCCAGTTTTCCGAGCATTTGACGTCGATGCAGATGGTTATTTGAGTGAGGAAGAATGGGTTCTTGGCCTCTCCACATTTTTGAAAGGATCTATAGAAGAAAAATTGAAATGTAAGTTTCAGAGGAGTTTTTATACCATAGACATGAAATGATGCAGAAGGTGAAAAAGATATTATGTCACATGTTTAGAGAATAGCGTATGTACCTTCTAGTAATTTAACATAAAAATATTTAGAACAGAAGGAATTTAATAGAATTACATGTAATTTCATCATACAAAAAAAACATTACTGATAATTTTAATGAAACTAAATATATATATATATTTAAAACGACTAAGAGATTTTCTGTTAAATCTCCCTTTTTGGTTGGGTGCAGTTGGATGAAGTTCAGTGAGGAAATAGACAAAAATCTTTAGAATTCTTTTTCCTTAAGTTTCAATAGAGTAATTTTAGTCAAACAAAACCAAGTGAGTGATGCAGGCCCTATGGGCTTCTTGTTCCTGCAGTGATTTGCCCAGGTCGTCAACACATAATCAAAAGTGGTGGGTGAATACACGATAACATTAGTTGCAATAGCTGTTGTGTTATCTTCATGGAAAAAAAATCACAAATTAGTTTTGATCGATTGAGAGTTATAATTATAAAGGCATTATCGTTGTTCACTATGATTTGTACCAACCACAGGTACAGATAGCAATTAACTTCATGTGTGCTGCCAAATAAATTTTAACCAATATATCCACTTTTGAATTTAAAAGATTTGACCAACTTCAAGTCAGAAATATCTTGCAACAACTGCTTGCCATTTACCAAAAGGCCTTGCTTATGTTACTGGGTCTGTGGCATGTTGCAATGAACTCATAAGTTATCCAAATGGATGACCTTTACTTAATTTCACAGACAGAGGTAAAATTTGTAAATGTTTAGCCAGTAACATTCTAGATGGCAGACAATCAGGTTTGATTAAATTAGCAACCTTGACCTACTTTCAAAGTCAGATAGGTCAAATGTGGCAAAATCTTCCAAGAACTACTTAATGAACATGTACATCAAATTCTTTTAGTTATAACTACAGAACAGTTGAGAGACAGGTCTATTAGGCATCTTGTTTAGAGTGTTAGAGACAAATTATTTTCTCTAGGGTTTCTGAAGATAAAGTTCAATTTCTAATGTATGGAGATGTGATGTTATTTTAATTCTGTGTTTGTGTCTTTTAGATACATTCAAAGTGTATGACCAGAATGCTGATGGCTTTATATCAAGAGAAGAAATGTTCCAGTTTCTGAAGAATTCAATCATAACAGTAAGTAGATCTCGCATTGATCTTGTTTCACACCAGCTAGACTATGTAAGATTGGAAGCTATAAGGCAACTGGGCTATGATTTTGGGGTAACTGTTGTGAAGATTCCTTGGCAGTGTTGGGGGATGGTATGGAATTAGAGATAGTGACCAGTCAACAAATATTACATCAAATTATCACTTCTTTTCACGTCCTGCCTTTTCTCACTTTTTTCCCTAAAAAACATATGGAGATGAAAATGTAAAATCTATAACTTCACATATCTGGAAATCTCAAAACTTCAGAATTTGATTATTGAGTTGCTTACAATCACACTAACACACCTACATTCTCATAAATGTTTGCATAAATTAATTTCAGCAACAAACAGAAGAAGACCCTGATGAAGGAATCAAGGAGCTGATAGAAGTTATACTGAAGTTAGCGGTAATTATTTCTCTATGTTTAAATTCATTACATGTTAATACCAAAAGGATTGATATCTGCTAATATGGCCCTTTATAATTGATATGTTTTCAACCAACATTTGTAACCATCATATACTGTCTGAACAGTTTTTTTTTTTAGCTCACCTAGCCCTTTTTGCCAGCTATAGTGATCCTGTGCTGTTTGTTGTCTATACCATTTATCCTTTTGTCTATCAACTTTTCCTTTAAATGGCTATTAGTCATGAAAACCTTTGCAGATTTTAATCAAATTTGGTATGAAGGGTCCTTGGGGAAAGAGGGATTTATGTTGTATAAGCTATGGGTCCGGCCCCCCACCCATCAAGCATTCTTGGATGAAGGGAAATCAATTTTGTATAAATGTAAGTCACAATGCCCTGGAGAGGTAGGAGTGGAGCCCAATATGGGAAATAGAGCAAATTCTTTTAAATCCTACTCATCCTGTAGGAATGATTGGGTTTTGCCCTTATTTGGTTAGAAGCATTTCAGAAGTTTTTTCATAAGCTTTGGGTTTCAGCCCTTTCGGATGTGAAAGGCAGGACCCAACAGGGAAAATAAAAGTAATTCTTTAAAATCCTTCTGACATTCTTGATGAACAGATCTTTGTTTTGTACAAACAGTGCATTAACCTCCTTTTGGAAGAGAGCCAAGCATATTATGGGGAAATAGAAACAGATGTTTTAGATACTTTAGTTTAAATTAATCAATTTCAGGAAATTAAACTACATTAAGTCAGCAATACCTATGGACCGTATGTCCCTTGGAATAAAATTAAATTGAAATTGAATTGATACAGGCCATGTGGGCCTCTTGTTTTTTCTTCTTGATAAAACTCTTGTCATGATACTGTAGCCGGGTTCCAATGCTACAGTGTTTTATAAAATAACGCTGGATTCATTCTTTTCATACGTTTATTTAGACGCACCAAAAGACCCTACAATAACACAAATAAAACATAAGTTCATGTATAAGACATATTACAAACTACGCACTGTATGTTATACACTGGGCATGGAGTCAACTTTACTTTTTACACATATTTATATTTCCCGTAACGGTTACACTAAACTTCACGAATTCATCAAAATATATATATCCAATGCCAACACATGACAAACTATAGGATTTACCATTTGTATTACACAGATGTAGTTAATAGTTAAATAATATATATACATAATATACCTACCCTATCAATCTGACAGGGGTCTCAAGAGATAACATCCTTTTTTACAATAAAATGATCGATGGTTCTGTTGAAAGAAAAACAACAAAACGTAATTAACTATATTTGTAATAAATTTCTTTAAGATAATTCTGCAAAAATTACTATTCCCATTACAAAAGGAATAATGAAAAAACCACAAAGAGATATTTCAAATACTTACTATTTTAAAATGTATTTTTGCCACCACAGTCGTCCGTACGTATCTACATATAATTGCGACTGTCCATGTCTCTGTCCAGCACGTGAATAACGATACAGAACATACAGGTGCACGAACAAGCATGTAATCACGTGACAAGACATTTACATAACAAAACACAGGTGAGAAATTCTTAGAACATACACTGACAAAACAAACCGGTTCCACAAGTACATTTATAAAAATATATATAAATAGATAAAAGTAAAATTGACACTGCCACATACTCCCCCTGCAAATAAGATGACGTCCTCGTCAGTTTTTCTTGGTGACAAGAGACACTACTGCTTCTGTCATCTGTGGAGAGAGATTTAAAAATTCTTTTGAATTAGCTAGTGTCAACAAGTATCTGACTCTACGCAGCCAATCAGGCTCCTGGCCTGACATGACAAACTCACCTGAGGTGAACCACTTGGGTGGAGCTCTAACACGCTCCGACCTCCTGAGCTCAGTCTCTGGCTCCCGAGGTTGCTCACCCTCAACGTCTTGGGGTGGATCGTCATCAACAACCTCATCATCCCAGTCAGCTGTATGTGGACCGTCATCCTGCTGAACTGGAATATCTGTAACTGTAACAGATTCTTCTTCCGGTGTGGAAACATGGACTACCACTGATGAAGTATCACTTTGATCTTCGGGCTCCACCTCCACATCCTCACTCACTGTTTGTTTTGGTTTAGGCTTCCTATGCCTTGGCGCAGGTTTAGGCCTTGTAGGTGCTTTATCATCCATGCTCCTGGAATCTGGCGTCAAATATCCAACTGGAAGAAGATGGTTTCTGTGCATGGTTCTTTTTCTTCCAGTACCATCCTCCCGTTGAATGATATATACTGGAATATCATTGTTTGGCTGACTTTCCACTATATAAATTTCACTCTCCCATGGGTCAGCAATCTTGTGCCGGCCTTTGAATGCAAGTACTTTGACAAGTACTCTGTCTCCTGGCTCCAAGGTGGCACCACGTACTCGTACATCATACCCCACTTTCTGTTTCCTTTGTGCTTGATCAGCATTCAATAAAGCCAAATGATATGCTTGCTTCAAACGTTCACGTAACTCCTCAACATATGCAGAATATGAGGGTTGATCAGAGTCTTCATCCTGCTCCCTAACGCCAAAAGCAACATCAACTGGTAGTCTGGGGTGTCGACCGAACATCAGGTAGTACGGTGAATACCCTGTTGTCTCGTGCCTAGTGCAGTTGTATGCATTAGTGAAGGGTCCAATAAATGACTTCCAATCTTTCTTTTGGTCTGGATTCAATGTGCGAAGCATTTCAAGCAAAGTTCTGTTAAACCTCTCACACAAACCATTTCCTTGCGGATGATAAGGACTTGTCCTCGACTTCTCTATTCCTAATAGCAGACATAACTCCTTTATGAGATCTCCTTCAAAGTTAGCTCCCTGGTCGGAGTGGATTCGCTTGGGCATCCCATAATGGATGAAGAAGTTATGGTAAAGAGCATCTGCAGTAGTATGAGCCGACATATTCCGAGTAGGTATGGCTTGTGCATATTTAGTGAAGTGATCGGTTATCACTAAAAGATATTGATAATTTCCTTTGGCTGGTTCTAGTGTAAGAAAGTCAATACACACAAGTTCCATTGGCTGTGATGTTTGTATGCTGACAAGTGGGGCTCGGGTTCTTGCTGGTGTCTTGGCTCTGGTACAGCGATCGCACAGCTTCACCCATTCCTCTATGTCCTTGCACATTCCAGGCCAATAGAATCGATCCTGTATGCTTGACGTCGTCCTATCACGCCCAGGGTGTCCTATGTCATTGTGTAAGGCCTGAAGCACCCTCCGTCTCAATGACAAGGGCAATACTAACTGAAGTGTATCATCTCGAGTCTTCTTGTATAGGACCCCTCTGGAGAGAGTTAAGTTGTAAAATTTCTTTGCATAGACCTTGAACTCATTACAATTATCCATAAATCTTGTTGGCCTCTGATGATTCCTGACATAGGGCAATATGTCACCAATTGCTCCGTCCTCACTCTGTAGTTTCCTCATCTGTGTGGGTGTGTATTCTCCGAAGTCTTGTCCAATGTCGGTATCATCTAAGACCTCAGCTGACATGCACATGGTTTCCATAAATGGAGATCCCTCAGTGATGGCATTGCACACAGCTTTGATGCATTCCCTGGTAATGTGTTGGATGTCTGTCCTACAATCATCCTCAAGTCCTGGGTATCTTGATAAAGTATCTGCATCCAGGTTGTTCTTTCCAGGCTTGTAGCGTATGTCAAAGTTGTATGTAGCTAAGGCCGACAACCAGCGATGGCCTGCAGCATCCAGTTTTGCCTTCGAAAGTACATAGGTTAAAGGGTTGTTATCCGTGTAAACTGTGAAGTGGTTTCCATACAAATAATCATGAAACTTGTCGGTAATGGCCCACTTCATAGCTAAAAATTCTAGCTTATGAGCTGGGTAATTCTTCTCCGTTTTTGTAAGTCCACGACTGGCGTAAGCAACTGGACGGCATGTACCATCATGGTCCTGATACAAAACAGCTCCCAAACCGATTGAACTGGCATCTGTATGAAGCTCAAATGGTTTGGTGTAATCGGCAAATCCAAGAACAGGTGGTGATGAAAGAGCTTCTTTCAAGTTTTGGAATGATATTCTTTCCCGGGTGCCCCATTTCCACTCAACTTCTTCCTGCTTCTTAGACTTTGCTGACTTCTTATGAGTAGGTGGTAGTAAATCAGTGAGCGGTCTGGCAATATGAGCAAAGTTGGGTACAAATTTGCGATAATATCCGGCAAATCCTAAAAATTTTCTTACATCTTCAGGCGTTGATGGTTCTGGCCAATCTCGAATCTTTGCAATCTTGTCTGGATCAGCTTCTATACCAGCCTCCGATACAATATGTCCTACGTACTTCACTCGATTCCTGAAGAAACAGCATTTCTTTGGCGACAACTTCAAATCGCAATCCCTGAGTCTCTGAAATATCTTTTCAAGACGACGTAAATGTTCTTCATAAGTATCTGAAAACACAATAAGATCATCCAAATTGATAAGACAAATGTTCAAATGAAGATCACCAAGACATTCTTCCATTAGACGCTGATAGGTCGCTGGGGCGTTGGACAATCCAAAAGGCAGACGGTTAAATTCGAAAAATCCTAACGGTCCAACAGTGAATGCTGTTCTTTCTTTGTGTGGTTCATCTATCTCCACCTGGTGGTAACCACTCTTCATATCCAGCACAGTGAAAAACTTGTTACCACTCAAACAGTCTAAGATCTCCTCTATTCTAGGCAAGGCGTAAGAATCTTTGATAGTGCGATTATTCAATTGCCGGTAAACCACACACATCCTTAAACTGCCATCTTTTTTCCTCACCAACACAACATTAGAAGTCCATGGTGAATGCGACTTCCTGATGATCCCTCCTGACAAAAGTTGCTGAAGGTGTCCTTTAACCTCCTCCAACATGGATGGTGGGATTCTTCGGTGACGTTGCTTGAAAGGGGTTTCGTCTTCAAGTCTTATCCTGTGCTGTACCATAGTGGAATGACCAATATCATTATCATGTTTCGAGAATATATCCTCATACTTCTTGATCAGTTCCATTCCCTCACTAAGCTGATACGGTGACAAAGGCACATCCTTCGATGAGGAAAAATCTAGGATATCCAATATACTGAGTCTCTCCTTTTGCTCCATGGAGGGCGGTGGTTTCTCCATGACTATTGGTTGGAGCTCACAAATCACTGCCTTTGGATGGATGGTCAGTGTCCGGCTGGTGACATTGGAAAGCTGCAAAGATACAGTTCTATTTTTATCACCGAAATCTATGACTCCAGGTGTCAAATCCAGTAATGTTGAAATGGTAGCCAGTTTCGATGGCTGCAGCATGGCGCAGGTCTTATGATAGCTTATTGCTTTGTCAATGTAACCTTTCAAAGTAACGTAGCTATTCGGCTGCATCACAATACTTTTAGTCTCCGCACATCTAACAAGACCAAGTCTGTTTTCATTCCTGACTAACTCTCGCTCCCTTAAAGACAAACATCTGAATGCAAGATACCAGGGTGAATGAAGATCTGCTTGTTGTAGAAATCTTGCTCCATACTTACCTTTACAGGCATACATCATAGGGAACAGTACATTCGTGCCAAGTAGCAAAGGAACTGTTGAGTTATAACTGCTATCCGGGACAACTAATAATAAGCAGGTCAGTGACTCCCCACTAAGTCCAGGTACTGCTACATCTGTCTCTATATAACCAGAATATTGCAGGAGATTACCATCTGCACACTCCACATTCAGAAAATCTGTAATGGGCATGAGCTGACAAACATCTGACAGGAAGTTTCTGTAATAATGCTCAGAAATTGTTGAAACAGTGGAACTTGTGTCGAGCAAAGCTTGAACATTACTCTTAGCAAGGAACACTGATACTTCATTGGGTGTACCCACAAGCTCTCCGGGTACCTGGATCTTCCTATCCTGTACATGATAGTTAAAAGCTCTTCTCTCACAGCCTATGAGCTGCCCTTCTTCATAGGCCTCTCCCCGTTTAAATGGTCTAACCGGATGCGACACCCAAGCTTAATGTGACCTCTCTGTCCGCATCGCCAGCACAACGGGCCATCATCATGGGGTTGAGATGTCTTTGACTCCTGAGGGTTAAAATGACGCTGTCCCTGCTGAGATTGCTCTCCCTGTTGATTGGTCCAAGACTTGCCCGCTCCACACTTCCTGTTGAACTTCTGATACTGCTTTGTAACCTTTTTCATTTTAGCCATGTCTGTAGTCAACTGCTTGATCATCCCCTTCATTTCCTTTATGTCATCTGTTGCTTCAGAACTAGCCATGCAAGCAGGATTGGGCTTCGTTTTCATCTTTGACTCTTCAGGGTGGGGCTTCTTTGTCTGGGTCTCCTCCTCTCTATTCCTGAGATCTTGCTCCACCTGGCGGATTGCAATCACAAGACGATCAAAGTCTTGGATGGTGTCATACTTATGGCCTGTAATATCCTTTAAATCTCTTCTAAGGCCTGTCCAAAACATCGTTCTCAGCATATCTCCTGAGTGGGCATAAGTCACCTCTCTTCTCTTCACTGCTTTATTCAGTATATCCTTTAATCTACAACTCCAAGAGGCTGTATCCTCCCCCTCCTTCTGACGTGCGCTGTAAAACTGTGCCAGAAGTGCTTCACCCTTTTCCACAGTGCCGAAGATACTATCCATCTTGGTTAGGATATTTCTAACTGACACATCCAATCCAAGATGCATGACGACCGTTCCAGCTTTTCCCTTCAATGATCTTCGAAGTACATGGGCCACCACATCTTCTCCATGAGACAACAGCAAGGACTCCACCTCGTGCTTCCATAAATCATAGGATGTGTCCTTTTCTTCTCCAGAAAAGGTGGAAATCCTCACAGGTGGGCTGACTGTAACTGACACAGGATTGGGCATGGCACTTGCCCCATCTTCCTGTTTAGGATCCTTAGTACTGGTACTCCCCTTGGACTTGATCCATGACCGGAGTTCCTCAGACTTAAGTTTGCCTTCTTGGGGTTTGTAACCCATGGCTAAAAGAGTAGCTGTAATAACCTCAATGTCCTTCCCTGAAAATGATTTGTCGGACATGATGAATAAATAATTGGACAAAAGGCAAAAAAAATTTTAAAGCAATACACCTGAAACGAAATATCTACTAAAAAAACACATCAGGACCAGCTCTCTAACACATTTGTATTACGTCAGCTGTAAATAAACAATATTCATATCAAAATACTTAGTTTACACTGATCGCTGGGTTTTACCTGATATATTTTCCAAGTAATCCTTCTGAATGAGAAAAATGCTGTAAAATATTAGCTTAGTTCCAACAGCAAGGAATATTGAGTACAAGTTCAACAAAAAATCAACACAAGAAACACGCACACATGTACATATATATATAAAACATAAAGTGCAACATAAAACATCAGTCACAGAAATCAGGAATGTCAATTGCGAGGTCAAGTCAACTGTTTGCTAGTCAAAATAGTGACCGGGTAGGCAATATCTATGCGAGATCTACTTCAAATGACAAAAGAAAAAAAATGAAAAGTTTCATCAAAACTGGAAATCCTATCGGATATAAGGTAATTTGAATCTGGAGTAAATATTCCAAGTCGGAACACAAAATTATAGTTGGGTAGAAAATATGTAATAATAATTTATGGGGCGCCAAAATGTAGCCGGGTTCCAATGCTACAGTGTTTTATAAAATAACGCTGGATTCATTCTTTTCATACGTTTATTTAGACGCACCAAAAGACCCTACAATAACACAAATAAAACATAAGTTCATGTATAAGACATATTACAAACTACGCACTGTATGTTATACACTGGGCATGGAGTCAACTTTACTTTTTACACATATTTATATTTCCCGTAACGGTTACACTAAACTTTACGAATTCATCAAAATATATATATCCAATGCCAACACATGACAAACTATAGGATTTACCATTTGTATTACACAGATGTAGTTAATAGTTAAATAATATATATACATAATATACCTACCCTATCAATCTGACAGGGGTCTCAAGAGATAACATCCTTTTTTACAATAAAATGATCGATGGTTCTGTTGAAAGAAAAACAACAAAACGTAATTAACTATATTTGTAATAAATTTCTTTAAGATAATTCTGCAAAAATTACTATTCCCATTACAAAAGGAATAATGAAAAAACCACAAAGAGATATTTCAAATACTTACTATTTTAAAATGTATTTTTGCCACCACAGTCGTCTGTACGTATCTACATATAATTGCGACTGTCCATGCCTCTGTCCAGCGCGTGAATAACGATACAGAACATACAGGTGCACGAACAAGCATGTAATCACGTGACAAGACATTTACATAACAAAACACAGGTGAGAAATTCTTAGAACATACACTGACAAAACAAACCGGTTCCACAAGTACATTTATAAAAATATATATAAATAGATAAAAGTAAAATTGACACTGCCACAATACTTATCGTGGAGTGCTTGAATACTTTTAATGAAGACTAATTTTCAATATCATGATGTACATGGCCGACATACAGAATATCGGATATATGTTAACAAGACATCTATATTTCTTTACAGGACTGTGATCATGATTCCAAGCTGTCATTGAAGGACTATGAACAGACCATTTTAGAAGAAAATTTGTTACTTGAACTGTTAGGACCATGTCTACCATTACCAAAGGTATCAAATGTTCTAGTCTAGAATAATAAGATTGAAGTCAACCTTAACTATACAGACTGTAAATAATTTCACAGGATGCTTTGCCTCAACTGCGAAGTTTATTTTTAGGTCACTTGACCTAAATGGCCAAGTATGGCAAACCCTGATATCCTTCATGAGTTTGTCCCCTTTACCTTCATATTGCTACTTATTCTGAACTATAGAGTAGATTTTGACTAAATTTTGTCACAAGCATCCTTGGGGAAAGTGTAACAAATTCTCTATAAATTTTAGGTCTCAGCCTTCAGGGGCCTGTGGGAAGTGGAGGGGCCAAATAGGAAACTTTTCGAAAATTCTTCAAAATCCTGCTCCTCCAATAGGAACTATTATATTTTGCCTAAATTTGAACAGAGTAAGGGGTATTGATTTTTTTTTATAAATAACAGGTCATTGCCCCCTGTGGAAGGAGGGTAGGGACCCAATAGGTTAATTAGAACAAATTCCTAAAAATCCTACTTCTTCTGAGAAACACATTGTAAACTTCTTTATCTGTGCCATTGAACTGAAAACTGGTGAGGCTATTGAGGAAGGGAAGTCAGCAAAGTGTCATTCTTTTCTGGTCTCCTCAAAAGTTCATTATGGCAGCCATGGTGACCATTTTGTAACATGATTGCACAAAATCATGGTTTCCCTGCACAAAACCTGTTTTAAACTTTTCAAGTTCCACTTGCGAGATTAAAGTGAAACTTGCCTGAAATGACTGAGATGGTCCTTACTAAGTGTTGTTACTATTTGGATCAGTCCAAAATAAAATAGGGCTGCCATCTTGCAAAAACACATTTTGTAAAAAAATCTCCTCTTGTTTCACTAGTGTGTTTGAGCTAAACCTTTGTATGAATGTGGAGAAAATGAAATGAGGAATGCTTTATTGTCTAAACTGCCAAAATATTCTGAACTGTTTTAATCATTCAATAACTTACTAGTACTACTGTCATATTATATATAAGTCTTTATAGTCGGATGACTGTTAAGACTCTTGGACTTCTTGTATAATATTTTCCCCTCATGTTTTTTGTCTTTTTCAGTACACAAATAAATTCCTGTCATCGATTGGGTGTGATGTGACACCACTAGTGTGAATTCTGAGCCAATAAGGATCAGAGTAATGTTTACCATGGAGCAATATTGTGAAAAAATGACAAATTTATTATACTTCACATTTTTGAAAGTAGTAGAAGGTTGTTGTATAACTACCTTATGCTTTTACTGGAGACTAATTACTTATCTTTCTAACTTATCAACTGGTGAATAATTATGATTTGTCAAAATTATATTAATTGATTTTGTTCAATTAACGGTTAAAAAGCAGCTGTCAGAATGATTTTTTTTTTGATGAATGGATTTGATTTCATGCTTTCGAAATCATACATAATTTTTCAATGGCTGGGACTGATAATGGTGGCCAAAATTATAATTCCTTATTTTGTTTTCATGACTATAAATACCTGTTGTCAAAATTATTTCTATTTTTCAATTGACTGATCTGAGTAGGTCTGATATTTCAAAAGAGCTGTTGAAAAATGTCTGAAACATACCTGGTTGAAACGAAAAAAAAAAAAAATCTTGTGGTTGATCAAGTAATTTTAAAATATCAATACTCCGGTATAGATTTATACACGGTCTGTTACTTATCAAGTTAAAACATTTTTTATGATGTTGATTGTACAAGCTCAGATTGTTTCACAACAGAAAGTGATATCTTTTAGCTTTAGAAAGTTTGGGCATGTTTTATTTCATAATTATCACTTTGAAATAGCCATCTTTATCGCTCAAAATTACAGTGTCATTGACAAAAATGTTAACTTGAAAAAATGTGAAAGCTAAACATGTTGAAATTTTACATCTGCATTTATTTCAGTATTTCAAAAATAGTTAAGTAGTTTATCAAATTTTTTTTTGTTCACCAAAGAAAGGAGTTCTGATTTGTTTGTCATCTTTTCTCAGACTTAAATTGTTAACATATTTATAAAACATAGGAAAGAAATACAACACAACATTTCTTATTTCTTTTTTCACTTAAATATTTAAGCTCTAAGGTAAAACACTCTTCATTTTTTAATCATCCTCTATACTACTTTTCAGTGTATTTGTTATTGTCTCTCAATTATACATTACAGAGAATAATTTCAGTATGTTTCAGCATCCTGAAAATGTACGGCCCTTGAAAACCAAAGTTTGATACAAGTTAAGAGACTGGAAAATGTTCCTAGAATAAAAACAGGGTAAAAATTATTTTCAATTATTTTCGATATCTGGTGTGAAATGAGCATCACTACCAGAAAACTAACCTTAAAAGTCGTAAATTCAAAGTCGTACAAGAAGAAAACTTAAGAAATACGAGGGTAGTTAGCGTATTTCTTAAAAGCTACATAATCTATCATAAAACAAAGTCATTTTTCTTTTTAAATATGCTCTGATGGCAGTGTTATTTTCTGCAAAGCATGTTTTATAATCACATCTTTTTAAAATATTATTATATATTTTCTATTTTTATTTTAATTTGCAAAATGTTTTGAGTTATGGAGTTTACGCAAGACTTTTAATCAAAAGCATAATATCTTTTATGACAATTCTCGTTATTAGAGGGTTCTGGCCATGATTTTTCTGCTAAAAAACAAGATGCAATAATGTAGGGAGTTCCCTTAAAACGTAGAATACCCAAAGCTGCGAGTAGAAAAACAATTTGTCAACATGGAGATAAGAAGCAGTGATTTTGTGAGTGCTAATTACTGCTGGCTTTAAACAAGTATGTCTTTTAGAACATGTAGTTCACAAAGCTTTTGATATATCTGTATTTGATTTTGTATATGTTGAGTGTCAGTATCTACAATGAGTATTGTAAAATTACAGGGACGTCCATCTTTATTTCCCAACTCATCATCCAGGATATATCTGAGGATATAGAAATTTGTTTAAAAAAATGGTGTTGAGTTGTTCCAAGTCCCTGTGTAACACATACTAATAAGCTTTATTATTACATGAAAATCCTTTGTTATCAGTGTAATATCACCTAGCAGATTTGTGATGGGCTGAAGGTTCTGAATTTTTTCAATGTGGCATCTTTTTGTTATATACATTGTGACATCACCAAAGAAATAATTAGATTTTGTACCAGTATAGTAAAATTGTGTTTTTCACAAATGTTTGCAAAAAATATCTAAGTTATCTGATAAACTGAATCTTATATTCCTGTCCATTTCCCAGTATATGAAATTTATAACATTTGGAGTTTTGATATTACATATGCCTGGTACTCATATTACAAATCTTTTTCAAGAGGTAATAGCTTGTTTGCATTCAACTAATTTATGGTATTTCAGAAGTGTTAGCTTGAAGCTTGTATACAATTTCAGAATATTCATATTTTGATTATTGCATTCACCAAAAATTAAGCAATATTAGATGTTCTCAAGAAATCAGGTAACATTGTATGGGAAAAATTGCTCTTTTAATAACACAAAATATTAGCCAAATTGACATTATAGGACATACACAAAAATCGATTTTCACTTTTATTATTATATTGATGTTGTTTATAGAAAAAGAAATCACAGGAAAGGAATTTTATAAAGGACATTTCCTGGCTTTTAATTTTAAAAAAAAAAACCTTGAACAGTTAATTTTTTTCCATTTCTTAAATATTGATGCTCTCATGTCACTACGAGGCATATTTTATTTGAATTAACGGTAATGAAGGTTATATTTGTTTTGTTTGAAGTTTTTTTGAAGTTTTTTTTTTGTGATGAATTATATTCTAGATATTTTATAAATATTTTCGTTATCATTAAGATGTTGGCCTGTTATGTATGTTTTGAAAATCACTTTTTACTCTAGAAAAAATATTATACTGATAAAGATATTTACAGGAATGCATATTTTTCAATGTAACTTTTTGTAAGAATTTTTTAGGATTAAAATCTCTTTTTCTAATTTTGAAATTGGGAAAAAACTTATTTTATTGAAAACTTCATCAGTACCTGAAGTGTAATAATTATTTTAATATTATGGTATATTATGAAAAATTGTCACCACTTGTCCATACTGACAATTTTATGGTTTGTTAAAGGGAGTAATTATCAATCATCATTATGCTATGATCCAGACTCGGAAGCCTTCACCTATATTTTTGTTTACATTTACATGTATTAGAATCCATCAATTCAAATTTCCAAGATTTTCTATTTTTCTAAATAGCAGTAAAAGAAATTTATTAACTGTTTGTTATTTTAACATTATTTGTGATGTTGAATTTTCTGTTTTGAATAGTTAAATCAAATGTGTGTGTTATAAAAGTGAATATTTTGATAATAAAATTGTTTACTTTTTATGAAATATATCTTTTTAATATGTTTATCAAATGATAGAAATTATTTTTCTTAATTTGTGCATAATACATGCGATCATATGGTTTTTTTTTTTTTCCTATACTGATATTTGACATCCTTGAAACTTGTTATGACCCTTGTGCAGTTTCAGTAAAATCTTACTTTAATTTCTTTTTTAAAGTCCTGATAATTCCTGACAAATTATCCATTGATACAGCAGGTTAATTAAGTTAAGATGGCATTAGATGATATAGAATCACTGCTCCTGAAAGGACGCCAGTCATCACAGAATTAGAGATACCCATTTGTACAGCTGGGTAGAACAATCTTGTTAAAATCATTTGTTTGCATATCATATGGTACTACCAGCACAAAATAAATATTCAGAATTTGTTGTTGATATGTGATTCATCACAACGAGTAGGTTATATACCATATAATCCATATAAAATTTTGGGCAATATGAAGAGATAAAGGGTTGGTGTTGGGGTTTGGATGATGAAGGTGGATGGTTTGTGGGTGATGAACAGTGGCTGGAGGAAACCAGATGGGGCATTAATTTACATGTAAAGGTATACACAATAACTGCACACTGTATTCTGTTTTGGTCAATCAGGTGACCCTGTACACTTTCACTGGTGTAGAGTCATGTCTAAGTACAGAAATATTCACACTGTAAAGACACATCTAACTAAGTCAAACACACACATTTACTGTTTATAATCTGATATGTTAATTTCTCCAGCAGAGCAAGTGCACATATGACTTTGATTTGTATAATGGTGATTATATCAGGGTTTTGTTAGCCTTGTGTCTAAGTAATGACAGCTTTCAATATATGTTTGAATATTACTGATATAACCAAATTTCAAGTACTTAAGTAAGTGCTTATCAAGTTTTTTTTTTTTTTTTTTTTGTTTCTTTTTTGCATTTAAAAGAACCATCTTTGTATCAGACCAAATCTTTTTTTAGATTATATTATCTATATCATTGAAATATTTGTACACTATGCACTTGTTTTACAGTATGATGAAAATGCTTTTGAATCAAGCACATTTTTGACCCAGAATTTCTGTAATATACATATATATTTACTTTTGTAAATAGTTAATTCTTAATACTCAGCTTCTGTGACATATCTAGTGTCCATTGTATATTAAGAGCTTTTGCTTACTTAGATTTTCACAAGCATACTAGATCTTAAAGGTTGTGACACATTTCAATCGTACTTGCACATATATATATATCATACTTGTGTCTTTACATCTTGTGTATGATTATCTTACTCGCATACCTAGATCTTGACCTCGTATATATGTTGTATTTGGTTACATAGTCTTTCCTCTCATTCTTTACTCTTCTGCATAGACCTTACCAAAAATCCAAGATGACGGACACACGTACATCTTGTGAACAGGGGGGTTGCCCACAAATAAGCCCCCTCCCCTCTTTTGACAGTCTTTTTTGAACTGGGTGTGGGGGGCTTATTTGCGGTAAAATACGGTATTTGCATACATAGCTTTATGTGCATAATGTACAAAGATCTCACCCTGCCTCTACCAAGATCTTGCCTGTATAACTATAAAAATCAGGAATACATACTAAGATCTTGCTGGCAATCTTAGAACTTACTCAGGATCTCATTTGATCTTAATTCATGTTTTTTTGTATCAAGACCGATCATATTGTATACCATCTGGTATTGAGCCAAATGATTTTCAAGATGACAAGAACTGTGATGTAGAGGGAAAGGCAAATATAACAATTGATGGGAGAGAGTTAATATTCATAGATTTAAATAGCTTTTGGAAATGAATACAATACTCATTTATCAATTTGTTTGTAAAAGCATGATTCTTTGTTGGAATCCTTGAGGAGTCATGATTAAAAACTGTGACCACATGATTAACTATATCACTGTGTTGGTGATAACAGGTTACGATAACCTTTCTTAGTTTGTCATTAACATTGTGTGTGATAATGTTTGCTTGTGTGTCACTAACGTGTCACTAATTGTGCTGAGTAACACATCTCTCATCTATGACTTTTGAAGTGTGCCAGTGTCATTTTTGGACAAACCTGTTAGTCTTGGCTGTGATAAAGGAAGTACATGACCTTGGCAAAAAATTCCAATCCCACAGTCTGTGTATGTGTTTAACACATTTATACATATTGTGGAGGAACAAGGTCTGGTATAAACAAATTTCAAAAATGTTTCTCAATAACCTCATAATAGTCTTCTTTCAGATCTTAAGAAAAAGTTTCATGAATTTAAACACATTTGACTTGTGTGACCTTCAAGAAAATTCTCTAGCACTTTTTCCAGCATGGCACTTTCCAAAATTGATGGCACATTTTACTTTACAATATGCTACACCATCCAAGATCTGAAATTGAAATCTGAGAACAATAAATATCACCTTTAAACATGTAAATTGCAATCACATTGTCTCAAAATCTTTATGTATCCTTAGCACTCATCCAAGGATGACACAGATGACACTTAACTTAAAGATTACAAACACCTCAAGATCAGCTATAAAAATAGAAATCCAAAAACTGAATATCACCATTACATGTTTAAATTGCAATAATATTGTTTAAGAAAATTCAATTTATCTATTTCTTGCAGAATATTAATGTATCCCTTTCACCCTAAAACTATCCCGACAGGCCGAGAACCTCAGACTCAAAGTAAGGGGGCGGGGTTTATTAATTACCACGGGACAATGCTTGATAGACTTTGTTGGAAATTCTACTAAAACCACAACAGGTGTGGGTGTTTTTATTCCTGGATAAATACATCACATCATAGTCATGAAAGAAATTAAACAAAATACTCTTTCACACAAAACATTTCAATAGCAAATGTCGTACAGCATTTCATATACATGTACATACAATTTACCTGTTATCCTAGTCTGCCTTAACTGTGATGCATGGATTATATATATTTATGTACCTGTGTTATATATATATTTTTATGTCCTATAATGATTTTTTAAATATAAATAAAGACTAAAATTCTACATTAGATATGTAGATAAATGCAATTTACAACTATCAATTACCTCTCTTAGATTTTACAGGTACGTTTTGCTCTGTGTTGTTCTAAATTTACCTGATTTTGTCAGATATAATTGTGTGTACTTTTAAATAAATTGTTAGTTAGTCAATATATAAAACTTTGCAAGATCAGAATTTTAAGAATTTTGCTTTGTTGCTTATTCAATGGCAATCTATACAATCTCAGAATAAATTGCATATCCTGAACATGTCTATTTGTAACTGGTATTTACTGTTAAAGGTTGCTGATGTTCTGTGATATGGTCTGTTTGAGAACTTAAAACTTGTTTTTATGTTCTATGTAATGCTTATTCCAGTCTATGATCCATGTATTTTGTGTTTCTTGTTTACTGTTAGACAATAGTCACATGACCCTGTGTGTTTACCTGATCCATAACACTTCAAATGTGTTGTTTGTTTTAATCACAGTTTGCTATTTGTATTATGGACAGGTGAAATTAACTGCACTTGTTTTTTGTTATATTGTGTGTGTGAACTTACTTGCATAAAATATATATTTGTAATCAAATTTAATAGTGTGTGTTTTATAACCCATTTTTATCCTGAAATTACAAGCCCATAGGGCCAACACACTGTATGTGAATCAGTCAACAGACTACATGTGAATCAGTCAACACAGTATCTGTGAATCAGTCAACACAGTATCTGTGAATAAGTCAACACACTACATGTGAATCAGTCAACACAGTATCTGTGAATCAGTCAACACAGTATCTGTGAATCAGTCAACACAGTATCTGTGAATCAGTCAACACACTACATGTGAATCAGTCAACACAGTATCTGTGAATCAGTCAACACAGTATCTGTGAATCAATCAACACAGTATCTGTGAATCAGTCAACACAGTATCTATGAATCAGCCAACACAGTACATGTGAATCAGTCAACACAGTATCTGTGAATCAGTCAACACAGTATCTGTGAATCAGTCAACACACTACATGTGAATCAGTCAACACAGTATCTGTGAATCAGTCAACACACTACATGTGAATCAGTCAACAGACTACATGTGAATCAGCCAACACAGTACATGTGAATCAGTCAACACAGTATCAGTGAAACAGTCAACACAGTATCTGTGAATCAGCCAACACAGTACATGTGAATCAGTCAACACAGTATCTGTGAATCAGTCAACACAGTATCTGTGAATCAGTCAACACACTACATGTGAATCAGCCAACACAGTATCTATGAATCAGCCAACACAGTACCTGTGAATCAGTCAACACACTACATGTGAATCAGCCAACACACTACATGTGAATCAGCCAACACAGTATATATGAATCAGCCAACACAGTATCTGTGAATCAGTCAACACAGTATCTGTGAATCCGTCAACACACTACATGTGAATCAGTCAACACAGTATCTGTGAATCAGTCAACACACTACATGTGAATCAGTCAACAGACTACATGTGAATCAGCCAACACAGTACATGTGAATCAGTCAACACAGTATCTGTGAATCAGTCAACACAGTATCTGTGAATCAGTCAACACAGTATCTGTGAATCAGTCAACACAGTATCTGTGAATCAGTCAACACAGTATCTATGAATCAGCCAACACACTACATGTGAATCAGCCAACACAGTATCTATGAATCAGCCAACACAGTATCTGTGAATCAGTCAACACAGTATCTGTGAATCCGTCAACACACTACATGTGAATCAGTCAACACAGTATCTGTGAATCAGTCAACACACTACATGTGAATCAGCGTGGAGCCTGTCCAAAAGAGGCTGACTATCTAGTCTATCTAGCTGCAGTTTAGTTTTATTTTTATTTTGGACACACACAAAAAAAGCCTGGTCTATGTTGAGGTATGAAGTACTGATGGATATTTACAGACATGGTAAATAAAAAAGGAATATTGACAAGGGAAGATGAAACTTTAGGAAGGATTATACTTCAGTCCATTCATGTCCAATTCCAAGCCTTTTTTTTTTATTGAACATTGCTGTAAATTTCTTCCTATGTATGAAATAAAATCCGATTTAATTCTCAACATCAATTTAAAACTTGTTCCAAGAAATTGAAGAGGCCTTCAATTAAAATAGAAAGTAATCAACACTCCACAGTAGTAAAAACACTTTATTTAAGTTTCCCTCAAACAAGGGGACTAGTAATCACAGGATCTGTCTATTTTTGATCAGTAATGGACAAATACAAATTGCCATGCAGGGAGTTGCATAATTCACATAACTACCGAATGCAATATGGTGACTCAACATCCCTGGTAACTCGAGACTTGTCGTGTCTATTTCAATGATTCAAAACTTCTCTGCTCTATAAATCAAGTCTTGTTTGGCGAGATTTTAGATAAATCCAGTCTTTTCCAGTTACAAATCAACTTAGGTAAAACCTAAGTATGACTTTCACAGAATCCATATAATATTTACTGATACAACAAATTCAAATCTCTACCACAGTCTGTCACTTCAGGGAGGATCAAAATTCTGCAGGAACACCAACAACTGGGGCTGCAACTTTTCCCTGCATAGAGGACACTGGGGCTGTAATATAAAAAATCAATATTATGGAGCTTTAACTCAAAACATCTCCGTGCCTTACTAGATTCTGAAGCATAAATCTGATTTGGGAATTCGAACATTATGATATGACCTGAAAGATTTATGTTGAATATTCTTACAGGTTTTATACTGGTGTCTCTTTTATCTTCATCAATATCAATAAACAAAGACTGATCTTTGCTAGTTTTTGGCTACAGACCACTTTGTTCTCAACTTACAACTTTTACATATTATAAAGACAAATGTTAAGATATAAAACAGCTAAAAAAACCATATATTAAAAGTCTGATAGAAAGTTCACATAATACCAAATCACCTGAATTAGAATTTGAAGAAACCACACTCAAATGAACTAAAGTGATTTTTCTTTCAATTAAACAATTAAATATTTTATATTATTTGATAGATTGGAAACTTCCAAAAGACCAATATCACGACAAGATAAACACTCCAAATTTCAAAATTGAAAATAAAATTATTGATACCAAATCATTGGCTGAAAAGTTGGATATTACAAAGTAAGACTTACTTTATTTAAGCACCATTCATGGATACAGTGCCAACAAAATAGATGACCACAAGGTGTTGCTGTGGTGGATTTTCTCTCCTCCAAACATAGAGAGCACTTCCTCCTGGGATCCATCAGTGCATCTTCTAGACTGTTGAAGACAAGTCGGCATAATTATGTCATCTGTGAGGTTTTTGAAATACAGGTAGTTCATTTAGAAGTGCAGTGCAACACGACACGGTAATGACTTTAAAAGAAACCAATCAATCAAGATCTCTCAACAAACTGACCAACCAAGACCTCTCTAAAAAGCAACCAATCAAGATCTCTCTTACAATGACCAAACAACACCTCACTAAAAACCAACAAACCAAACAACACCTTTCTAAAAATGAACCGACCAACCAACACCTCTCTAAAAACCAACCAATCAAAACCTCTCTACAAACTGACTGAGCAATAAAGTTGTTGTCAAATTATGAAAATTTACATTTTTATAAGACACTCCCTTGCTTTGAAGGGGACCATTAAGGAAATCCAAACATATTATTACTTCAATACAGTATATTATCTTCAATTTTTCTTTACTCAATATCCTGCAGTGAGATACAAAACCAACATTTAGACTAACATGACCAGTGCCAAAACAGGAACATTGTTAAAACACTTCTTATATTGTCAGTTATCATTCCACAAAACAACCAATTTGTCCACACATGATGCACGATAATTATAGAGTGCATTGATACTTTTCTACCTCTCATAAGAAAACCTCTCTAATTGCCATGGTAATCTGAATTCAGCAGACCACTTGGCAGTCGATACTGCTGCACACAACAACTGTCAAAATAAACATTGGTTCCATAAAAGTTTGCATACTGAATTTCTTTGCCTAGTCTGAAATAATCATAGGAAAATATCTTATCTAAATGAAAAGTATTGCATCAAATGTGGTATTTTATAAAAAAAAAAGTACAACCCCAAATACTGGTTGTCATTTGCCCCACAGAAATTGATCTGTAATTTCAGGCGCCGATTGAAGCATAAGAATGACCTCCTTTTTCTTGTGTATTTTGACAGCATTATCCATCTAAAAAAATACTCTGACAACACAACAACGTTGTAGTTATTTGACGTTTTAATGGAGTGCTCATGCACAGGTTCCGACTTTCGTAGATATCCGCCATCAAACCATTGTTGTTTGACTAACAACTTAACTTAACAACAACTGTATGTGATTCTAATGTGGCTTAAGATGTTCATGACATGTCTCTTCTAAGTTTCCATAGCAACAGCTGAAACTGTTAACTAGTATTCAGATTAAAACAGCGAAACACTATGTTTTGTGTTTGAGCACCAGTCAGATGAGTCTACTAATTACCAAACAGTTTATGAAATTGGTCTTGAAATTTTATACAAACGATTTTACATATACCCTTAACCTGCGACCACACACATGTTGTTATATTAATTACCTTTCTTCTGCTACAAGTCCATCACTTTGTGAAAATGCCTTTTTTGTTTTCCTTTGATCCATGTAAAACTGGTATACCTTAACGCCGAGACTTCCACACAGCTGTGCTATTGACAACCATCCTAGGATACGGAAACTGTTTTGGAGTGTTTGATCAGGGGCCTGTCTCCTGATGTCATACTTCAACTGTTTAAACAAAAAAAAGATACAAATTTTATCATGTAAATAAAGATGAAAAATGATTAACACACAAAAAGAAGTCTTCATAGCATAATTACCTTTCAATTTAATGCAATTTCCATCTGTTCAAAAATTCAACACTTAAAAATGTGCATTTATAAACCTTTATCCAGAAATTTATTTACATTTTTTTCTTTTCTGGTAGACTGACCAGATTTTTGAAAAGATTAACAACTTTTAAAATCTATTGAGATATGTAGCTAAATTTGAATACACTTATAGGACTTAGGAATATGTTGCAGGATTTGACAACACTCAGGACAGATAAATATGTATTAGGATTTTAACAGTGGGCTTTGTGAGAAGATCAGAGTATTAATCCTGAGCTGGGAAATTCAAGGGAACAGTTTCACAAAGACATATGTCGATAAACAGGATTTCATAAATCAAAAGGATGTATTTTTGCATTAATCACTCCAGACCTGTCTTGTCACACATCCAGAACACTTACATACTGAACACCTGCTGCTCTTTTAGCTATGTGGTAAAATAGGCCACGCAAGTAGAAAGCAGCCAGGTGTAGTCTGTGAACAAAAGTCACACTATTTCGCACAACAGGGACACATTTCAGCAAGAACACACGAGTCTCCTCTGGAATTTCATGGGATCTAGGAGATCGGAGTCTTCGCTCAAACCAGTCCAGAAGTCGTTGTAGCAAGTAGGGTGTCCCAACATGAAAGAGGATCATGAAGCTTCGTCTCTAGAAAGTCATTTGAACAGTTTAATCATTATCAATATACTGTAACTTTGCAAAAATCATTTGAATATTCATGAAAAGAGATAGGCAATAGAACACATCAGGATACATATTTGGTGAAAAAAAAATATGATGAGGGTATTTTAAGACACTGAATATGTATTCTATTAATCCTGCAACATTTATAAGAAAAACTATCAAAGCTTCAAATGTTTGTCTTTCAATCTTTGTTTACCTGATGTTGACATTATGCTGAGTTATGCCTGATGACATATGCCAAATTAATTGTTCCGCATGAAAATATAGTTCCAAATTTCATTGGATAAAACAGATATTTTCTGAATTTTTATAATTTTGTTACAAAAAAAAATTGCTTATCTGAACAGTTATTTATATTTGTAATGTAATATAACTCAAGAAACAGCTGCTTCATTAGTTGAATCTCTTCTAGTTAGAAATTTTTCTACATTTTCCAATAAAAGGACCAAAATCTTGACACAATGTGAAGCGAACGAGACAAAATGAATGTGTACAACAATTATCTACAACCACATATAGACAGTATACAGCCTTAACACGTATGTTGTTGACACTGGGCGTCGGCTTACTTAACCTCAGATGAAAATCTGAGGAGTAAGGTTTGATGCTCTCTTCCTTTGATGCATGCATTTCTCACGAGGCTGAGAAACATAGTGCTGTCATAGTTATGTCCTTTAGCAGGACATCTACATTAACTGCTCTGGATAACATGAAATGGACCTCCCATATGTTGTTCAGTGAGGTAGCCACCAGCTGTATCAAGGAGACCTAGCCTCTAAATGATCCTGGCTGTTTATGGGGCAAAATACCCAACAAAACAAATAAAAAAAAAAAGAATAGTTTTTGTACTTACCCATAGGGATGGTACAGACTTCCTGGTTGGATCTACCTGTATTATGTTGACATACTCCTCTCCAACTGTTTGAAATCCTGTGATTAAAGAAATGATATCTTAAATGAAAAAGTGATACATAAAATTGATACTAATTTCACAATTTTTTTTTAAAGATTCCTATCAATTTAAAAAATTGCAAGCAAGATAGTTTATGCATTTGTGATAGACCTCCCTAATATCTTCCTTTCAAATCATCATCAAAAAGATTTTAAAGTCATCGTCTCGGTCCTTCACATTGGAAATATATATACACCGCGGTATGTATGTATAATCACCCTCAGTCAACAAATGACCAAGGCAACCTTGTCTAGTTGTTATTTTACATGCTCTTGCCAATTTATGGTGGTAGGGGACATTTGTGTTTCCAATATCTGTCCGTCCATCCTGTCTTGTTGAGTTCTCTCGCATCCTGTTTTGAATCAATATCAGATCCTCAGAACCTCATTTTGGTTCATATTTACCCTTTAGATTCACACTCTTCACATTATCATATTTAGGTGGTCAAAGGGTCAAAGGTCATATTTGGCAACATCTGCGAATTCATCAAGCAATGATACTTATATGCAAATGAGTAGCAGCCGTCTAGTCTCACAGAAATTTTCAACAGTGTACCACAGATAGTCTAACCATATTTCACTTCATCCCTTTTAATTGCTTCAGGTAACTATTTGAAATATCTTTTAAACTTGTCAAGAAATAAATTTAAAGCAATACAGATGTGATCTGTAGCTATATACCAGCATAAATATCTGTAAAATTGACTTGTTTCATTCAGGAAGAAAATTTGATACCTATCATATTTATCGAAGTGTGAACATGTGCAATAGGAGCAGGTTGATGTGGCTTGTATATAGTGTTAAATATGGTCCCTTTCACTTAGCTAACAGAGCATGCTTTTTTGGCTCAGTTGGCAGAGTCGGTCGATTATTACACCAGAGACCCAGGTTTGATTCCTGGTCAAGGCACTCGACAAGAATGTAGATTTTCCCCGTTCATTCACATTGGTGCCCAACCAAATCCCACAAGTTGTGGTATTTGTAGTCTCGGGTAGAGATTTAGGAAACCTCAAGAAAAACAGGGGAGCAGTCAGGGCTCTCAATCTGAGAGATTTGGGGCCGATATTCAGCCCCATTCCCAATGCAAAATAGTATCTTTATTTCCCAATTTAGACCCAAAGTTTTCCCGATTCTAAGGGCCCTGGGCCCGAGTCCCAAAATGGGGTGTGAGAGCCCTGGCAGTGTACTAGGAGCAGGTTGGTGTGGCCTGTATATAGTGTTATGGTCTCTGTCACTCAGCTGACGAAGCATTCTTATTTGGCTCAGTTGGCAGAGTCGGTCGATTATCATGCCTGAGATCTAAATCTTAGGCCTTTTAACTGTGGGAGGATAACTAAACTACCTAGTCACAAAAGAACAACATTGCCAATTCAAATTCCTCCTTCTCTCATTGAAAACCAGCTATTATTACTTATTACCTCTGGTCAGGAATTCTCTTCACAAGAGCATGGACTCATTTCCTGAAACAGGGATTCCTTACAGACACCACTGTATCTGGGGAGGCAAGGACAACTGAATTCTTAATGGTTACTTCAACCAGTTTAACCACTGGACAACCAACAATTGGTCACATAATCTGACCACCACTGATTGGTCATTACAATCTGACCACCACTGATTGGTCATTACAATCTGACCACCACTAATTGGTCAAACAATCTGACTATAATTGATTGGTAAAAACAATTTGACCATCACTGATAGGTCCAATTATCTGACTACCCAGTATGGATATGTAAACATTTGTATAATGTATGATGTACCTGCGAATGTGGTCAGTAGAAAATAACCAAGATCAGCACCAACATCAAGTTCCTTTTTCCAACTTAGCCATCTTCTTGGTCCTACAAATGTAATAACAAATTGAGTTAGAGCCAACTTTAACAACTTTGGAATAAATATGTTCCAATACATATATGAGAAAGAGAAGTTACAATAAAGATACTAGAATAATTGAGTGTATAATTGGGATTCTGAGTCAAAATCCTATATCTTCATGTAAAATATCCAGATGCGACACCCAGTTGACTCTACAAGTTCTTTCATTATTTTCAATTTCATATTTACAGAAATTCATAAATGCAGCTATTTAAGTGTACATAAACATGGTACTAAAAATACACAACGGCTATTCATAATGTCTTGGTAAAACTTTGATAGCAAATGTTATTGTGGAATTTATGCTTCATGATTGGTGTTATATTACTTTGTAGGCATACTGTATGGTCAAAACCAAATACCATAAGAACATGTGTCATAATGTCGTATATACTGATTCTGGAGTAAACGATATGCTAAAGTTAAAAGGTCATCGAACACTATCCAACCTCACCTAAAATTGATTGTGATATGTCTGAAATGGAACTACGAAGATAAGAAAGATAAAGATCATCCTTTTGATGGGATCGAATTATCTCCGCCGATCCTGCGTTTTTGAACATCTTCGGTCAAACTTGAAACACGTTTTCACATTTTTCTACTTTCATTTTGCGTGCGGCTTCATCGATTTCCGCCTTCCGTCTGATAACTTCCGGTACCTCTCGGATTTTACGTACGATAATACAGAACTTACATCAGATTCCGAACAGAAGGAAAATGGCTGAAGTGAAATCAGAAAGTGTCCCCTGGCCGAATAACAAGGATGATTACGAGCTAAAGGACGTTATTGGTATTTATCTAAGCTAAGACAGTCGTTTAATAATATGGTTAGACAACATTGCATGTCACAGACGTGTGCATATTTTCTTATTAAGGCGTGAAGATATTTATCTGCGTGCTCAGCAAATCGGTTAATGGTCAATGTGACATGATGGATGCTTCACTGATTTTCCGTATACTTATATCACATTGTGCATTTTTAACCTTTCATCATTGCCCTTTGTCACGCATGTGCCATTCTTCATTTCATATGTTTTGTTATGAGCCTACTGCTACAATATGGCATCAATTTCAGACAGAATAAGAATTATTTAAATTTGTATAACGTAAAACTTCCTGTCATGTGTCTAAAGCTGTTGCAATCCTTATGTAACGTGTTAGAACATTATAAGGTTGCTGAATCTGGTTACTGTAAAACCATTGATTTTCGGTTGGGGATTTATTTTCGTTGACTTCGTGGGTACTCTAAATTCACGAATCCAGATGTCTTCGAATTTGAACTGTTAAATTTAACATGTATAATTCATAGAGTTATGTTTGTCTACAATTATGACAGTTCACGAAATGGTATTTCTTGAAAAAACCATGAAATCTGAGCTAAAGAAAATACATGGTTTTACAGTATAGACTGTTGACTATCATGCATTTCTAGGTGTTGAGAAGAAAAATAACCATGTACTTACTAACATAAACAAAATCACCAATCAAGCAAGTATGTAGAAGATATAATTAAATCACATATTTAGAAAAATATATTCACCTGTTAGATTATTTCGATTGATAACTTATTCCTGTTGAGTACATACTATCTGAATGATAATTATTGTTTTACTTATGTACATCTCATTGTATACATATATGTACATTTTATGTGCATCTGTGTTGCTAGGTGCCGGAGCCACAGCAGTAGTTCAGGCGGCCTTTTGCAAACCACGACAGGAAAGATGTGCCATTAAGAGAATCAACCTTGAAAAATGCAACACAACTGTAGAGGAACTGTTGGTAAGTTTCCAGTTATTTCCCTTGCTGATTTCGCAGTGCCAATATATCATGCAGCTCCCTCCATTTTTTATAACCTTGTTTTTTTCCTTTTTAAATAAAAAGCCTTCCTGCAGAGATAAACATCAGAAAATATAATCTGAAAAAAATTCACCCATTTGGTCCTGTTTTTTTTTTTTTTCTATGAAGTATTATGGCATTCTGATGTCTGGTGGTAAAGAAATAGACCCAAGAAACATAAACATTATTACTGCTGAAGAAAACCTATAATATTTTGGACACAACAAATACTATATATATATATATATTACAACATTTTGGACTGATGTGGGCAGCATATTCAAAATCTTGAAAAAATTATGCATCATGTTTCTGTAAAGTATATGCAATCCCCTGGAGTGTATGCTGCTATTGGTATATTTGATTACTTTTGTATTACATACTTTACCTCAGAAATTTGCCACTTGCTATTGTACCCCTGTTGCCATTTTACAAAGATAGATCACTAATTCAGTATTTCAAAATTTACAGAAAGAGATCCAGGCAATGAGCCAATGTAAGCATGAGAATGTGGTCGGATATCATACCTCATTTGTTGTCAAGGAAGAACTCTGGGTCATCATGATGCTTTGCAGTGGAGGTAAACTTCCTTGTACTGGTTTGATATTGAAATAATTCCAAATAGAAATAGTGGTTGTACAGTATTAAATTTTGTTGTGTTTTGTTTTAGGATAACTTCTTAAAAGATATAGCTTCATTGTAGGATTATTTTTAATTGAATTTTGACAGAATTGTAATCATAAACTTAAATTTGTGCAGAGATCTTCTCACACATCTTTTTACTGACTCCCATTAACTTGGAAGGCTTAATCGGGTTTTTCACTGATTTCTTTCAAATTTTGTAGGTTTTGTAACTGCGACTTGAAGTTTTGATTTCCTGAACAGAAGTTCGATTGAAGGAGTTATTGCCCTTTGTTTTTTTTAAGGGATTTTAAACTTGTCCAGAGATTTCTTGTCTTGACTAAGTATTATCAATTCCATATTCTTGTTAATTTCAATACAATAAATCATGAATGTTTCCTTGGCATGAATGGACGTATATTATCCCAAACCACGATATTCCTGATTTTAGGAGTAGGCCTTGAAAAAAAGTTGTAATCAACGTTAAGTATAGTCAGTTTACAGATTATGCTATTTATAACTTTTTGTTTTCCTTTTAGGTTCCATGTTGGATATTATCAAAAGTCGAATGCGTTCAGGAGGTTGCAAAAATGGTGTCCTGGATGAAGTTGTCATAGCAACCATTCTTAAGGAAGTAATCAAAGGCCTGGAATATTTCCATAATAATGGCCAGATTCATAGGGATATCAAAGCTGGAAACATTCTCTTGGGGCAAGATGGCTCTGTCTTTGTTGCAGGTAAAACTATTTGAATGTTTGCATTTGTCACGGTGAACATGCCAAATAAAGTATTATAGTCAGAGTTCCACTAAAGACTAGTCTTTCAACTACCAGAGAAACACATGGTAGGAATTGTCAAACCACTGGCCCTAGATCTTTACTTGAGGCTACCTACAGCTTTACTTATCATTAAATGAATTTATAATAGTGATATAATTTTATAATGTTATTTTGTAACTGACTCTGTGCATGCTCAAATGTTCACACTCTAATATTTTGGGCAGTTTGTATAATCGTTCATCATTTACACTATTTGTAAAGTAGGAATATAGTACCATGTTTGAATTTTCTCTGATTTAATTTGGAGTTTTAAATGATGAGTTATGAAAAGTACAAGAACAGCAGTGGTCTTCAAGAAAATTGTTTACAATTATAGACAGTTTCTTAGTAAGACCTTGTGTGGAAATAAGCCCATCATGTTTTATGTAAAATATCTTATTTAGTAGGAAAAGTTCTGAACAAAATAAATTTTTTTAACACCAAAAAATATTTCTGTTTCCTTTAAGATTTTGGTGTAAGTGCATGGCTGGCTACAGGAAAGGATATGACCCGAGATTCTGTCCGCCACACTTTTGTAGGAACACCCTGTTGGATGGCTCCTGAGGTTATGGAGCAGGTATAATTTTCAGTGGAGTTAAGTCAAACGACTGGAGACCAAAGTTTATCATAAATCAAAATTTCAAAATCAAATTTCTTTTTTGGGGAATGAATAGAATTTTGTTTTTGAAACACCCTGTGTGGAAACTTTGAAGGTATAATGCAGAGACATTAATGTCTTTTGATGAAAAATGTTCTGTTTCATTTTAAAAGTAAAACATTATTTAATGAGATTAAAGAGTGTATGGTAACTCTAATGGTTTAAAGAATTGTGAAATGTTATAATACAGCGACTATGTAGATTCCTCTTCAACATGTCATTATGCTTGATATGTAAGATCCTGCCCATTGTGTCTTCAAAAGTATGAACAAAACAGGACTTCAGAAATTTTAGTATTGATAACAAAAGGGTGACAGTAGAATTTTGATCTATAAAATTGTCATTTAACATCCTTTATAGAGAGTATGATTGAAAAAAAAAGATGTAAATTATGTCATATATTTTGGGAATTTAACTGTAATTTAGAGAAGTCATTTCTGGATCTCTTTGTAAATAACACTGAAAGGGAGATATGAAATTCATGTAAGTAGTAATACAAATAGAATTGTGAATGTCACAAATATAGTTTGATTTTTTTTTTCAGGTAACAGGATATGACTTCAAGGCAGATATTTGGAGTTTGGGGATAACTGCCATAGAATTAGCTATAGGAACAGCTCCCTACCACAAGTATCCTCCGATGAAGGTAAAATGAATTGATGGAAGTCATTTATTTACCTTGTGCTCAGGTTACATGTTTGTTGGGAAAGAAATAATAATTTGGTAGAACCCGAAATCCTACAAACATGAGAGATTAACAAGATAAGATTAACAAGAAAAGATATAGCCATTGTCAGTTCAGATTGAGTCGGTTGATAAAAGGGGCACTATGCATTGGGTGTGGATACAGAAGAATATACATGGCAATGAAATTAAATATCATAATTGTTGTGTTTGGAACTTACTTGGATTAAACGTTAGAGATTTTACAGTACTGGTATTTTTCAAAAATGAAAATGGGAATAAAACAATGCATATAAAGATAATTGACTTCACATTCCCTTAAAAGTGTTCCAGTCACTGACAGGTTGACTGGCACAAGTGTACATGTCTTGTTTAAAAACATTGCTGTTGTGATATTTCTTTAGTTAACAGTGGTCTCTGTAGATCTGACTTGTAGTTATCATCTTAATGTTGCATTTGAAAAAGATTTCAAAGTTATTTGCTGCAAAACAAATGATATCTTTTATCTTATAGAACTTAAGTTGTATTAAATAAAAAACCTTCAATGCAATTTACTCACTACATGATGTATCCCTTTCTACAATCACATGTATCTTTATGAGAGCAATAATAGTGAATATTGATATCAAAGAATTTGATTTTTATATCCAATGATATGTAACTTGTATTTAGGGTTAAATTTGAATCCTAAATGTATGCAGGATCTACAAGTTTTCTTGACAGTAGTCTAATAATATTTATAATAAATCACCATTTTCCCCAAAAACTGTAATGGATTTTTTTTTGGTTTTTGCTCATTCAGGTTTTAAATACACATATGATAAGACCAGAAAATTTTGGACAGTCAAAATAGGGAAGCACAACATACTTCTGTTTGTTTGAAAAGTATAACAGATTCTATACTTGTACGCTTAGGTCTTGATGCTGACACTGCAGAATGAACCTCCAACCTTAGACACGTCAGCTGATGACAAAGACCAGTACAAATCTTACAGCAAAGTTTTCCGAAAAATGATTGCAGAGTGTCTGAAAAAAGACCCAGAGAAGAGGTAAAGGGTACAAGTAGATCACACAGAGATATGATAATGATCCGATTACCATTTTAATCTGGCATCAGTTCCATGTCTGGTAATAAACTCACTCTAATCACAGCATTTGCTAGGAAAATATTTCCCCCGAAGTACATTGCAGACTTAGGGAAAGACAACTCTAATAGTCAAATGGTTCTGAAATATATTGATAACAGCCAATCCGAATCTAATCATTAAAATTTTTCTTGTGTTGTATTTACTTACTTTATTTCAAATTTTTTGAAGACTGAGATTACTTATAAGAAATCAGACTTATAGACAAAGTCAAATTCAAACTGGCATCAGTGAAAGTTGTGTAAAAATGAGGGAAACAAAAAAATGGGGAATATTTGTTGTTCCTTGATGAATAACAGTTTTATTTCAGTGAATGGGACGGGAACTCTGAATACACATGTAAAATATTAAAACTTTCCAACCCACTCCCTGTAAATGAAATATAACAGGTATTCTCCAAGAAACCAAATTTTTCTTTGTAATGAATTCAACTGTATGCAGCAAAGAAAATAAATTTGTTTATAACACTTATCTTCATTTCAGACCTACGGCCAAGCAGCTTCTCAAACTAGAATTCTTCAAAAAAGCCAAAGTAAGAAACACATTTCCATTGATATTAATAATATATAGAACTCAGGATTTGATTCTCAATAGCTTTGAGTTGTTTAGGTCTACATTAGCCCTTGTTAGGAAATGTCCAGCAGATCCACTTACTCATCTACGTCTTAGATCTTCACAATAAACTATTTCAAATCATGAAACAATTTTTGAGTGATTCATGTCAGCTGGCAGGGATATTGAGCCTTTAACATTAAATATAGTGAGATTATCAACTAAACATCATAAATGTCAGGTCATGTTTTATATGTTATGACTTTTTGAAACTGACAACAAATTAACATACCATATGCTAATTGACAATTAAGCACAGATTTTTTCCTGTGTTATATTCCAATTCCATTTGGAGTTCCAAAATCCTACTATCATTAACACATGTTAGATTTATTATCACTAGACAAAATATGCTGCTTTCATGTAGGAAAATTGCAGAAATCATTGACTAAAAAATGGCTTTACAAACATCCGCCCTTTTCAGATTTTTTGTATGTCATGCTCAAACATGTTTGTATAGATTTATATGGCAGTACATTATATATACAATGTAATTAAAGTTTGGATTATCAGACATGTTTTACCTAGAAAAAATTAAGCTGAGTTAGCTGGAGACTTAACAAGAACTGATGAAACACCTTTTGGATGATAATACTATTTAACAAAAGAAAACAAAAAATAGATGTAGTTATGTTTTGTGTAAAATGTAACCAATTTTCTTTCAAATGTACATTTCTTTATAATTGACCATTGATCCAATTTCTTTTAAATGGAGATTTTGGACCCAGAGCCACATTGAATGGTGTAAGTGTTGTTGATTTTAAGTTTTACAAAATGTTGAGGTTTTTATTGAAAAATATCAAAAGTATAGTAAATGTATGTATCAGATTTGAGGGGGGAGGGGGATAGTACGAGTGTCAATTAATGATTGGAAGCACTTGTTCAGAGGTTCAGTCAATGGAATTGTTTATTAACAATCTTTAAATTTGTTATTGATGTGTTTTATATTTCAGGATAAAGTGTTTCTTGCCAAAACCCTGCTGTCAGAGGGTCCTTCTGTCAAACCGCAAAAGGTAATGAGCTGCAACAGTCAAGACTACACATATTTATTTCATGTTAAATAAATACACCTGGTATTTTTGTAGGTTCAGTTGGTCCGAACATTACTCAAAGTTAAGCTAAAACAGTCATAATTTTCATTTAGAAATCCCTCCTTCAGAATATTTGGAAAACATCAATAGTTTGTGAACTATCTGTACCTACAAATTTACATGTTCTTAGTATTTTGGTCCAATAATAAAGGTGAATTATACAGTAGATGCTTGGGTGGCACAATTATAACACACAGTCATGAAAAGGTAAGGGGTCACCTTCTTGACCTTGTGGGTTTTCTCCTGCATTCCAGTTCCATCACATAGTATGACCCCTGGCGCGCTTCGCTCCAGGCTAACAAGTGTGATTACTATAAGCTGATAGCTTGTTTCACAATTGCTGTAAAATAACATTTGTATCTACATTTATACAGGTGATGTACTTTCTTGACTACAGTGTATACTGTATTCATGACTACTGGTCCTTTTTCTACAGGTAAAGCGTGTTCCTGGCTCTAGTGGACGGCTACACAAGACGGAGGACGGAGATTGGGAATGGTCTGATGATGACTTTGATGAGAACTCTGAGGAGGGCATTGCAGCCATGTCAGAGAGGGTAATATTTTCAAATCTCTTTAAAATCTTTTTGCATTGATGTGATATCAGTAATTCAACAGTAAAAGGGACCTATATTTTCAACATTTGTCAAAGAAAAAGCACAAATATAGGATGTTGTCTTCTGATTTTAAAGACTACCATGGTAATCTTAATTTCTAATACTTTATTTAATAAAGGTAATTGCATAAAATTTGTCATAAAAACAATTTGGCGGATTTGTATCTGGTTCAAATTTCATACTGTGAAATCAGTAATTTTTGTCGGAGATTAAATTTCATTTTCATCTAGTGGTTTGAGGTGGTTTTATTTTGGATCAATAAACAAATTTACATGTCCTTGAAATCAAGTGTCCATGTACTTAGTCAACACCTCGTGATGTGTTTCTGTGATATTTCTTGTTTCTTATTTCAGAAACGTCGTGTTAAGAAAACCGATGAGGTAAACACTGCTGTAAATTCCTAAAACTTCGACCGCATATATGTCACCTGGTTGAAATAGTTCAGGTGGTCTGGATTTATCCCACTATACATGAGCACACTTGTACTGGATGTTGGACCTGATATATGTAACGTTAAAAATGCACAGTTTCGGAATTTTCTGCCAAGCATAAATCAATTAACTAAAATTAATATACCATCCCTTTCACTTATGCTTTATATCACAATGCTCTCGGAAATATATGTGTGCACTGACCCTACTTTTTATGCTGAAATTCTGAAAACTTATGATATTCAGCAAATTAGTTTTGGACAGGTAAGGCTGAACCCCTCAAACTGCACATGCCAAATATTTCGCAGTCCAGCCTCAGTCCTGATCTGTACCTGGCATTAATCTTTCAACTGTTCACGCAAAAGCGCCCTAAATATTTATGCTCTTCTTACATGTGGAGTTTAACTCTGCCTTCATTTTGTGTTAAAGAAAAAATCATTTGAACTGATAACACTTCCAACTAATTAGTATAGAATTATCTGCTTTGTGGTATTTTCTATTTTTGTTATGGATTATTTGTTTGTTTGCAGGATTTTGGCATCTTCTACTATCACTTGTAGTGAGATACACCAGTATTAATCTTGGGTTCTTAAATGTTGCCTATATTTAACAAATCTCAGAAAAACTCTGCGATTCTCATGACCTATCTTTTCACCTGCATGGTTTCATTTGTCAGGAAAAATAACAGTCAAAGATTTTCTAATAAATCAGACAATTAAAATCTAGGATATTTTCCAGGGGACCTCTGAGCTTGTTCCACCCTCTGAGCCAACCCCTGTGTCACCTAGCAAATCCCTCTCTCAGACAGAGGTTGCACCAACAACCAACGAAACACCAGCACCATCTGGTGGTGGCCAACAAAATGCTACTACCAGTGTGACGACCCCCACAACTCCTTCAGCCTCTAGTTCAGGGGTGAGTAGGTTACCGAGATTGTCTGCTGGATGCAAAACACTCATGATGTCGTTGAAAATTGTAGATATACTTTATTGAACTGTAATAAGCCAGTAGGCCAACACATAAGTTTACCAGGTAAACTCAATTATGAGTGCTGATTTGTTGTCATTTTGGATGGACTACAATCAAAGGAAGTGCTTTTTTACAAGGGAAGGGCCAGTTATTGGATGGTTTTATTAGTTAATTGTTATCTATATAATTTTGATATCATAGATTAATTACTGATGTTAACCAACACTATAGACTAGTAGTATGATATATAACAACAGGGCTCTCACACCCCATTTTGGGACTGGGGCCCGGGGCCCTTTGAATTGGGAAAAATAATGGTGTTTTCCTTAGAATTGGGAAAACTTGGGGTCTAAATTGGGAAAAAAGGATACTATTTTGCATTGGGAAATCTGGCAGATCGAGAGCCCTGAACAAATTTATGAAAAGAATTTCATGTTTTTTATTTAAATCTATAGACAACAGAACTAACAGAATAGAAAACTTGTTGTACCACAATGGAATGTACTATACTGAAATGATGTCTTTTTCAACAAATTGTAGGCAAAATATAATTTCATAGTTACTACATTTTTACTTTCCTTAAATGTTAAGTGGTAGAATAATTTTGTTTTTTCTTTGTTTGCTATGATAGGGGGATGCAAGTTCACAGCCAACAGCCCTTAACCTCGTACTTAGGTTACGGTAAGTTGTACAAAGATACCATATAGCTGATCATTTTCATTGGTCAAAAAATTTGTGATTTCCTATTCAAACGATTGTATAATAGTATAAGTATATATTATGTACATATACATGGCACCAAAAAAAGTACAAAACGATTCTTGTATTCTTTAGTGGTAAGTATAGAGGTTACTGGATGATGAATAATAAAGTTTTTTTTTTTTATACAAACACCATTTTTATATTTGACCGTGGCTGTTCACAGGAAGATAAATCTGACAGACAAAATTTGTATGATAGTGGAAGTGATATTTCCTGAAAAGCCTGCAATTTTCATATTGTCTGCAGCCATCATGAAAACAAACAAGGCAAGGTAGAATGCAGCATAACTGATACTGCACTCCATTGAATTTGTCTTTGAATTTAGTTGGCATTCATTTTAACTATGAAAGCCAACTGAGAGCTGTTTAATGCATAAAGAAACCAAGTGACAGAATTTAGTTGGCAGTTTGTAATGTTCCATTGAGTTCACATAGTAAATAACAAGTCAAAACTTTTGGTATTTTTTATTATTATTCTCTCTGTAATTTCAGAAAGAATAATTGAAATAATATGTTAGTACATATACGGTATGTAGTGCATAATGTTTGCAGTAAGGTGATGTTGTATATATCTGCTATTTGTTTGTTTTAGGAATGACAAACGAGAACTGAATGACATCAAATTTGATTTCACTCCAGGTCAAGGTCAGTATACTTGAAGTTTTCGGAGTCTGCTATAAACCTTAACAATTTTCACACGTTTTCTATTTAAAGGATAAAATGAATACTTTGTGTTTTTTAGGTGAGCATTGAAGAGATCACATGTTAGCATAGAGTGTTTTCAATGAAACACTTCAGTTAGAAATTGCATGGTTCATTGAAGACTTTGAAGCAAAATGAATTGGTCACATGTCACAATTTAGATATAAAATTGTAAATTTTGGGAATATTACTTTCTTTGTTGTTGGAAGTGGGTAAGAGATAGCGTATTCAGGAAAATTTCTGGTGTCTTTAAACTTAAAGCCATTTGGCTCATTTGCCATGACGTTAAACAAAAAGTTGGGCTGAATTTGTTTCAAAATACAGCTGAAATACATATGGATGAATGATAGTTGTTAAGATAACAACATTCCCTTTTTGATAATTTTTTATAATTCAGAACATTAGAAATACCTTTAGGTTATAAACTGTAATCTGTGATACAGTAAATGTTCTGAACATACCTAGACTTCTTTGAAAAAAATCATACAGATTTTTTGGACTCAAATGCATGAAACTCATGTGATAAATTCAGTTGTACTTAAATCCTTGTCAAATTTGATCTGTTATCATTTTTGTAGAGTGTCCATGAATAAGAGTAATCACATATTAATAAAACTCGTAAATCAATTACAGAATGATATGTCAATCTTAATTCAATAAGAACCCCTACATAAATCAATTAAAGAATGATATGTCAAACTTCATTAAGATAAGGTAAAGTTATTTGCAGGATCATTTCACCATATAATTATTAACCTGGAAATCACATAAAATAAGTGTTTGCTTGAAATTCTTTTCAGATACAGCAGATAGTGTATCACATGAGATGGTAGAAGCTGGTTTAGTCAATGGAAAAGATATGATTGTTGGTACGTGTCTTCAATTGATCAAAAAATGAAAAAATAGTTCTGAATGTTGGTGATGTTTTATTTAATTTTGACAACGTAATCACCTTTTTACAAATGTGAGGTCAACCTGGGTTCAAAGATCCAGTAAGGCCTGGGTCCCCTGCCCAATCACATGATTTTCTCTAGGTATGTATCTGCACGTAGTAATATCCCTGGTGCTGCTGTACCGTTCAAGTCAACAAGAGGGAGAGATATAAGTTATTATAATGCCACAATCTTTGTTTAAGTTTTCCATATCACACTATTTGGATATTTAGTTTTTACTCAACATGCTATGTGTGGAAGCCTTGGTAAGCTTGAGAAGTAAAAAAGTTTGTAACTTTAATGAAACAATGTTGTTGAAATATTTCATTTCTCTTTCTAGTTGCTGCTAATTTACAAAAGATACAGGATTACCCTGATGTAAAATCTGTGACATTTGCTTTGGTAAGTCCAACTTTAAGGTTTAATAGTGTAAAAAGAAAGTAAATATAGGGAGAAGACTTCCAAGGGCAAGGGAGATGATTCATTTTCACTTTTAAACATGTATACATTGTATATATATCAACATTGAGTGGTGGAGGCAAAACATCCCACAATCGATGATATTCAGTAAATCCTTCCGGGAACTGCTGTGGATACTAAAAGTATACTGAGTCCTCAATGTAGAATGTAGGTTGACATGTTTAAATCCGAAACATGTCAACATCTTAATGCACGAATAAATCGTGAATTGGGAAGGAGCTGCTCGTGTTGTCTTCACTCTCGACCTACGTTGTATACATATGTGTGTACTGTATGTATTGTTATAAAATCCCTGATTAACAAACTCAACCCAACCACTTCCACTTTTATTTTTATATTGAAAATAAAACACGACTTATTGCAGGTTTGTGCCTTTTGCGATTGACAACATTTCAATTTCTTTTTCTGTTACCATGGAAAGTTTGTAGAATAAAATTTAGTGTTCACTTTCTTTTCCGGATTACAACTTCAAAACCATTCCACTCAACTCCACAAAACTTTCTGTATATATTAGCTTAGTGCCCTATTTATAAAAAATTCTGTTATCATAGAAACAGATATCCCTCATCACAAATTTCATTTATTTTGGATCAGTGCTCTGAAACTATTCAAGATAATTGCTCAAAACTTTTGACACTAATTAAGCTAGTTATTATCTTTTGCTATGGGGAAGTTCTCCATTTAAATATATCTTTTCTATTACCATGAAAACAGATAGACCAAATCATAAAGTTAAGTTTTTTAGACCAGTTCGCTTAAACCACTCGAAGTGATTACCTTCCACTCAAAACTTTGTACAGGCATCAAGCTAGTACTCAAGTAGAAGTTCTCCATTTCAACACTTTGTATGGAACAGTTAAAACAAATAGACATTAAACTTGTTGTAATATTAACATATATATATGATTGTGTGTCGTTCTTTCAAACAGTGGGGCACATGGGATAATGCCATGCTTTGTGTTATCTTGTATATATTAAAAACTGTATCTTTTAACTTTTTCTTTCAGAATTCTGGTTGTGGTCCAAATGAGGTTCCCTGTGACAAAGCTCTGATAGGATTTGCACAACTCTCCCTGAATGATGGCACCAACCCACTGCCTCCTCACTAACACAGCTAGACCTAGGACAGACATTACACATAACTGCCACAAACACGAACAGATTTATTGTTTTAATGTCTCTTGAAAAAGGGTAGATAACTCTGTTCGGGCACATTCTTGACAAGAGAACTGTGATAATATTGGGTTTGCCAGGACTATGTTAAGAATCTTTATTTTTTTGTGATTCAGCAGTGATACAAGCTTGTGAGACTATTTGTCTCATGCGGAATCTTGTTTGCGCCTTTAATGCATTTATGTAAATTTTGTATTATTTGAAATTCCAATTTGGTAAATGTCTATTTATAGTTATAACAAATTTTCAGGAATAGTTTATGTTACTACGTAATCTACAGGTACCCCTTACATAAATTTTACCTTTGAATGTTCATTTCTTGTCAAATCTGCGGCCTTTTTGTTTGCTGTAAACATACCCTATTTTTGTGCCCTCAATTATTAGTACTTTACCAAATATTGATAATAAATAGTGACTGTATTATATTGATGAATTGCTACACTTGCTTATTATGTAATCAAATATAATAGCAAACTTCAAAATCACAGTCATAGTGTTTCCTGATATTTATAGTGTGAAATGCATTTCATTGATATGTAATATGGCTTGCTCATCTACTTTCAGATTTGAAATATCGAGTTTGATAACATGAATGTTCTTTATAAAAATTAACTGCATTTAATATTCTTGATTGTTTTTTTAATTTTTTTGTTTTTTTAGTTTTCAGTGAGTTTTGATTGTAACGCAATATTTTTAGAGGCCAATATTTAGCCAAAGCTTTCAGACATCATCAGTGCTGTGGTAGAAATATTTCTTTATCAATCAGTATTGGTATATGACATATATTGACCTGCCTACTTGATTTGTGTTTTCAAATTTGCATTTGAAATATTAGTTAAAGAGGTTTGTAACCTCCTTGATGTCATCTAATGCACCTCTCATTTTATTTTTACGCTTAATCACATTGCCTGGATGAAGAGGGCAGATATCTCTTACATAAATATCAGATTTGATGGGTAGCATTATACCCTTAAAAGGTTGAATAATATTATAGATAAATTAACTTGGTGCCATGTATCATTATTGTAATTATCTAAATTTAAGAGTGGTATTGGGGTAAGATATTTTTTTCATGCAATATTGATATTGATGTTGATATTTATATATGTAAAAAAGCTGATGCTGTTCAATTTAGTTATCAAATACATGCACCAGTGAAAGAAATGGATGTAATTACTGTGATACAAGTCCTTACATATGCATGTAAATGATATTAAAAAATGATACACCATCTTCCTTGTTTTAAACTTCTGAATCAGAACTTGCTTATATTATAAATAGCAAATATATGTATGATTGCTTTAACTTCGTACAAGACAAGGGGAGATAAATCTGATTTCATCAAAGACTTTCGTTAGGGCAAAAAGGTATTTTGATCATCAGATCTCTTCTACCTTACCATTAACATTATCTATAGTATCTTATCCAAAGACTAAAAATCACCAAAAAAGTTGAAGTTTGAACTATAATGTGAATATTTTGTAAGTGGAGGGACTATTAACAGCAAGTATATAATTTGAGAGGAGAGCATACCATGATACCAAAATAAGAGTGTGCTTTTCTTGCTTTGAAATATTTACAGAAACAAACTGTGTTAACTGCAAATAAAGATGTATAAGAGTATCTGGTGTCATGGTAACAGGAAGACTTGCATCTTTTACTTAGAGAGAGTTGACATATGTGTTTTTCCTCGTTGTATTTTCACATGTTGAAGTATCAGTTTATCTTATCAATGGTAAATCAGTATCAATTAATATCAGCTTTAATTCTTAACTTTGAATCCGATGGTGATTTGAGCTATGCATAGTTTAGCTTTAGTCATTAATCTTTGGACACGCCCTGAAGAAAAGTGACACAGTGTCTTTAAGTTTTGCTCTCGTTACGTTTTCCTGTACCTTTACATGTCTATCAAATTATTTTCATTAGTTCAAATTTTAAAAATAGAAAGAAAAACAGAAAAAAGGGTTGGTAGGGACAAGAAAAAGGGTTGGTCGGGACAAGCAAATTGATCTAACAGATCGAGAGACAATCTTAGATTTTTTGCATTAGTGTCAGAGTATTGTTACAACTGTGATTCAGTTGTATGATTTTAAGCAGATGAATCGGTGTAGACCAGAAAACAAATGGACAGAATATATTCTGTGGTATGCAAGTGACAAAATATTTTGCTTGTTTGTTTAAAAAAAAAATTTTCATAATATCTCATATTTGTATGCTTGTCAATATTCTTCTATCATGAACCTATTTCATGCAAGATTCACATCAACATGAGAAGGTTTTGAATATTGACTTTCTGTCTTGAAATGTATTGAGTTATTTTAGACCTTGTAATTGTTATATTGATAAGATATTAGATTATTCCTCAAGAGTTACCCTTGAAAATCTCACACTAACATACTGCTGAACAAAATTTGTCTTCAAACTGTGAAATAAAAATCATGAGGAAAAAACTAATCCTATATTAGATGAACAGTTTGATGAGAAAATGCAGTCACACTTGTTCTAGATTGATTATTTCCTTTCCAAAACAACAACTTGAAAGTCTGGAAGACTATGATCTATACATTGTCTATTCATAGACATTTAAAATTTCATATGATGCTATCAGTATATAATATTGTCACATTGTATTAACAAGCAGATTTGACATTCAAAATGATATGAGTGCTGTTTTCATATGGAATCTGCTCTTTCCAGATAAGTTTTGTTTGTTTCTCTGAGTGTTTGATATTTTTTTTCAATTTGTTTATTTTCATTTGCATATGTATATCTTAAATATAAGTAAAGCAAGCTGTGCAATTTCCTGTGTATTGAAACATTGAATCAGTGAAATGATTGATATATATGAATATATATGGGTGAGTCCTATTCTCCCAACAATGTTGAACAATTAAGTCCATTGTAGGCATTTTTTTTTTACAATCAGTTATAAGAAATGCTATAAAAAAGCAATTGTACTTGATATCCCACCATCATCAGATGGGGAAGGAAGTTACCTTTCCTTTGAATACTTAATTACATACATGATATTTTATCTTTATTGCCAGATGTTACAGAATCCAATGATAATTTCTGTGAAGATTTTTGGCACATTAAACTTTTAATATACAACAAAAATTATTTGTGGCTTCTAAGATTCTTCATTCTAAACCGTTTCATGTTTCAAAAGACCTATCAGATTTATCCTTTTTATGCTAAAATGAACAACAACCAACTGAGGTACACCTTTTTTTTAAAATTTAATAAAGTTGTCCATGAAGATAAGTAGTTAGGTTTTGTTGGCCTAATTATGCATTAAACAAAGTTGTTTTTTTTTATGTGTATTGATTATGTAGACAATCTTAGATCATTCGGATGAGCTTTAATTGATTCTACAGTTCTTTCAGTTGTCCTAATACGCATCATAAAGTTTCATAATACTCTGTAAGTATTTGTTGGTTTGCAGCAATGAAGGGTCATATTTCCTGATGTCACACGAAATAAAATTATTATTAAGTTTTTGGTGATAGAACCATGTGACACTGGTAGCTAACTTTTCATTGCGGCTTTTAAGTTTTGTTTTTTCCGCATCACAGCAAGTTCACTTAATTTTGCTTATGGTAAAAATGGTAATACTATAACTAACTAAACTAGCTGTTACCCCTGTTTGAATTTGCAGCTGTCAACTTGATAATTTTTTGCTGTGATAGTAAATTGTACACTTGTTTACAGTGTAGAAATGTGAATTAAGCGTGCATGTTTGTATTATTCCCATAGAGTTTCACATCAAGCGTATCTGATGAATGATATTTTGAATTTTCTTCATTGCTTGATGATATGATAGGATTTAATTCTGGGACTATATATTTGCAATAACTTTTTGGTGGATTGAGAGAGACGAGTTAATTATTTGAATCATAGATATGTAACATATAGCCTTAGCAAGTCCTATCTTTACGGATTTATCTTAAGTTTTGATATTCATAATTGTATGGCACTGCAGCTGTATGACCTTTGTAAATTCAGATTGCATTTATATCTTTATGAATGCCATAGAACTAATTTGATGTCATCATATATCATGACACCACAGATGTGATTGATCCCACTGGCCCTTTCCAGTTTTGTTGACAAACATATACACACGATGTGTACTTGCATGGACTGATTACATGGTACCCTATCAGTTGGCAATTATTGCCATTATGAATGCCAACAGGACAAAGGCAAATTAACATGAAATGCATTCATGTCAACTGAAAGAAGCACAGTGCATAATTAACTAGCTAAAGGAAAGCAAGAAAATTCTGTTATGAATATAATAAGGATGTTGTTAGATAGTTGCTCAACAATAGAGTTACCTCCCTGTCAGTGTATGTTGTCTCTGTTTATCATTACAGGCAATGTGTCCTGTACAAAAAATAAAGAATTCAAAGACTGCATGTAATTTTATTATTCACTTAAATCTGGAGCACACAGTAATGCTGTTCTGTACTGTTCTGGAGCACACAGTAATTGTGTTCTGTACTGTTTGGGAGCACACAGTAATGATGTTCTGAACTGTTCTGGAGCACACATTAGTGATGTTCTGTACTGTTCTGGAGTACACATTAATGATGTTCTGAAGTGCTCTGGAGTACACATTAATGATGTTCTGAACTGTTCTGGAGTACAAATTAATGATGTTCTGAACTGCTCTGGAGTACACATTAATGATGTTCTGAAGTGCTCTGGAGTACACATTAATGATGTTCTGAACTGTTCTGGAGCACACAGTAATGATGTTCTGAACTGTTCTGGAGTACACATTAATGATGTTCTGAAGTGCTCTGGAGTACACATTAAGGATGTTCTGAAGTGCTCTGGAGTACACATTAATGATGTTCTGAAGTGCTCTGGAGTACACATTAATGATGTTCTGAACTGTTCTGGAGCACACAGTGTGTTCTGTACTGAGTACACATTAATGATGTTCTGAAGTGCTCCGGAGTACACATTAATGATGTTCTGAACTGTTCTGGAGTACACATTAATGATGTTCTGAAGTGCTCTGGAGTACACATTAATGATGTTCTGAACTGTTCTGGAGCACACAGTAATGATGTTCTGTACTGTTCTGGAGTACACATTAATGATGTTCTGAAGTGCTCTGGAGTACACATTAATGATGTTCTGAAGTGCTCTGGAGTACACATTAATGATGTTCTGAACTGTTCTGGAGCACACAGTAATTATGTTCTGTACTGTTTGGGAGTCCACAATAATGATGTTCTGAACTGCTCTGGAGTACACAATAATGATGTTCTGAACTGCTCTTGAGTACACAATAATGATGTTCTGAAATGTTCTGGAGCACACAGTAATGATGTTCTGTACTGTTCTGGAGTACACATTAATGATGTTCTGAACTGTTCTGGAGCACACATTAGTGATGTTCTGAACTGTTCTGGAGTACACAATAATGATGTTCTGAAATGTTCTGGAGCACACAGTAATGATGTTCTGTACTGTTCTGGAGTACACATTAATGATGTTCTGAACTGTTCTGGAGTACACATTAGTGATGTTCTGAACTGTTCTGGAGTACACAATAATGATGTTCTGAAATGTTCTGGAGCACACAGTAATGATGTTCTGTACTGTTCTGGAGTACACAATAATGATGTTCTGAAATGTTCTGGAGCACACAGTAATGATGTTCTGTACTGTTCAGGAGTACACATTAATGATGTTCTGTACTGCTCTGGAGTACACATTAGTGATGTTCTGAACTGTTCTGGAGCACACAGTAATGATGTTCTGAACTGTTTGGGAGCACACTGTAATTATGTTCTGTACTGTTTGGGAGCACACATTAATGATGTTCTGAACTGTTCTGGAGCACACATTAATGATGTTCTGTACTGCTCTGGAGTACACCGTAATGATGTTCTGTACTGTTCTGGAGCACACATTAATGATGTTCTGAACTGCTCTGGAGTACACCGTAATGATGTTCTGAAATTCTCTGGAGTACACATTAATGATGTTCTGAACTGCTCTTGAGTACACAATAATAACGTTCTGAAATACTCTGGAGTACACATTAATGGTGCTCTGAACATATCTGGAGTACACATTAACGATGTTCTGTACTGTTCTGGAGCTCACAGTAATGGTGTTCTGGATGGTTTAGGAACACACAGTAATGATGTTCTGTACTGTTCTGGAGCTCACAGTAATGGTTTTCTGGACCATTCCAAGGCTCATAGTTATTTTCTTCTAGACTGGCCATAAGCTCATTGTAATGATGTTCTAGATTGTTCAGAGCTCACAATAATGAAGTTTTGGATTGTGCAGGAGCTTTCAGTAACAATGTACTGTACTGTTGAAGAGCTCTCTTTAACAATGCTCTGGACTGTTCGTGAGTTCTCAGTAACAATGTTCTGAACTGTTCATTAGCTCTCAATAGTAATGTTCTGAGCTGTTCATTAGCTCTCAGTAGTGATGTTCTGAGCTGTTCATTAGCTCTCAGTAGTGATGTTCTGAACTGTTCAGGAGCTCTCAGTGATGGTGTTTTGTACTGTTCAGGCGCTCACAATAATAACATATCCCTTTTAGATATAAGATTGAACAAATATTTGAAGTATTCCAGATGTAATTAAACACATGTATTGAATTAAGTCAATAAAAACATTGTTATATTCCATGTATCTTTGTGTATTCTTTTATTTGAGGAAAGTACTGGTGAGCTCCTATGGCACTGTACTTGCTTGAATTCAATTTAGTTTAAACTAACATAAAGAATCAACTGATTGTGTTGCTGTAAGATCAGACATAGATTTCTGTTCAGAAGGAATCAAACAGATGAAACTGATGTTAGTCTCTAAATGTGTCGTTGTTGGGTTTACCAACAGCAGATTCTGAGTTTACTGGTCAAACAACACTTCAGACTCAATTTAGTCAAAATCGATGAAACAGCATTTGGCAACATTTCTGAAAAATCTTTTACTAGTAGAAATGAACTACTGCCACAATTACATGGTGTTTACTGAAAAATAGACAACACAGATTCAAGGACTAAAGTGACACCATGGTTACATGATGCAATCTCTCTTTGCCCTCGTCAACTTGATAGCCATATGTGGTTAAGTTAAGGAATCAAACTGTCTTTATCACTAGCTCTCAACTTCTAGCCTTCCAGTTTGAGGCTAACATCTGGCATTTGCCAGATACTGGCCACATGGCCTTGGTTTTTCTCTGGAAATTCCAGTTTTCTATTATGACAACAAGGTAACTTTTTCAGTTATTGAAAATAAAATTAACTTTATATATCCTGTGAGACTGACATTTTATTTACATGTTATATACAAATGTTTTATTGAACATAAATACTTAATAATCATCCTTATGGTAACAAGACTTCTACATTATGTACAAACATTCATGTGATATTTCCCAGGTACATTTCATCCTAGACTTCAATAACCATAACTGTCTGAACATTTATGAAGGATGACTCAATGGATATATTACTCAAAAGAACAAATTCACAATTTTGAATCTGTATTTTCATGGACTATTAACATTGTCAATATTTTAATAATTTCTTGCTTAAACTTTGATGTTTCTTCCTGGAATTACTGTATTTTCTCTTTTGGAAGTGTTTGATAAATTATATACCGTTTTAACCGTTTGTTTTTATTTAGTTAGCAATGTAGATGACCTTGTGTCTTTCAAATGTTTCAATGTCTCTTTCTAGTTGTTTCATTTGTGCTTCCATTCGTTCCTTGCGGTTTTTCTTTGGTGCTGTATCTGTGACAACAGACAGACTCTGATACTGATCATGAATATCTTCCCAGTTTGACTGTAGCCCTTCTAATATTGCCCGTCTCTCATCTTCAGTCAATGACCTCATCGCACCTCGACGGAAATGCTCTGCAATGTAGGCATCATATTCTTCCTGTGCTTTCTGCATCTCTTCCTTACGTTTTACAAGATACTTTGGTGTATCGCCATACTCCTGAAAACCGCAAGATAATAGGTGTAAACACACAAGTTGATCAATACAACAACAAATGACACCATTTTCTTACATGTTGCAGTTGCTGATAAAGATATACCAAAATGATTCTAATCCACTATTTTTTATGATGATTAAGGACTTCAATTTATGTGAATATATGGTTATTCTGGACCTAAAATGTAATAAAAATTACTTTGACAGGTTCATATAATCATAAACCTTGTCAAAAATAAACAACTGATAAGTACAACATTTTGTGTTAATTTTGAATTTCCAGGGAGATAGCAGACTGTTGCATTAAGGTTGATATTTTCTGAGAAGGATATAATTTACTGGGATAGGGTACAGAGGAAAGTTACTTCAACTATATATTATATCATTACACTTCTTCAGTCTCCTGATGAAAATTGCTTGTCCTATATTACACTTACAAAACTTACAAAATTTTCTTTTTTACTATATAAAATTTTGAACTTTTTCTGTATATATTAATTAGTTCATAAAAGTGTTAATTTTCTAAAGTTACGTTTTCTGCATATTTTTTCATTTTATTAAAAGAAAATAATCAGGTTTTTTTGTGTTATTATTATCATTATTATTTCTTTGGTTAGAAAATTTCAAGGGAATGAATTCACACAGAAAAACTATATATGCACACCTTTTTATGAATGTATTTTGGCTCCAGTCCAGATGGTTCAAGATGGTTTTTGTCTCCAATCCTGGTATCACAGTAAATCTTTTGAGGGGCTTTTGGTACTGATGTAATGTTTTGGACAGCATTGGTTGTGATGAAATTCTTGTTTGTTTTGAGACCCATGAGTGGAGTATTGTCCTTTGCTGGTACTATTGGCCTCCGCCTATCCTCATCAGGGTATTTGAATTCAGTTTCTGAAAATGATTTTTTTGCATTAATTTTCATTTTATGAAGAAACTATTCATTTAGATATCCCTTTGTTTGCATGAAACAACTGAAATGAGATTTTCGTAATGCAAAGAAAACTAACATTACCTCTGTTATAAAGTAACATTATACATCAATGCCCATGTTGCTTTTACATAGTACACATCTTTCAGGTTTTTGGATTTTGGCTGATATCTATTTAGTGCATACATGTGGCACCCTGTAATACAAGGATTTTTAGCTCTACTCTTGCACTGATAATAAAAAAATACGGAATGGTATTGTCTGGTTGGTTGTTCGAAGAAACCTTTAATCCTGACTTTGCTACATACATAATTTTAAACTTTTCATCAATAAATTGGCTTCATTGTCAGAAATGCACTAGAAATAATATAGTAAAAAACTGAAAAGTTCTTCCTATATTTAGTCCTGCTCTCCTGTCCAGGGGGCAGAAGTTGTAGGAGATTAAGATGCTTCTATGTAAGTTAAGAGCTGATCTGTAGTTGTTTTTTGGGGTGAAGGCATGTGAAGGAGGGAGTAGTATAGAAGTTAGGAGTACAGGTCTTCTAACTGGTGCCAGTGAGACAGAATTTCCCTTAAGTCGAGCAATAGGGTGTCCTGCTAGAAACCAACAGGTCGCTAGTTCGAACCCCAGCTAGGGCGTTCTGAAAAACCAAAGCCTCAAGTAATCTAAATCCTTTGCAGAATCATGTTGGAAAGGTTCCACTTTAAATTTTCACTCAATCACCAAATTTGGCAGAGAACTTGGTCAACAGTATGCAACTAATGTATTTACAGATCATCAGATGAAGGATATTATGTACAACTAAATTACTGCATGATCAGCTATAGAATAATTTCATAATTAATCTAGGAACAAGAGGAAACATAGGCAATATCCACCACAGAAAAAACCGGCAAGAGTTCCTATATGATTGCAGATACGTGTGGCCGAAAGGAAATTATGATCATTGTCAACGAACACGTCATTTTGACATAACATTTTCAGAGTGTGAAATTGCTGGGGCTCTAGCTGTAATTGGATGGATGAATTTCAATATCATACAATGAAATCCATTTGTGTTTGTATGCTTTTATTTAATCATATATAAATTTGTATCACAAAATTATCCAGTTTCCACATCACCCTTAGGTTTTGGGTCATGATATAAAGACACTCATGTAAGTGTAGCATTAAGATAGTCTGGTAACTAACTACTTGGACAGGCTCATATTTATGGGTGTTTGATAACTTTTTGGACACCCATAGGCACAAGTATAATAATATTTTCATGTAACATCAACAAAAACTGTTTTACAGGCATTAGACTCATTAAATCCCAATATTATCAAAACGAAATCAAATGCAAATGGAATGACAATGGTACATTGAGGCAATCAGTAGCACTGGCCAGATCAAAACATAGCATATCAGGAACACATTACATGAAAACTTTGTCGTAATAATGGATGCCAAACCTGTTAAATAAATAAACATGAAAACTTACTGTCCGGAAGAACGGGTTCCTTTGACCTCTTCTTCAGGAAATCATCAGTGGTAGGAACAGGCACTTTAGCCTGTCCCATTGTTTTGTGATTGGCTCTCTTCTCTGTGTATTCCTGTTTGACTGTTTGCTTGAACTTGGATACATATCTGTAACAGATGAACTGTACAGTGTACACAATCGGTTGGTCATTATTGTATTTACAGTATGTTCATGTTTCGCATATAACCAGATTTACTTTGAAATACAAAATAAACGAAGAAATGTGTATCAGATTCATTGTTCAGAATTCTAATGTATATGAGTGTATAAATTGACGAGACTAACACATGTAGTAATATCTATGAATGGGTCATTCAATCACAACTTCTGAAAATTTCGACAATTTTGTATTAAAATGCGTAAATTATTGACAATGAGATAAATTAGTGAAACTAAGATCAATAATAAATATTAACCGACATAAATTTTCATACAGCAGATAAAATAAAATCGGGTATGGTAAAATGAATAATAGTATATGGAATTATATTGAACTGCAAGATTATATCGCCTTTGCTGTGAGTGGAATTAGCAGTGACATTGATGACATATTTTGATTGTTAATTCACGCCTAAAAATCTATGTTGATAAACTTACCTCGGTTGTTTTTGTTTCTTAACTTCCTCTACGGGAATGAGATCGAAGAAGGATGGCATCTCCATTTTCGGTTCGACTGTGGTTGTACCAAACTCAACTGGGCAACAACACAAACAACAGTCAGATGTTCTTAGCAACGTCGTATCCAGGAAATGCAGATTTCGTAGTGCTTTTTACGAAACGAAACACTTTAATTTTGTTCGATAAAAAAGCTTTACTCAACCCCACGGATAAAAAAAGCACAATTAATATTGTACATGGTAAAACTGCAAAAATGCAAATATACTGAAAGAAATAATCATTAACTGCGGTTCATATAATTTTACATATCAAAATGATACTTCCGGTTTAAATAGTACTTCCTGTCGATGCGGTTTGGAGTTTTCCTTTCGTTTTTCATATGAGAAATGGAAGAAAATAATGTGGTAGCACATGGCTGTAACAATTGACTAAGAAATTTTCAAGCTACGTTTCTCATGACTACCTATTATCATGTCACTTAAATGGTGAGCTGAATTGATTGGAACTAATCGATCACACAAATTTATCACACACCCAGTTTCGACGGTTTTTGCGGTTTGACAGGATGGACCAGGATTTTGCACAGATTAACAATACTATTACAGACAGCAGTAGAGTGTAAAACGAAATTTAGTTTATAATTATTTTAGTCGTTAGGCTATTGACACAGCAGTCGGATAATGATAACCTTTTAGGTTTTTGACCCATCAGCCGGGTAATTATAACCTGTTGGGCCATTTGCCTAGCTGCCGGGTAATGATAACCTGCTTGTCCATTTGCCTAGCAACTTGATAAAAGTAACCTCTAGACTATCCGCATAGCAGCTAGATAGTAATAACTCAATAAGTTACTGGTCTAGCAAGTAGGTAATGATATCCCGTTGGGATATTAGCCTAGTAGGTGTGTAATGATAACCTGTTAGGATATTGACACAGAAACTGGGTATAGCCATATAACCCGTTAAATAATTGGCACATTAGCCAGGAAGGTTATTATCGAGGCATGCTTTGCATAGGGTATATCATTAATAGGGTTTTTTTTTCAGATCAAATTTGGTCCTTCTGTATTTTTAAATGCAAATCCCCGAAGATATGGAGTTATTTTCTACATATCTTATTTTCTATGCTTCAAAATGTTGTATAGATTTTCCCATGGAAACCCTGAAAATATATGACTGACCCAGGTAACCAGTATAATCATGTTAGTATTGTGTTGTTGATTTGATAATCCATACTAACATTCCTTGCTAGCACTTGAGCATTATTTATAAATATAATATGTAAGCAGCCATGTACCCAGATTTATATCAATTTCTTTGTCAAAGTGAACCCAACATTTTCTTAAATATTGTCATTCAAAATGAAATTCTATGACAGTCATGCTGTTAAGCAAGCTATGTGTGCATTAATTTGAAGAATTTGACATTGTATTGAATGTTTAGTAATCATGCACAAGTAAAATTTGTGTCCTTAACCTGGATGCTCAAATCTGTTCAAAACTTTATGTAGACTGATACATCCGCTGGTTTAGTAAAGAGAATTTGACTTGGCTGCTACTTAACTGGTATGTACTTGGCTACCAACAGGTATATATATTGAAATCTGCTACCTATGTTCTTGACTTCTTTGTAAATATTCACTTACTCCCTTGCTTTGATGTATTTTAGGAATGTTCCTTTGAAGAATGGAAAAGATGTGTTCTTCACTGAAGAAAGCTTCAATATATTTAACAATTTCATCAGTTTTGAAGAACGCCTTCTACAGCGTCTAGAAGAACATGATACAAAAACTAGTAAGGGAGTTGATTGTTTTCCAATCAATATTTCTAAGGTGCTTGAAGTTAAACAGGAATCTGCTTCATCGACACAGATGAAAAAGGAAGCAGTTGTGAAACAAGCATCCTACAAAAAATTGTCAGCAGATGACAAAAAACCAAGCAGATTTTCTTCCAAAGAGGATGAAGCACAGTCAAGGTAAAATATACTTGCACTGGTAATGGAATTTTCTCTTGATTTTAAAGAGATTGAAATGGTGTGAGGATTGTGTGCTGAGACTGAATTATAAATAAATTTTGATCCATTTTCAGGTAATTCTTGTTGTGGCAACTGGCACCTAGCCTGTCTATGAGTGGTTCTGTTCTCATTATGTGAATACATGTCTTAATGTTTTAACATTAGGGTTTAATTTCTACCTCAACTGCCTGAAGGGCAAGTAAGCTTTTGTCACGTTGCTTCATCTGATGTCAATTTTCTCCTTTTAGTAACTTTTTCTCGATAGCCAAGAGTCCTAGATTCATAATATTGGGTCAATAGTGTGCACAGATAAAGGGTCACTGGTTTTTTTTGTTTTTTTTTTTAATGAATTACCTTGACCCTCTTTCAAGATCACAGGGGTCAAACGTGTTAAAATTTTTGCACAATTTTTCTCGATACTCAAGAGGCTAAGGGTCATGATATTAAGCCAATATCATGCCTGGATAAAGGGACATGAATTTGTTCAAATGAATGACCTTAACCGCTCTGAAGGTCATGAGTAGAATAAACTGCTTCTTTTCAATAATTAACAGGCCTTTGGTTATGGTATTTGTTTAGCAGCATGCTTGCACTTAATTACGTTTGAAATTATTTTGTAGTTTGAAGCTTGCCTTACATATCACCAAAGGACGACTACCACCACCAAGGAAGTCGTCTTTGTGTCACGAAGACCAGAAGATGTATCTGTCCTTGTTCAGTAAATATGGTTGTCATCCTCCTGCTGACCCAACAGAGGAAGAAATTACAGAACTCAACAAGCTCAAGGTATTTCAGTCTTAGTGGACCTACTATTATATAATGTATTAGGTGTGTGGGGTAGAGGGTGTACTATTATCATCTTGTTTTCTCAGTTGACACAACCCTTCAGTTCTATTATATTTATTAAGGAGCAATTTTTATTTTCAATTTTCATTGTCAGATCAGATTTGCCGAATCTTTCCTTACCTGCTCTGCAGCACTACAATCATACACTGTACCTTAAACTGCATTCAATGTTTGGTATGTATTCCCTATAGATGCTGCAGATCGTGGTGAAGAGGGAGCAAGAAGAGTTTCACAAGTATGCCCTGTCTCTAGCCAAAGCTCTCCAAGCTGAATATCACTACATGGATGCTGCAGCCAGAAAGTACATGGAGGTAGTATACCTCATCCACAATAGTATTTACATTGAATCAGACAGGTACCGCTTCTGACCATTGGGGATTATATGCAATGCAAGTGTAAATATTTTCATTTGTCCTCTCCTCTACTATAGATTGAGCCTAAATATGAAGATAGATCTGAAGTCAGTCTAAGAAATGCTGAAACATGGGAGGAAATCTGTTCACTTCAGTATCTTTTACAAAACAAGTTATTGTTGAACTTCATACACTTTCAAGGTCACAGGTCAAATATATTATAATAATGACAAAAATTGCAAAAAAAACCAGCCCAATAATGAAGACACTTAGGTCTGGTACTTATCATACCGACAAAAGATAAAAAAAATGATAATTGATTGTTTGATCATTCTGTCGACAGTTGTTTAAAATCTTTTTGCTTTTAGGCTTGAAGATGGACTTGGATATTTTTGAAAATTTCTTCTCTCAAAATTTTTATTTAGCAAACTCATGTATGTAATGGTTTTTTTTTTTGTAAACTTTCCTTCTTTACAGGCACGGCTGTCAGCCAAACATCAGGAAGTGGAGTTGTACCCAAGTCAGTACAATGTTGTTAGTAGCTTTACCCTAAAGGGCACCGGTCAGGCTTCCCAACTTAACTACATAAAACCTCTTCTTCATCTGGTACGTGTAAATAATGACAAAGGTTTGATACATTTTCCAGGGAAAGGCTCTGATAGTTGTTCCAAGAATTGTTGTGATGCATTTTCATAACACCGATCTCAGACAGAAGAAAATGATTGCACATATCTTTCAAATTTCCTCCTCCTTTCGTTTTAGATGCCTCTGCCTTTGACTTTGATCATATAATACTACCTTCTAGCTCTATTCTGTCATATCCCTTTTACAAATCAATGCAGTATTTTGAAAGACTTTTGACAGATTTGTTTTACATTTACCCCACACAATCATGAAGTTAAGGTCTACATTGGTCAAGGTCAGTGTCAAAGGTCACATTTGATAACTTTTTGCAAATTCGAATTCATCAAATGGTGAAACTTACATGCATGGAAGAGGGGGCATTTACGCATCACTAGTATTTTCTAATTGTCTTAATAATTGAATTTACAAAAAGACCTGAATAAAACATTGATGAAAATTTTCACATTTTCAGTCAAGATCATGACCAGTTTGATTGTTTCTGTAAATTGCAATTTTTTCGAGTGATGCACAAACGAATTAGAAAATCAATATTACAGATATGAGTGGTAGAGCTCAATATTGAGGTTTTAGTCTTGATTTTATTCAATTTTGCAGGGCTCTGTGCCAAAGATGATCATTCCCACTGTTACATATGATCGAAGACATCAACTTTCTGTAGATGCAGCTGCAGTCAGACAGGAAAATCCCATCCGGTCTGACAAAAAGATGGAATCCACCTGGAACCACGAGGTCACTTTCATTACCACTATGTGTGTTCTATTCCATCTGTTCAATAATTGTCCGTTTTGTTCATCAACAGTAATATTCCATTAAACCTCCATTCATTCTATCCATCAATCTTTTTAATAGTTAATTTCCTTTTGTAAAATTTTCAGAAAAAAAAATTTATTTTGAGCTGAAGTGGAAGAGTTAGAATCCTGTGCCCAAACACCTGTGTCCCAAAAGAATTACTGCAACATCATACAACTGTTTTTTTGAATACTTTTATTATTTGACAACAGAATATACAAATGGAGGTTTTATGCCTAAAGTATTCTAATTCAAGGGAATATGAGATCATCAAATGAAACAAAAATGGAAGAGTTACTGCAAATCATTTCATGTAAATATTTAGAAATCTTTTTAATTGTCTTAAACTTATGAGAAAGTTAGGATTGACATTGTTATTTTAAGCCATGATTGATAAAAGTGAGTTTATTACAATACAGGCTTGCAGTTTGGATCAGAATGCCGAGATATTAGCTGTCCAACATCGAGGACATATTGTCATATCACCTGGGGCCCTCATGTGCCTGGTAGACAACTTCACCCCTGATTACAGTAGGGAGTGGGAACTGCCCTTTAGTGTAAAGGAGTATGATGTCATAGGTGAGTTATTTCCCCTTTTATATGATTTGCATATTAATAAGTGGTGAATAATCCAGGTATTTCTAATTTTACACTCATTTATTTCACCACCAAATTTGATCAATAAAACTCCATTTCACTGTGCTGTTGATTGTTACCATCTAAGTTTGAGACTCATTGAAACATACTGTGTAATATAAGCTGTCCAAAAATTTTAAATGAGTTTTTCTTTGTACTCCAATAATGAATGACAAACATGATGAGTCCATGACAATATTTTTGCTCAGTTCAGATGATTAAGTACTTGTTTTTAGAAGTAATTGAAATTGACATCTTATATTTAAATAAAGAATCTGGATAAATTTCAGAGGATGAGAAGAAGGTACGACACAGAATAGTGTACATTGATAAACCATTTCCATCTAAAGTCACTGAACGAGCCAAGAATACAAAGTTTTACAAATTTCTACTTCGCCATATTTTCTGTCCTCATCACTCGAAGGATCAAACTACAGAAAACAGTTTGTGTGTAGATACGTCTTCCTGGAAGACTGAAGATAAAAAATCAGTTGGGGAGGAAAAAGGATCAACAGAAAAAAAATTTCCTCTCTCACACCTTGGAGACATTTTTGATATCGGAAAATCTTCCATGGAAGACGTTGAAACTTTCGGAACTTCAAGTTTTGAATCTTTTACAAAGAGGAAGAAAAATGAGATAAAGAGTACCAATGTTAGTACTGTGAGCAAAACAGAAACATCATCACATGAAATCTGTGAAAAGAAACATTTGGTGGACAATGTTAAGAAAGTGTCCAGAAAAGTGGATCAAGGCTCATTGGATATATTCAGTGATCCAACAACAGAGGATATTGAAACATTTGGACTTGGCATTTCTGAGGGGAAATCTACCATTTCAAAAAAAGGCAGAAATAAGGAGACAGGACAAGGTATTGAAGACAAAAGTATCATTGAAGATTCTGTTTCTTCCAAGACAAGGTCAACATCATCTACTAGTTCAGATGTTCATCTCACACAATCCTCACAGACTGCTTCATCTCCAGTTTCACAGGTGTCTACACTGGTCACACAGCTGTCATCTACACCAGTCACATTGACACCACCCACTTTAGTTGCCAAATCAACAGAATCTACATCAGTGTTGGGTGCTTATAGACAGTCATATTCATTATCTTCTGATACATTGGGGCTATCCACAGATACCATGGAAACACAAACAGAAAGTCACGTTACCCTGGAAACTACAACAGAAAGCCATGTTACAATGGAAATACGAACAAATAGTAATATTACTATTGAAACACAAACAGAATGTCCTCTTTCATCAGAAAAACAAGTTAATACCCATGTAAGCATGGAAGCAGAAGATTGTCATATATCTGAAAAAATGACTGTTAGAAATAATGAATGTCAGGTTGTAAAAGACGAGCCATTTACCCTTATCCCAATTGACCTACCTGATACTTATAAGTCTCAGAGTATACTGGTGAACCCTGTCACTGTAAACACTGATTCCAACCTTAATACCAATGAAAAAGAACATGAGATCATTATGGATGCCCCAGCTAGTCCTGTTTCCATGGATACACCTGCTAGTCCTAATTTTTGTGATTCCATATCAAGTCCATCAGAAAATCCATTTGGGCCAAAAGTAATCCCTATGAGTGCAGAAAGACATGATCCTCAGTCTTTCTGTTCGCCAGATGTTCAACGTTGTGTTATAATTCCTTTGGAGATAGAAGAAGAAAGATGCGAAGAGGTTGTCTTGGACAAGAGTCAGGTGATCAGTCAAGAGGGTGATAATAAAGAAATCACTGCAAGTCCAGTCCTGGCACAGAGACGATCACGTCGTCGTAGGTATACAAATGTTTCTGTTTCAAGTGACCTTGACAGTGACGATGAAAAACTTCTGATAGATGTGTCATCATTAGACGAAAGTGCAGGTGAGGAAGTTGATGTCCGACCTACGAGACGACATCAAGCTATCAATTCAAAATCACAACTGAAAAATATTGAAGATGGAAAGACAAACAGTCCGTTACAAAGGATGGAGTCTTTTCAGGCGAAGTCTGCTGAGGAAGATAGTAGTAGACTGACAAGGGTAACAAGATCAAGGCAATCGCAAGATATTGTTATGACACAGATGAAACAACCATCATCAGGGGTCAAGAAAGAACAAAAGAAAGGTGATAAAATGTCTGAAAGGACCAGTAAAACACAAGGTAACAATTCAAATAATGACAATGGGAATACATTAGACAGACATTTAAGGTCAAGGACACTTAGTGAGTCAAATTTGACCTCATCAGAGGTCAGATCCGGTGAGAAAAATCCTGGAATTATCTCCCCTGATAAAGCTTTGTCTACAGTTAGCAAAACAAACTCATTGATACCAGAGAATGACTCAAACTCCAGTTCCTCACTGGATGTATCCATTGTCGAGGACAAAGGTCAAAGTTTAAAGGTAACCAGGAGGTCTTCTAGACTATCTGCAGGAAGTAGCCCAAGCAAATCTGAGGTCAAGAATACTGAAGGTGCTAAAAATACAAGTTCTAAGGTCTTAACCTCAGATACTGGTACAAATGATGAAAAAATCAAGGAAGTGGTAGCACTCCCTGTCACGAGGAAGAGAGGCCGTCCAAAAAAAACAATGTCAAGTCCACCTTCAAACTCTCCAGGTGAACAAGATGAATCAAGGTGAGATAATTTCATATATCAATTTGGGAAATCATTCTGATGGAAATACAAAATTTAAATTAAGAAAACAAAACAAAATTGAAAATTCTTAAATGCAAATGTACTTGAATTTAATGCGATCACACCAAGGTAAAGAGTATTGATCAATTTTCTTTATACATTGGCATACCTCATCAACCTGCTGAAAGTACTTTATTCAACACCTCAGGGCTTCCATTGTTACTAGGGAAAATATAAATCTATTATCCTATCCGTTGAATGGCTGCTTTGTTCCGCATTTATTAAACAATCATAAAGGTGTTTTATCACCTCTCCAGTGTCATGTTCAGGTGACACCATTCATTTTATATTGGATATAATGTATTGAGTTCACCTCTACGATTTGTATTATATGGCAGAACAAATAAGCAATCACCTGTTTGTATTGTAGACAAATATTTCTGTATGTATTACACAGAGTAGAGAAATTCTATCAATGTGATACACACATTTGTTATGAGAGAAAATATAACTAGATAATTAACAAACTATTTATCCATACAGACACCAACATGATCCTACAGACTCAGAACCTCCCAATAATGGTGAGTTTGGAAAACAATTTGCTTTAAACATTAGGTTTTCTTACCAGTACAAGAAGTTTATCAGGACATTCCATGAAATTCAGTCTCTCAGTCTAATTAAGACAATATTTGCAAATGCTCTGCTGAAAAAGTTCCTTAAAACGGTTCTTTGAAGATCTTACTTCTGAATATTGTTTTTTCACACTTTGATAAGTTGAGAGATAAAAAGTTTCTTTACACAAAAAATCATTGTTAAGATTGGATCTTCAAAATCAAAAACTGTTTTTTGGTTACCCAGTTAGAAGGAGTGATTATCTGATCTGATGATTTGCTCTGGTTTAAAGTAGAACCAGACAGGGGTTGTCTCCATGCAAATGCAGTGAAAATTAAGTTGAGTTATGTACACCTTTACTAAATAGACTTTTAATGTAAAATTTCATCAATATTCTATTGTAGGTGAAGATAGTGTAAGTAATCCTGTCCCACTGAAAAAGAAAAGAGGAAGACCTCCGAAACAAAAAGGTAGGCCATTGTACATAATTTCTTATATGATGATAACAGATATTGGTTTCTGTAAGGTTTACAGCATAAGCGATTTAAAGTTTCCTAAACATATAGGGAAATGGTTGTTGTCTAGGTGTCCGAGGTGCATCGGAAGCCTTTCTTTGTCTTCTGTTCAGCAAACAAGAAAGTAATTTGAGTCAATGTCTTTGCCTACATTGTCTTTATGGCTTTGTCACATTTGAGCATATATATATAACTATAACATTGTATGGACTATTAGGACGAATGTATAACTATTGTTATAATAGTCTTGGAAGAATACCATGTACTTAAATGTCATGTTAATTGGGCGTTAAAATTGTAGTTTGGCCCTTTATGTCTTTATCATATTGATGGACCTCTTATTTCATTATGTTAAATGGATCATTGAGACTATTGTATGACTTCAGAGAGTCTAACCAAACAGCAAAGTGAAAGACCCATGTTTAGCAGAAATTTTAAAAATGTTGTCTGTTGGTTCTGTTCTTAAAGTTGAAGCACCAGAAAAAACTGTAGAAACAACTAACACTGGTTCTACCAAAAATGAGACAGACTCAATACAGACTGAGGACATGGATATGGACAACAGCTCAGTTATAAGGAACTCCTCATCCCAGATAGGTTCAAAGGTCAAGGCCTCCATGGCAAGATCTTCTGTAAATATGTCTGCAGCTGAGGAGCATGTCAGTAGAGTAAAGCCAAGACTTGTGGCAACCATGATACCAAAGACAGGTAATTACTGAACAGTATATGTAAATATTGACAAGGGCAGATAACCAACAAATACAAGTAAGGGCTTATAGGTAGCAGGAAATAGTTCATTTGCATTTTTCCAGAAATTATTAGTCCTGTTTGAAATATACATGTAAAACAGTTTGGTTATGAAAAATACACCTTTACATGTAAATATATTCATAAACAACATAATTACATTAACAATAGAGAAATTAAAATTGTGTAAATCAAAAGTTTCTTGATTTGTGACATGTGATTGCTATGGTTACCAACTCTAAAAGTTCAAAAATACTACTAATTCCAACAGCTGTTTCTGATCACCTGTCTTATTAATAACAAACTACTTCCATTTCAGCAAATTCCAACACAAAATATCGTCACAACATGACTACTTGTAAAAACTAGGAAAATTTTACTTCCTGTAAAGCTAGTTTTTGGTGTGTAGATAGATTCGAGACTGCCCAAATAGGAATCTCCAATGTAATGCTATTCTGATAAATGGTTAATCCCACTTTGTCTACTTCAAGATAACATGACCAAATTTAGCAAGGATTTATTTGTCAAATTTTAATTTAAACCTTTATGATTGGGTAATCTAATGAACAAAAATATCACCTGTGTTTAGCCGAGAAACTGTGTATTACTACCATAACTTACAAATACACACAAGGGCAGATAACTTCCAAATACTGAAAAGCGCAAGTAACCCACAGACAAACACAAGTTAAGATGACGCACTAAAAACTGACAAGGATAGATAACTCACAAATACTAACAAGGACAGATAATTCTCACAAATAACACTAGTTTAGAACAATGACAAAATTACCTCAAAATGTAAGCAATGGTCAGATACATGTTAAACAATACAGAAAATATGGGTTTAATTCTGAAATATATTGCTACTGATACTGTAATATATTTTTCATTACAGAACAACCTATAAATAAAAAACAAACCACTACAGCAACAAAGACTTCTGGTCCAAAGACAGCAGCTAAAAAGTCAACTGCAGAGGTCAGCACCTTTGACTCAATACTGCAGGGCATGCAAGATATGCTACATACACCAGGTCAAAAGGTCACAGGTAAGTCAGGATCAAACATTTCACACTCTGACGAAAGGTTATAGGTGAGTCGGAGCAAACTTCCATTTCTCACACCAGGTCAAAAGGTCATTGGTTAATTTGGGGCCAAATTCATTTCACCATGTCAGAAAGGGGTCAAACATTAGTCATGGTCAAAATAATTACACAAACTCAAAGTTCATAATTAAATTGGGGTCCGTTTACTCAATTATGATACTGATCACAAAATAAATCGAAGAAAACAATATTTGATATAGGAAGCCATGAACTCACCATTTTTTCCTTCCATCCATTGTTTGTAGTTGAACGTATTTAGTTTGTTGATTGGATTGAAATTATGATGAGTATCACAAATTCATTTTGAAATTGAAACAAAATTATTATAAGATTGTTTTGATTGCATCATCTACAAAATTTTTGAAATATTTCAAATCTTTTTAATGTTATTCTAAAGTTATCTTGGCTCTTGATGTGCTTTCTGTTGTAACATCACAATACAACCCGTTAGTATTTGTTGTCATATGATTGTCACATGGGGTTCATCACTAAAATAATATATGAGTTTACTCACGAAATGACATTGCAGTCATGTGATCGACATCAAGATCCTGTAGACTCTTGTGTTCTATAGTTTTGTCTTCAGTCTTTTATACATTTTGCCTTTATGTAAAGACGTTACCTTTAAGTAACCAACTCAGTTTAAATAAATTTGTATTTTACAGATAACCAATGTCAATCACAAGAATCAAATACTTCCACATTCAAACAGCCCGACAGTCATTCTAATGTCTCCTACCATCTTTGGTCACTTGGTGGTTTCCAGGTTGTGGTCAGATGTGGTTACCATGGTACCATCAGAGACGATGTTCAGAAGGTCAGTGTTTTAATGTAATTGTATTACTGTATTTGTAGGCTCACATGACTATGAGCCCACAAGTTTCTTGAATTGAGAACCAGAGAAATGGGGAGAATAGGAAAGGAGACAAAAGAATCTTCCTTAATGGTTTATAATCTTCATGCCTCTAACACTACTTTAACCAAAGAACAACTGTGACGGATGGGAGATATCTTCAGGCTCAGGTTTAGCAAATGATACTAAGATTTTTAAAAATTTGTGTGTTTATTAGACATCCTGTCTAGCTATCTTATATTTTTGTGTGATATTTATCAGTTGTCCAAAGTACATATATGTACAAAGATGGAATACCAGTCATCGGAAGGCCTGGAACAGACAACAGCCAGTGAAATGTGTAGATCCTGGATTTCAGGATATATCCGACCTCACTGTAAACTACTCCGAGGTAAGTTATATCTCCTATGTATGGCTCGCCATTCCCCACTCTGGGTGGATAGCTTTTCTCAGGATACTAAGGACATAATTTCTCCTTTGCTATAGAAATTGTTTGCTGTTAATATGCCTTATTTGAAGTTTAGCCAGAAAAAAAATCGAAGTCTTCACATTTCTCAGAAAATCCAGACAGGATAAATCTCCAGTTGGAGAAATTCTCAAATAACCAACATCCCATCAAGATCATGTATGTTGTGGTTCTCCTGCTAGTAATGCACTCGGCTTTCTCATATAGAAAATGTTTTTTCTTTTCTAAATTGGTTCCTCTTTTGAAATTACTTGGTCATAAAAAAGTGACAGACAGAAATGGGAAATATTTCTCATTTCTTTCAGTTGTATTTTTGTCGTGAAGTCAAATGAAATCTCACATTGGAAATACACTAATAATCAAACATTTTAATGTTTTAAACATGCTATTGTTATGTCTGTCCATCCAACACATAAGAAAACATTAAACTTACATGAACCAATGGTGGGTGCTGCCAAGCTCTGGCTGTGATTCCCTCAATTGAAAATCAACCTGTTTTGATACCACACAAGCAAGAATTTATTATTCAGTCTATGACTTTGGAATAATGATATTAATTTCTGTTGCCCATTATGATATTTGCTATTAACATTTGAATTGATAAAAAGCATGATGAAAATACGTGGATATTCTAGCCTGTAGCAGTTTAAGTCGTTTTGTTTATTTGACTCACCACTTCTTACTGAACCAAGAATTAAACAGTTTAATCATCTGCAAATGTGGTAATAGGAAGAAGTGATGAAAAACATCCCATAACAATCTGCAATTATTTCAAACTTATTTGATACTAATTTGTATGTTTCCAGCCATTAGCTTGAGAAGAACACTGTATTAGAAAACATACATGTAAACTGCAGCACAAACTTGATCTGAAGTTAGATTAACCTCAGGTAAATTCTTATCTTTCCAGCTCGTATTGATCCTTTAAAGTCAGAACTCATCGCTCTGGAGGAAATAAGTTTAAATCAACTGGTTGGCTCACAGCAGACATTTAGGTATGTAAATAGCTGTTTAGCTAACTGCAAACATTTAGGTATGTGACAAGTCAGCTGATTTGCTTACAGCAGACATTTAGATATTGTGACAGAGGTCATTGTCATCTCAGTGCCTCCGCTAGGAATCGAACCCGGGACCCCTGGCTTACTAGTCTAACGCTCAACCAATCGAGCTAAAGAGAAGTTCTCTCTAGCCGAGTAGTATATTGAGGCTAGTATTTTACCAGGGTTACATACTCCCCCTCCAGAAAATATCTCGTCCTCGAGTTTCCAGGGGTTACAGCGATGCTGGTGGGGCATGGCTAAGTACTTTTCCGGTGTCCCTACATGGTCGCCAATGTAACAGAGGTAATTTTTCATCTAAATGCCTCTGCTAGGAATTGAACCCGGGAACCCTGGGTTACTAGTCTGACGCTCAACCAATAGAGCTAAAGAGAAGTTCTCTCTAGCCGAGTGGTATATTGCAGCTAGTATTTTACCAGGGTTACAATATGTAACAAGTCAGCTGATTGGCTCACAGCCGATATTTAAGAGACGGAAATGTAAAAAGTCAACAAATAAACTGATTGGCTCACAAGAATAGGAATCATGCAAAAATCTATATCACAAAATTTGCATTTTGGTGCTTAATGTAAATATCATATGGCATTAAAACAAAGTCACATGATCACCAACATGCAGAATCTGATATCAAGGTTATAACTCAAATTTTGCTAACAGGAGGGGAATTTTTTCTATAAAGGTCTTTGAACACTGAAAATGTACATTCTACAGATGAGAACCACATGGGTCTTCTGTCACAACAGAGGATTATCAAGTCCTTATTTCTTTCCAGGCCTGGGGATATCTTTCTGATGTTACAGAATATTTTCCACAAGCTGCATCAGTAAGTATTGCACACAGGAGAGTATTTGATGTTTTACAAGGCCTTTTTATGATTCATTGCTAAGAATGGTTGCTTTTGATGAAATTTTTTAAGTTTTTAAAACGTTGTTGTCATCGATTTCTGCATACCACTCATCAGTAATGTATACACAGAGTGATAGACAAATTATATGTATGCTTAACATTATTTCATTTATTTATATATTTGCTGACTTATTTTGGTATTTTACAGAGCAAAAAAAGTTTGTAAAATAATTCAGGGAATTGCAATAGAATTTAATATATAACAAAGTAGTGGTCCGGAAAAATCTCTCGAATAACATTACAGCGATGACTGGTTAAACAAAACAGTGTCCAAATGTCCCGAATTGAAATATACAAAATTTGTGACATCTAGTGTGGTGGCCATCTTGAAATTCTTGTTATCACTACCATTCTCAAGGGAATCACTTTTTCCACACAAGAGTTTCACTATCGCTATAACATGTTGTCACATTCAAGACGGCCATAAAGGCTGCCATATAACAATGATAAAGTTTTACATTAGTAGAACGCCAGTTTCGTCAGGAGCTCCATTTTCGTTCCTGCATAAAGATTTACTCTTAAAAACTTAATTTGACTTCAGACAGTCCCCAGGCCAGTACCTACTTCACCATGGACCAGGCGATAGAAACTGCAACATCAAAAAATGTACAGAGAAGAAAAAACGGTGGGTATTAACAAAGAACAGACACAAAAAATTATCATGAAAAGACAGAAGATGCTTGGAAAAATGTTTAGTCTATAATTTTTGTAACAGTAAGTAAGCTTTACTAAATTGAACTTTTTCTATGGATTACAAATAGTGAGCTGCTTTCTTCATCATTCATAATCAATATAAATAGTTTTAAAGCAGGAAATTTAAGAGCAAACATTTTATTGGTTCATGAAATTTATTTTGCAGTGGATCATATGACCTTCATTTTCAACACTTTGGCTTTATGACAACAAACACATCCAACACGAGCAATGTACCTTGGTTACCTGTAGACCCCTCCATCATTCTGCCTAGTCACCTTGCAAGAGGAAGAGTACCTGCGACCTTTGAACCTGCAGGCAAGTATCAGTCTCTGTTTGTGTGGTCTTGACCGTCTTGCTGAGATGTTTTGTGTTTCAAAGTGTAACTATCTTATATATTTATTTGGCTTTTTCAGATTACTCATCGTGGGTCTCGCCCAAAAAGAACAAAGGAAAAAAGAAGAAGAAACACACAAAAAGAAAAATGAAAAAATGAAAAATAAAAAATGTCAACATGTCAATTTTCTTTCATAATATAAATATTCCTGACATAAAAGTGATGTATGAATAACTGAAGTATTCTAGGTACGTTTTACTACCAGAGGTGGTTGATACCAAATTTATACCTGTCAGAGCTACAATATTGCCCATTATATCACAATAGAGGTATATGTACATAACTTCTCACTAATGTAGAATGGAAATGGAAGAAATATTATAATGCTGCTGTCCATTTGTCCTTCCCTGTGTCTGTGTCACCATTTCTGGACAATAATGCAAACTCAGTCTTCACATACTTTTTCTTACTGGGATTGCTTGTTTGGGATTGCTTTGGGGGTCAGATTTCGAGGTCACCAACTGTAAATTGAGAATTGGTCTGAATCACAATTTCTGGACAATAACACAAGTAAAGCTTGACCAATCATTCTCAAACAGCATACACTACTTTTTTAAAAGGGAATGCTTGCTCGCGATAGGTTTTCGGGTCAAAATGTCAAGGTCATTTTTACTATATCAGGTCAAAATGTTACTATATCAATCTCAAAATAATGGAATGTTCCACTGACTGTTGTGGAGATTAGTATCATCAGTGATACAATTGATCTCCAATCACACCTCTTCTTGTCATTAAACATGTTTTCCTCCTTTCTGAAATCAACGACTCTCTTAATATCAAGAAATTGTTAATACAGCTCCTGGTGTACATCCTTTAATTCATCATGTCTTTTTACCAGTGGCAAGGATATTTGTTCTCTGTGTGTGAATACAGCTCCTGGTGTATAACCTTAAATTCATCATGTCTTTTTACCAGTGGCAAGGATATTTGTTCTCTGTGTGTGAATACAGCTTCTGGTGTATAACCTTAAATTCATCATGTCTTTTTACCAGTGGCAAGGATATTTGTTCTCTGTGTGTGAATACAGCTCCTGGTGTATAACCTTAAATTCATCATGTCTTTTTACCAGTGGCAAGGATATTTGTTCTCTGTGTGTGAATACAGCTCCTGGTGTACAACCTTAAATTCATCATGTCTTTTTACCAGTGGCAAGGATATTTGTTCTCTGTGTGTGAATACAGCTCCTGGTGTATAACCTTAAATTCATCATGTCTTTTTACCAGTGGCAAGGATATTTGTTCTCTGTGTGTGAATACAGCTTCTGGTGTATAACCTTAAATTCATCATGTCTTTTTACCAGTGGCAAGGATATTTGTTCTCTGTGTGTGAATACAGCTCCTGGTGTATAACCTTAAATTCATCATGTCTTTTTACCAGTGGCAAGGATATTTGTTCTCTGTGTGTGAATACAGCTCCTGGTGTACAACCTTAAATTCATCATGTCTTTTTACCAGTGGCAAGGATATTTGTTCTCTGTGTAAATAAAGCTCCTGGTGTATAACCTTAAATTCATCATGTCTTTTTACCAGTGGCAAGGATATTTGTTCTCTTGTGTGTGAATACAGCTCCTGGTGTACAACCTTAAATTCATCATGTCTTTTTACCAGTGGCAAGGATATTTGTTCTCAGTGTGTGAATACAGCTCCTGGTGTATAACCTTAAATTCATCATGTCTTTTTACCAGTGGCAAGGATATTTGTTCTCTGTGTGTGAATACAGCTCCTGGTGTACAACCTTAAATTCATCATGTCTTTTTACCAGTGGCAAGGATATTTGTTCTCTGTGTAAATAAAGCTCCTGGTGTATAACCTTAAATTCATCATGTCTTTTTACCAGTGGCAAGGATATTTGTTCTCTGTGTTAATGCAGCTCCTGGTGTACAACCTTAAATTCATCATGTCTTTTTACCAGTGGCAAGGATATTTGTTCTTTGTGTGTGAATACAGCTCCTGGTGTATAACCTTAAATTCATCATGTCTTTTTACCAGTGGCAAGGATATTTGTTCTCTGTGTAAATACAGCTCCTGGTGTACAACCTTAAATTCATCATGTCTTTTTACCAGTGGCAAGGATATTTGTTCTCTGTGTAAATACAGCTCCTGGTGTACAACCTTAAATTCATCATGTCTTTTTACCAGTGGCAAGGATATTTGTTCTCTTGTGTGTGAATACAGCTCCTGGTGTACAACCTTAAATTCATCATGTCTTTTTACCAGTGGCAAGGATATTTGTTCTCTGTGTGTGAATACAGCTCCTGGTGTATAACCTTAAATTCATCATGTCTTTTTACCAGTGGCAAGGATATTTGTTCTCTGTGTGAATACAGCTCCTGGTGTACAACCTTAAATTCATCATGTCTTTTTACCAGTGGCAAGGATATTTGTTCTCTGTGTTAATACAGCTCCTGGTGTACAACCTTAAATTCATCATGTCTTTTTACCAGTGGCAAGGATATTTGTTCTCTGTGTTAATACAGCTCCTGGTGTATAACCTTAAATTCATCATGTCTTTTTACCAGTGGCAAGGATATTTGTTCTCTGTGTAAATACAGCTCCTGGTGTATAACCTTAAATTCATCATGTCTTTTTACCAGTGGCAAGGATATTTGTTCTCTGTGTTAATACAGCTCCTGGTGTACAACCTTAAATTCATCATGTCTTTTTACCAGTGGCAAGGATATTTGTTCTCTGTGTAAATACAGCTCCTGGTGTACAACCTTAAATTCATCATGTCTTTTTACCAGTGGCAAGGATATTTGTTCTCTGTGTAAATACAGCTCCTGGTGTATAACCTTAAATTCATCATGTCTTTTTACCAGTGGCAAGGATATTTGTTCTCTGTGTGTGAATACAGCTCCTGGTGTACAACCTTAAATTCATCATGTCTTTTTACCAGTGGCAAGGATATTTGTTCTCTGTGTGTGAATACAGCTCCTGGTGTACAACCTTAAATTCATCATGTCTTTTTACCAGTGGCAAGGATATTTGTTCTCTGTGTAAATAAAGCTCCTGGTGTATAACCTTAAATTCATCATGTCTTTTTACCAGTGGCAAGGATATTTGTTCTCTTGTGTGTGAATACAGCTCCTGGTGTACAACCTTAAATTCATCATGTCTTTTTACCAGTGGCAAGGATATTTGTTCTCAGTGTGTGAATACAGCTCCTGGTGTATAACCTTAAATTCATCATGTCTTTTTACCAGTGGCAAGGATATTTGTTCTCTGTGTGTGAATACAGCTCCTGGTGTACAACCTTAAATTCATCATGTCTTTTTACCAGTGGCAAGGATATTTGTTCTCTGTGTAAATAAAGCTCCTGGTGTATAACCTTAAATTCATCATGTCTTTTTACCAGTGGCAAGGATATTTGTTCTCTTGTGTGTGAATACAGCTCCTGGTGTACAACCTTAAATTCATCATGTCTTTTTACCAGTGGCAAGGATATTTGTTCTCTGTGTAAATAAAGCTCCTGGTGTATAACCTTAAATTCATCATGTCTTTTTACCAGTGGCAAGGATATTTGTTCTCTTGTGTGTGAATACAGCTCCTGGTGTACAACCTTAAATTCATCATGTCTTTTTACCAGTGGCAAGGATATTTGTTCTCTGTGTAAATACAGCTCCTGGTGTATAACCTTAAATTCATCATGTCTTTTTACCAGTGGCAAGGATATTTGTTCTCTGTGTAAATACAGCTCCTGGTGTACAACCTTAAATTCATCATGTCTTTTTACCAGTGGCAAGGATATTTGTTCTCTGTGTAAATACAGCTCCTGGTGTATAACCTTAAATTCATCATGTCTTTTTACCAGTGGCAAGGATATTTGTTCTCTGTGTGTGAATACAGCTCCTGGTGTACAACCTTAAATTCATCATGTCTTTTTACCAGTGGCAAGGATATTTGTTCTCTGTGTAAATACAGCTCCTGGTGTATAACCTTAAATTCATCATGTCTTTTTACCAGTGGCAAGGATATTTGTTCTCTGTGTTAATACAGCTCCTGGTGTACAACCTTAAATTCATCATGTCTTTTTACCAGTGGCAAGGATATTTGTTCTCTGTGTGTGAATACAGCTCCTGGTGTATAACCTTAAATTCATCATGTCTTTTTACCAGTGGCAAGGATATTTGTTCTCTGTGTGAATACAGCTCCTTGTGTACAACCTTAAATTCATCATGTCTTTTTACCAGTGGCAAGGATATTTGTTCTCTGTGTGAATACAGCTCCTGGTGTACAACCTTAAATTCATCATGTCTTTTTACCAGTGGCAAGGATATTTGTTCTCTGTGTGAATACAGCTCCTGGTGTACAACCTTAAATAAATCAAGTCTTTCCACACGTGGCAATCAGTAATCAGTCATCAAACAGCAGTCGTTATGAAAGGTTGCAGAGATAACAATCATGGAAGTTGGATGTACATCATTACAAATGGAAATTTTTTGTCATATTTACTTAAAGACGGGAGACAATATCATGTGGAAGATGACATCCCAGGATTGAGACTTATTCGGACATTCTGACATAATTGACAAGGTATTTGTAATTCATGCGTATAGGTGTTAGTCAGGAATTAAATTATCACAATTGTTAAATAGAAAGTCTGTTATGCCAGTAACCATTGAGCAGGTCTAATGACACAAGTAACTGTATGGTTATGTGTAATTTCACAACTGTCTAAGCTGACAGTATCAATATTTTACAGACTGAATTTCTGAACAAAAACCTTTGCTTTTCTGTGTTTTAACTATAAAATTTTTTTACATATGTTAATCCTTAACAAAATCATTACCACAAAAAAATAAACATCACGTAAAACACATTTGCATGACATTCCAGTACAATTATATAAATGTGTTTACCTGATGTATTGGAAATACAAAACAGTAAGACAGTCTGAATGTATGTAAAATACATCACAATGATTGTTCAATTGATAAAATCATATCTGTACAATGCACCCTTGTAAAATTCTATTAATAAACTTCAAACACTTTAATGTAAACTACATCAAGACCTTGACAAAGATTCACAACTACAAACTAAAGGAGTAAATGTGTTACCATTGGTTGTGATTACTGGTAACCTATATAATGATAACTGACTACAGGGGACCTTACAAATAATACATGTATGTTGTGTACAACAAATGGGTTTAAAAACCATTTAAGTACAGAAAAATTACCATAACAATTCAGCTGTATCTATATATTTCTCAGGCTCAGTTTTATTTCAAGAAGTAAAAATCTTTTGCTTGGTATAGGTTACCCCAACAAGAAAAAGCGACAAACTAAGCTTTACTTCCATAATTATCTGAATGTTCTCAATAATCAGACTTGGCTTTAACACAGCAGGCTGAGCAGAACTTTGCTCCCATAATCAGACTTGTCTTCAACACAGCAAGCTGAGCTGAACTTTGCTGGAAGCCTATCAGCAGGTGATACTATAATCATAACACAATTCTCTATGTAACTGTCTATAATTAATATATAACAACATACTTTATGTAGCCATATCATAACATGATGCTATGAAATTTCATAGGATATTTCACTTAGGCAACAAGCCTCAAGCAACACAAAATGAAAAATTTTGCTACAGGTTTTCTTCAAATCAGAAATAATAAGGAAACACATTTAATACAAGTAATTGATGCCGGACTTGAAGTCATCTTTGTTCTGTCTTTCCAACAATGGTATTAAATAATTTATGAATGGATAATTATGGGAAGCCAGTACACTATCTGAAATGCTGTACCTTTGATCCTGAGTTGTTCAAGTTTGTCTAAAATAATTAGAAAATATCCCTCAATGTCATCCCTGGTTAATACATAATATCCCTAGCTGGACGGTCGTTTAGATGTTCATGACAAGACATTCCCAGCTCTGGTTAATACATAATATTCCTAGCTGAACAGTGGTTTACATGTTCAGAACAAGACATTCCCATCTCTGGTTAATACATAATATTCCTAGCTGGACAGTGGTTTAGATGTTCAGGACAAGACATTCCCAGCTCTGGTTAATACATAATATCCCTAGCTGGACGGTCGTTTAGATGTTCATGACAAGACATTCCCAGCTCTGGTTAATACATAATATTCCTAGCTGAACAGTGGTTTAGATGTTCAGGACAAGACATTCCCAGCTCTGGTAAATACATAATATTCCTAGCTGAACAGTGGTTTAGATGTTCATGACAAGACATTCCCAGCTCTGGTTAATACATAATATTCCTAGCTGAACAGTGGTTTAGATGTTCAGGACAAGACATTCCCAGCTCTGGTTAATACATAATATTCCTAGCTGAACAGTGGTTTAGATGTTCATGACAAGACATTCCCAGCTCTGGTTAATACATAATATTCCTAGCTGAACAGTGGTTTAGATGTTCAGGAAAAGACATTCCCAGCTCTGGTTAATACATAATATTCCTAGCTGGACAGTGGTTAAGATGTTCAGGACCACAAGACATTCCCAGCTCTGGTTAATACATAATATTCCTAGCTGGACAATGGTTTAGATGTTCAGGACAAGACATTCCCAGCTCTGGTTAATACATAATATTCCTAGCTGGACAGTGGTTTAGATGTTCATGACCACAAGACCAACTGTGGACGACAGTTCTTGCGCATTATACAACGACCGAACAATGGTAAAGATGTGTTGGACTATAAAATCAGTTCTGGACACTGGTCAGAATGTTTCAGAAGATTGTAGACAGAGATCAATACTACTGAGAGACCAAATCTATATAAAATCCACCTTACAGTGGTCAAGAGGTCTTTGATCACTGGTATTTTATAACATAACTACCTTTAACCAATTATAAGACAGCTTCTACTGTAAGACAACATCACATGACAAACTCAATCACCTCTGGAAAGTGGTCAAGAAGTCTTGATAGCAAGACCATTTGCCAACAAATCTGAACATGACAGGGACTGAACAAGCCAATTGAAGACATAGGTCAAGATGTCTTGGACTGAAAAACTAGATCTGGAATGTTTATATCTCTGACAGTTGTCAGTACATAATCCATCAGTGGCTGAACAGTGTAGACAGTCAAAGTATCCAGTATCCACTCTCTGGACACAGTCAAGAGACCAAATTTCTTGTATAACTCTGGAAAATGAAAAACAAAATGAAATACAAAATGAATATACCTTATGAATTATTATTGCTTGATATGTCTTTACAGCAAATGGAATCACACCAGTAAATTCTGGGAAATACATTTCAACACAATGTGAACGATTTGGTACTAACCAGATAATTGTTTGCTAATTCATTAAAATTCCAGTTCCTGCAACCTACACTACTTGAATGAACTTACTTATCAAATCAGAAAATGTCTGGATAAAGTTTCAGATTGCAAAGGAACTTACTATTGAAAGATCTCATATCTTCTTTTGATGGCAGATCATCTTCATCTTCAAGGTCAACACATGTGACAGCTAAGTTAAGTTTGGAATCAGGAGGAAAGGCTGAAGGGTGATCTACCACTGCACCACCACACCTTTCAATCAGATCCTGCAAATTCTCTGTAACATTTGGCAAAAACGTTTTAAAATAACAACTGTCAACATTAATTTTGATAGCTCCAATTTTTGCAGGTGAACCAAAAGTTTGAAACAAAAAGTGCATATTTCAGAATGATATGGAATGGCCCACACTTTTCTTTAATCTTTCAAATTTTTGTTATTTTTTCCTCGAAAATAGCATAAAATAGAAGCCTTTGATGATGACAATGTTTACTGGGGTTCTATATAACATGGCGAACTTTCAGAGAATTGAAAGTATTTTTGATATTTAGTTTCCAAGATCTCAAGACTCGAGTATTGGCTTTCCAAAGTATGCTCAATATTTGACAAATGCTGTAATTCATTTCAAACTTACCAGTCGTCAAGCTGTCACTTGTACCGAGACAGAAAAAGTGAAACCCGTTCAAGAGTGGATGAGTGCTAAGGCGTGACTGTCGTGGACCATAGTGACAATTTCCCGTAATGGTGTCGCCAACAATCTCATACTTGTCCTTAAAAAGGAAACACAAGAGATGAAATACACTGGATACAAAACACGAAACATTAGTCTTCATGGTCACCTGATAAGATTAATGATTGACATTATAGAGAATGCCTAACTTCACATGTCTATATCTGACAATGATCCCACCAAAACACATTATACAGTAGAGTTACCAGCTATTTCATTGTCCAACAGTATCTTCATTTACAGAATGAAAGAGATAATATCCTGTTTGTATTCCATACAGGGTGTGAATCCTGTCTTGCAGAAATTATGTATTAAGACATTCATGTCCTTGCACCTATTCAAACCAAAAAGTGATCGATGTAGAACTTGATGCTGTGATACTGTGTTGTGGATATGTAAAGTAGATCTGTTGTGGAAGTGATTAGATATCACACACACAGTGAACACTATAATTCATACACCTTTTGACTCACCACTGGTAAGTAGGGGTTACACCGGTATTCAAATATCTTGAGATTTTGTGTCAGCCTGCTGGGTCTGTATTAGGTTAGGAGAAGCTTGCATAGGTGAAACAAGTGTTTGTTGATTTCAAGGAATTTGTATTTAAATCTACCACAAGACATCTCTTTTAAATGTTTTACATGAAGTGACCTTGAAGAGCACCCCTCTCCCCCTTCCTTTCACACTATAAAGCTTTTAACTAGAGGAAGAAAGCTTCTAACTATAGGAAGAAAAAAACATCATGAACTTGTAAAGCCAGCGCTATCTCTTTAGTGATATGAAGTTAACCCACCGCTGTATAGCTTATCATTCATAACAGAACAGTATTTCAACAGATCATTGAGACAAGATCAATCAGGGGATTATTTTTCTGTAAATTTCACCTCTGGCAGAAGTTGTCCAGCAGCCTTGCTGTCAGCAACCCACTGATAATCTAACACCCAACACTGATGAGCCACACCCTGAAAGAATTTCAACGTCCTTTCACAGACTCTCTGACCAGGACGCACTGCAACACAAATAACATCATACAAACATCAATATTGACTTGTAATAAAACTAATGTTAACCCCAAATCAGATAAATCAGGGAAAACATGATTAAAAGATAATTCAGTTCTTTAAAAAGAGTACCAGTGACCTTGCCCTTTGAACTCCATAATCATTGTTCAAAGTTGTGATCCTTACATTAATAACATATTTTGAGTCTGATCTTTGACCAATAATGGAAGTCTTGACCAATAAAGTCTTAGTTCCTATGGTATAAATGTGGTCTGTTGAAAGCCATAGTTTGCATCTACTGTAGGAAATGTTCAACACAAATAACAAATTATGTATTGCTTAATAACAATAAACAGATTCATCCAATCACTTAAATACATATGCCACATCTTTTTACGAATGTGAATTTCTTTAATCAAATGTAAAAAATTATAACATTGAAATAAACATGTATACCAGAAGATGATAATCATTTGCATTTCAAACAAGTTTTTTTCTCTTGTTTTTAAAATCTTGAACTCACAATGTCATTTGCTTTTCAAACAAGTTTTTTTCTCTTGTTTTTAAAATCTTGAACTCACAATGTCATTTGCTTTTCAAGCAAGTTTTTTTCTCTTGTTTTTAGAATCTTGAACTCACAATGTCATTTGCATTTCAAACAAGTTTTTTTCTCGTTTTTAAAATCTTGAACTCACAATGTTATTTGCTTTTCAAGCAAGTTTTTTTCTCTTGTTTTTAAAATCTTGAACTCACAATGTCATTTGCATTTCAAACAAGTTTTTTTCTCTTGTTTTTAAAATCTTGAACTTACAATGTCATTTGCATTTCAAACAAGTTTTTTTCTCTGGTTTTTAAAATCTTGAACTCACAATGTCATTTGCTTTTCAAACAAGTTTTTTTCTCTTGTTTTTAAAATCTTGAACTCACAATGTTGCTCAACCATGATCCAGATAGAAAGTCAAAGAAACTGACCTGTTTTAACGATAACATGTGTGACAGCAGAGTTGAATTTCACAAAGAATCTGATCTTATTCTGCTGAGCCAACTTCTGGATCTCTCTCTATGAAAAACAAGACAGAATTCAATTAGAATATTAAATAATATTTACAGTACAGAAAGCATGACTTTTATGATACCTTGCTACAGCTGATGGAGCCTTAAAGGAGCAGGCTTTCATGTTTGACTTCACAATTACATTCCGGAGTGTAACAAATCTAGATGTTCGTAGAGACAACTACAGTCAAACTCTAGGTTTACAAACTCACTGTCCTACAGTACCCTACAATTCTATATGTCAGTAAAAACAGGTGCCTATGGAATGGTCTTGTCTTGCTGTTCTAGGTTTTGATAAAGCCTAATTTTGAAAGTATACCTGACGATTGACTCCTCAAATCCGTAATAAAAATGTATTTCTATATCAATTTATGTGTGACGTTTCGATGACTATATATATATACCATCCTGCAGAAAATGATTCGATATCAATATCATAATTGACAGTAAATGTACAGAGTGCACTTGATTGGAAAAAAAGTGATGATTACCATCTGTAGGAAAGTCAGGCCTGTGGTAACAAATGCTCTGTGTTGACCCTGTTGGCTGATATTCTCCTCCAAAGCAGAGACTGTGTAAGTACCACCTGCTAACTCTGATGACTCAAACTTTGGTGAAGTCACCTCCTTCTTCAGCTGATCAGTATCACCACCTTGACTTGACAATCTGGTGAAATGCTCCATCTCTTTCTGTGTTTGTGATGTCTCAGCGGTTTCTTTTGAGAAAATTGTTTTTTTCTTTGTACCACGATCAGATCTAACACTTCCCTGACTATTTGGCAAAATGTCGGACGCTGTCTTGCGAAAATGACTCAAAAATTCTGTAGTTTGTATTATGTGATCTGGAAGCTGAACAGATGACCTTTTTGCAGGTTGTAAGGGCGTTGGGGGAGGTGAAGGAGGTAGAGGACTCAGAAAGAGTTCATCACTCTCATCTGAGTCAACAGTTCGGTTTTCTTTTGATCTGCTCCCCTGGGATAGTTTGAAGCCAGACGAACTTGTTGCCAAGTCAATCACATCTGTAAGGAAGGAAACCATGTCAGTGTTTTAAAAAAGCACAAGACAACTATTTAAATAAATGACCCATATTGATGCCTTAACAAATTAACATTAATCAAAACACAAATTCCACTTCAAACAAATTATAAAACAAAATCTCAGACAAATTACAGAAATCAAGAATAAAATGGAAGCAACATAGCAATAACACTGAGTTTAAAATGGCCAAACAAGAAGCTCATAGGGCCTGCATTGCTCACCTGGTTTAGTTTGCTGACACTTATTAATTCAAACTTAAGAAGTATTTGAAACACTTGTATCTATTTATTTATTTGGCCCTGTTTGTACAAAATTAAGTTTTCCTCACCAAGAATGCTTCAGATTAAACCTGGACTAAATTTAACCATTCCAAAAGGAGAAGGATTTTAAAAAATTTGCTTATTAAGGATTTTCAAAAATTTATTAATTTCCCATATTGGACCCCATTCCTTCTGCTTCAGAGAGCCCCTTTTCTTCCCTAAGGATGCTTAAGACCAAATTTAGTTAAATTCACTGTGGCTGATGCCTTGGACGGACGGCTTGACGGACGGACGGACGGCGGGACGCCTAGACGGACGGACGGACGCCTAGACAGACAACGCATGACAGGTGACAAATGCTACATTATCCCTATAGCTAAGAATAAGAGAATGGTGAGCAATATTTAACAAATATCTATAGGTACCATTGTGTTGGTCAGCTTCAGATTGGTCATGCTCGTCATCTCTGTTGACTTCCAAAACAAGATCACTGTCAGAATCCTCAGATACTTCCCCTTTCTTGGACGTCTTCCTGCTGTTAGAACTAGAACACATCAAGCTGGAACTGTACTGGAATATGAATAGCTAAACCCAGGTAAAATCTTCGAGGGAAATACAAGGAATGCGTAACAGATCTCATGGTATTGCCCTATACATAATGTGGTCAGAGTAATAAGTAGAATAAAAAGGTGACATTACACTAAAAAAAACAGTGATAATAATTTTTTAACAAATCTCAATGGAGAGATGCCTTTCCTAAGAATATCCATCGCTTGTTAAATAGTTTGTCCTAACCTTATTTTCATCTTACTTATAACCTTGATCTGGTTGAACCAATACTACACCTAACATTCCTTACACTGCAGTATCATCCCTATTATGCAAATTTATTTTAATACCCTCTAGGTATTGTTTTAACTTGAGCCACAAGTGACCTCTCACCTGTGTTTTACATCTACTGGTGATATGTATGTCACTCGACTCAAACAACAGTATAAATTTTCATTATGCCTTTTCTGGTTCATTATCAAATCAGGTTTTTACATTTGCTACAAGATCTACTGCATAAAACTCTGAAACAACTTTTAAATGTTAAATAATTTATTAAATTTTTATTGTGCTGATTACAGTTTTTATAATTTTTTCTTCGATAAGGAGCCCTAAATTTCTCAATGTAACCATATATTCTTACTTTTGCATGTCAACTGAGAGGATTTCTGGTAAACGATAAGTGAAAATGAAAAAAAAAAAAACAATTGTAGGTTCTTTTATATTACACTTACAGGGACTGGTTTCCAGGAGTGTTGGCAAGCTGTTTTTCCAGTTCAGCGATTTCCCTTTTCATCCTCTCCAAGTCCTTTTCTAAGGCTTTTCTGTTCTGTAAGAAATGGGAACACTTGAATGAAACAGTGATAAGTTTAGGGAAATCAAAATAAAGAAATTGTGTTCTAGGAATCAATTCTTAAATGGGCATAACTTCTGAATCTTTAGAAAAAATCATTGTCAAATTGCTGTGCTGAGAATGTTAACAAGGTTATACAGATTGGTCTAGAGCACATCAGGGTATATAACTTCAGGTTTTACTCTGTGCTCAGACAGTTGGCTAAGCATTATAACGAAAGTATGCCACTCTGTTTTTGATACCATCAGGTGTTGTACTCAACACTGGTTAATACCTGTGTTGTCATAGCCTCACTCTGACTGGAGAATGCTGATGATGAGGTGAGGTTGAGGCGTCGACTGGAATCACTGTCCTCAGACGAACTGTAACCTAAAACATAGATATACATGTATTGATATAACTTGGTAAAAAATGTTTCACATCCTACTAGGAGCTAGGGTCATGGTGTATGAGTGTGTTGCGTGCAAAACTTTTGGAAGGCTGCAATGTTATGTTTGTGTAAGTCTCCTTGAGATTACAGTGCTACCAACCGAGAAGTAATGCTGAAGGCCACAGCAGAACCCCCCCTCCCTTGGTCACATTACATTGACAATGGGCCAACCACTTCTTTACACCACCACAATGCTTAAGTTTAAGCTATAAGCAGTGAATGACATCCTTAATGATACTGGCTAAACCAAACGCTAAAAGTGAGCAGTGTCAAGGGAGACAATAGGAAGATTGTGTTGATTTAATGACTCTGTCCAAGTTAAACACAGGAAATTGATAGGTTTTCTGTCACAAATCGACTATTCTAATCAATCTGCATCCCCTTCATGGATCCTACTCCTGCTACACTTGTCTACTCCTTCCTTGATCTAGTTTTTAATCACTGACTTTGATCTGCAGATTAACACCACTCCCTTTGATTTACAGTTGTCTACCTCTGACTATGACCTACATCTGTCTCCTTTAACCTTGATCTAGTTTTTAATCACTGACTTTGATCTGCAGATTAACACCACTCCCTTTGATTTACAGTTGTCTACCCCTGACTATGACCTTCATCTGTCTCCTTTAACCTTGATCTAGTTTTTAATCACTGACTTTGATCTGCAGATTAACACCACTCCCTTTGATTTACAGTTGTCTACCTCTGATTATGACCTACATCTGTCTCCTTTAACCTTGACATATTGGAATCTTCCTTTTTTTTTTTTAAGATCTAGCTGTCTTTTCTGACCTTGATAAAGTATTCATCTGACCATGATCGACAGTTGTCCCCATAACTTCATCTACAGGTGTCTCCCCCTTTCTTCATCTAATGTTTACTGTGACCTTGATAAAATGTTCCCTAGTTTTCAGTTGTCTCCCCTTAAAGCAGACTAACAGTTATGTCCTTTACCGTTATTTCCATCTTCATCACTATCAGCGATGACAGTAGTTTCCTTGTTATCATTGCACATCTTCTTATTGCTCTCCTCATCAATTTCGTCCATTCTGTTCTTTATCTCATTATCCAGGACAACTTGACGGACTGAATTCTTGTCCTTACTTGTCTTTAATTAAATGATAATAAACAAAATCATTCAATTCTTTATCAACAAATTATTCAAAGTGTGTTTCTTCAAAATATTTTGACAAATTTAAAAAAAAAAAAAAAAAAAAATCGTAATGCATACCCTGACATAAAGCCAAAAACTTTCATTCTTATCTAATCATAGAGAAAAGGCAAATGTTTTTGAAGAGATAGAAGTCATTTGTCTCATATTTTCAAACAAATATCGAATATGACTTTCACATTTAGGTAAATGCTCAGTTTATATATAAAGAGTCCTTGCTTTGATTTTTCAATCAATTTTCAAAAGATTTTAATTTTATTTTGAAAAATAGTTTGCTTATAACCTTTGATCACTTTCATATTTGAACCTGTATAAGATGCCTTATGTGACATGATGTAGCAAGAGGGTAAATTTCTATTATTCAAAAGTGATCTTGAGTTCTGGCTATTTAGACTCATTCAGAGATCATATAGAAAATGACTTACACATAACTTCTGAAATTCAATCATGAAGAAAATTACATACTTTGGAAATTCAAGCAAAATCTTAATTAGGAGCACCAGATTGACAACCTCCAATTATGCAGCCATGATTTTACTTACCTGTTGACCTTTACATATGACAACATCTGGTAGTGGCGAACTGGCATCACACATATCATCGCTGCTCTCCTCAATCACTGGTCGTCTCCTTCTATAGCCTACAACACGTCGACGTCGCATATCACTGCTGGGAGACTCATCTGTCACAAACTCAGTCTTACCTTCTGGACTTCTTTTAGATATTGACATTTCTACTGGATCTCCAATTTCTATACTGTTGGTATTTCTCTGCAGCACACTGGGTTGGACTATGGTAGGACTTCTGCAACTCTGCCCAGATGAACTGAGATCTTTTAATGTTTTTCCACTACATGGAAATGAATCAGGTACAACATTGTCCGACTCAGATCTTTGTTCTGTACGCAATTCAGATCTTTGTTCTGCAGTTCCAACGAATTTATCTCCCTTTAAATCATTTTCCTCTTTTACACTTCCCTCTGTTTCACTTCCCTCTGAGATATGTGAAGCCGTTTCTCCCTGTAGATCAATTTCGTTATCACTAGGCCTAGTAAAACCAATCTTTTTATTCACAGATTGATTTCTACTTGAACGTTTTTTGAACGTCTTCTTAAATTTTTCTTTTAATCTGATAGTGTTCATATTTTCTGATATACTTTCACCAACACTCAGTAGTTTAGAAGAGTTCTCTTCATTTTCTAAATCAACATTTTCAGATAATTCTTTAACATTCTTTTCACTATTTTGTTGGTGAGTAGAAGAATGTCCTTCCGATTTCAGAGAAATTCTTTCTGCAGAAACTATAGAACTTGAGTGACAAGATCCAGCCTGACATTCCAACTGTCGTTTTCTGGTAGCCAATCCTCGCACACACCGCACCCCAGTTCGCCTGGTCTGTCGACTCTGACTCAGATCGGAGTCAGGATCACTATCATTGTTGCACATCCCGTTTTCACCATTTCTTTTCTGATTTCCGTTGGTTTCAACATCATTAGTCAACTCACTTTTCATCTTTTCTTCAGTGCTTTCTGATTTGCTTTCTTTCATCCCACATATTTCTGTCACCCTCACTTCATTGTCGTTTTCAGCACATTCTTCTAAATCTTCTATGGACTTTGACAGACTTGTTTCCATATCACTGTGAGCACTATCGTCCTGATCACTGAAATCCTTTTTCTCTGTATTTTGAGACTGTGAGCTGTCCAGTGACTGAAAATCTTCCATATCCATTAATCCTTCCTGATTCTGTACGACACTGGAATCATGGATACCTACAATTGCTTCCGAGTCCATCATAAATATGTCCTCTGGCGAACAAGTCTGTCTAGAGATACATTTACGATTGTGACTTTTTTCAATGGGCTTCAAGGTTGGAGTAAGTTCGTCCTGATCCTCATCAGCTTCTTGAATAACTTTACATTCAGTGTCACTTTCTGATGGTTTCTCTTTTTCCTTTGCCATTTTCTCTTGATTATCTTCCCGACTTTGATCCATTCCCTGCCCAATACTTTTCCTATCACCTTTAGTTCCCTGATGATCCTGACATAACACAGTTTGTAGTTCCTGTGATGGTGTTCCTTTGTGCCAGTCCACTTTGAATTCATCCTTATTGCCACCCCTCTGTAAAGACTTTGAAAGTGACTTTGAATTCATTTGAAATTTTCTTGACTTTAAACCTCCTTTTTCACTGATCACATCTGACAGGTTACTGTTTCCTGAAGAAATATCTATCGATATGTTTTTCAAATCATTTTTCTCTTCTGTATTTGGTACTTCATTCTCCACTTCACTTATATGAATTACCTGTGTTATATCTCTAGAAGCTCCATCTGTTGCAGGAATAACTATTGATTCTGAACTTGTGACGCTATCTTGTCCACAAGTGACCTTTGACCCCGCAGCAGTGACCCCTGATCTTGGTTTTTTGTCTGGATGACTAAGCCTCTTTTTCAAACCACTGTCTACTGCTATGGATGGAGGAGTTAAGGATATTGACGAGACATATTGAGATGTCATTCTCGGACTTAATCGTTTTGGTTTATTTCTTTTTGGCATGATCTGAACATCCTCAATCCTTTCGTTTTCTGTTGGGCTTGATGGCTTGTCTGCTAAGTCACGTTTAACGTTGTCTAGTAGTAAATTATCGGGTTCCTCTGTTCTTTTCCTATCATTGGCAATAAGAAGTGAAACACTTTCCTGTGTCTCCAGTGTAACACTATCACTGGACATATTTCCACTTGTCTGAGTTTCCATGACAACTACTGATGGTTTCTTTTGGAGAGTCTTACAAGAGTTACGTGTTTTTCTGGTCCTTTTTCCTCTTCTATCTTTGCCAGTAGCTGAGCATGTTGTCATATTGACATTTAAGTCATTCCCTATCTGAAGGTCACCAGAAGGAGGCTGGGTACAAGCTGAATCATCTACAATTTCATCACATGGATAAATAGCATCAACATCTGTTTCTATTTTGTCTTCCAACGTTTCTGTGCACATTTCCTGTTCTGGGTCAAATGTCCGTACAACCTGTTTTTTCACCTCCACATTTTTCTGGAATGAGGTAGAATGTAGCTGGGCCTGTACTACCCTAAGAGATTTCTGTCTGTCGTTAAATGAACTATCATCTACTGTTTCAGGTATAACATCAGCCATACAGGAGTCAGTTACATCTTCCTCCATGCTTTCTGGTAATTGTTCTCTGTTGGACTCATGGACGAGATTTTCTCCCTGATCGTCTGTACAGAGGTCAATGGTCTGATTTGTAGTGGCGGCCTTTTGACTTCCATCACCACGTAAGAGTAATCTCATTTGTGGGAAAGCTAAATCATCAAAGAAAGAATCAGATAAACACAACTTGCACCAAACTGAAATTATATCTTCTTGATTTTTAGTGAAAAATACTTATACATGTACAAACTTTTTGGAATTTCATGTATTTAATCATAAAAACTATAATTCAAGGGTTATATCATAATCTGGAAGAAAAAATCACACTTGTAAAGTAACTTCACTTAAACTGATTTATAGGTAATGTGTTAAAAGAACCAGTTTTACAATAGAGAACATATTTCAGACAAAGCAAGGATGATTAGGTATGATTTCTCAAATTATGATACAGAACTGATACAAAAAACATATCAATATTTCCCAATATCAATATCTTCATTTTAAATAACACTTAGAGCACTCTACAATTAGAAGATCACCAACATACCTTCCTCTCTTTTATCATTCTGTGATGACCTTTCCCCTCTGGTTACTCCCTCTAACTGGCCCTGGGATTCTTTTCCTGGTGACCTTTGCCCTCTAGTGACTCTCTTCAAAAGGCCAGGAGGATGACCTATGGTTTCTTTTCCTGGTGACCTTCGCCCTCTTGTGACTCTCTCCAAATGATCATGAGAGTTGTCTTTGGTTTCAATTCCTGATGACATCTGTCTTCTAGTGTCTGTCCCCATCTGCTCCAGTGTATTAGGATGCACCTGAACAGGAATGTTCTGAACTTTGTCGATAAATGATACAGACTTCCTATTCCTCAGATTGCTCCGGAATTTCCTTGTACGTCTGGACATGATACTATCTTCAGTATTGGGAATACAGGATGCATCACTTACAAAACTCGCACATTCTGTGTCATCTGTATTCACATCTGCTCTGTCCTCAACCTGGCTTTGTAAACAAGATATTTTATTATTGTCACTTTTGTCCTGACATAACTTCCTAGATTTTCTATCTAGATTTTTGTTTATTTTCTTTTCAACAACATAATCACATAAACTCTGCACTTCTTCAGTCATTACAGCCTGGCATGACAACACTAGTGGAATTGAACCTCGACTGCCAGAAAAATCCTCCAACTGTGTATTCAGTACAGGTTCATCGGCTTCAGAGTGTTTCATAGTCAGTGTTTCTGTATCTGGGATTATTTCAATGCTGTCCGCTGCAGATTTTGTAGACAGAACTTCTTGATTTTCCACATCAGGATCTTTCCTTTCCCATGTATCTGCTATTATGCCAACATTACTTGAAGCAGCTTCTGAACCATCACAACTTCTTCTTTCAATTTCCAGATCTTTCTGCATGGTTGCAATAGTTTTCTCCTTCTTCATGGTACGTTTGGGATTATCAATCGTTCCCATTTTGATATCTATCTCCTCCTGTGCTGCTTCCATTCCAACCCATGTTTTCGTGACTGACTTATCACATTTTTTCCTTACCTCATCTAAATTACTTGTGTCCATATCACAAGGTTTTTCCTCTCCAATGCGTGGAATTTTGTCTTCAAATTCTGTAATCTGATCTTTAGCCTCCTGTGTACAAGTGATGAAATCATATTCCTCTGCCTGAGTCAAATCGGCGATAATTTTCTCAACGTCTTCTGTTCTTTGCTGTAGCATGTCCACTGATTTTGTACTGCTGGTCTTTCCTCTTCGCCTACACAGATTACTGCCTTCAATTTCATCCTCTGTCCTTGACCTTGACTCCTGTTTCTCTTCCTTTCTATGAGCTTTTGTCCCATCTTCTTCCTTTTTATTGTCTACTGTACTGTCTCCTATTTTGATATCAATTGCATTTTTGTGACATTTCTTTTCATTCTTTTTTCTCACAACCTTTTTCTTCCCTTTATTTGTCTTCGGAGTCCTCTGACTTGGTTTAAACTCATAAGGATCACTACCTTGGGAGTCCCCAATCTTATCTCCAGATTTAATGTCCGAGGGGATTTTCTTCTCCAAATCTGGTTCTATTCGAACTGGCGACACCTTACGTACAACAAATTTTCCGTTCCCCTTTACTTGTTGAACTGTCATAGCCGTGTTTGACTGTTGATCTAGTTTTGTTTTGAATATCTTTCTCCTGGTGTTAACTACAGGTTTTAATTCCTCCTGAATGACAAGATCTTGAGTGGATTGATCTACAGCTTTAATTATGGAATCACCCTCGACTCTCTGGTTTTCCTTATTTATATTAGTTACCTGCATCATCCTTTCACTTTCAGCCTCCAGCATACTGTGATCATCTGAAACTTTCCCTGCTTTGTAAGATGAGGATTTTAGCCATTTTTTAACCATTCTATCTTTATCCAGTTTAGAATTTTGCTTGCTGCTATAAGTGTGTTTTATATCAGGAACATGGCTGTTGAAGATACCATTCGGACTGTGCTCAAGGCTAGTACCAGACAACTGTGTAACTTCGTCTATTTCATCTTCTGTTTTCTGTTTTCTTTTGAACAAAGGATTTTTCTTTGGTCTAAATTCTGATCTTTCCTTTTCCCCAGTAACTGTAGATGTGGCTGTGTCCATATCAGAATTAACTGTCAATAGATCATCCTGAATTCCTAGAGTATTATCCCCATTGTTTAGTTTAACATCAGAACTGGTTTTGCCATTATCGCCTTCCTCTGGTTTACAAATACCATCTTTGATGAGACTACCACATGTCACTGTGTCTCCCTGAAGTAATTTATCTTTCAATAGCTTTGCTTCTTTTCCTAATGAAATCAAATCTTTACCAACTGCAACTGGTCCCCACTCAACAACATTTTCCTCTTCACACTCGTCTTCTAAACAAACATTTCTATATGTCATTTCCACGTCATTTTCATCATCAGAACTTTCATTATTATAAACCATGTTATGAATATTTGTATCATGTGACTTTTCATAGCTTGATGATTGGTCAAGAAGTTCTGTTTCCATAGCACCACATGATTCATTAGCAAGATACTGCAGTAAGTTGTGGTTATCAGCTTCACCGTGTTTTGACCCTTCAGAGTTACATTCTTTATCAATTCTTGACATATTCTGCTGGGACCTGGTGATCCTACTCTGACACTGGTGTGACTGCTCCTTACATTTTTCTCTATCCACTGTTCTGACATCATCTGTAATTAAGAATCACAAGTGTTATATATTGTATTATATGTTTTGGGAATAACATGATACACAGACATTTCATACCTTTTCATACTATACTTGAAATATTTGACCCGAGATTCTGGTAGTTGACAGAGTTATTTTGCACATGTTCAACTGCAAGCACTGATAAGCAAATATTTTTACTATACAACGCAAACATGTAAAATATCTACGTTATGATATGATGTTAATCATGAAAAAAATTACTCAGACCTGCCTCAAAAAGTGTATTCCTACTTCAAGAAAAGTCCTGTCTACAAATGATTAAAATTCTCATTGAACTGCTTGATTTATATCAGGTGTAGAACTTTCCACAAGTAATTCAAAAGCTTCCCCTGTCAACCTCATAGTCAGTCAAAGGATGAGAAATGATATCGTCTTTAACAGCTGACCACTTGAAATAAATGTCTTTTAGGGATATTTAAGTGACGTCTTTAATGATATCACTATCATTGACAGTATAAAGCAAAAGCTGTGTGTATTGATTAAAACAATAGATATTAAGTCATATTTTATTGTTTTATATCTGGATATTGTTAAATTCAGGTGTGAAATATAATCAGGTTTCATTCAATTAGAAGACAGTAGCAATGTAAGATATTACTTCAATAAAAACTGACAATTTTATTTATTTACTTATTTATATACTTAATTGCCCATCAGCACATAAAAGGTCAACTGATGAAAAACGAACAAAAGATGATTTAGTTTCATGATGAATGAGTTTACCTATATTACAGTTGATATTATAAAAGATTTTACGCGAGTTTCTGTTTGATATAGGATTTATAAAATCAGTAAGGCAGGTTTTCCTTTTTCTTCATAATTGCAAGTTCTATTTCATTTTATCTTGTCATATGTACACATCTTAACAGTCACCTTATTATCAAGCCAACATCTTGAGGTAAATATGATAGCATTAATTGCAGTTTATTCTTGCTGTGCATACAGTAATTTTTATGGATGTACAAGGTTATAATTGAGTTAATTGCCACAGAGTAATAATACACTAAAATTTGAATGTGAAATATTAAGTATATTTAAAGTACTTGTTTACTCACTGGTGCTTGGCACTTCAGAATAATATCTTAACTAAAAGAAACATAGTTAGTATTCATTATTAATTAAGGGACTTCATCAAACTCCTGAGAAGATAACAAACCTTTAGATTTGCTGGATATTTCTGAGGTTGATGATTTCATTTCAGCTGTCTCAATCTCCTCCAGAAGACGCTGGCAACCCTTCAACCTTTTGTCATTAACATGTTGTTTAGGGTCACAATTCCTAGTATTCAGAACTGCATCAGCGCTATCTGACCTCTGCTGACCTTGACTCTGTTTAGTTATATCACCTTGACCTGTTGTGTCTGATCTTCTTCTCTTACTCCCGGCATTTTTGGATGGAGCAGGTTCAGACTGCAATACAAACAAGTTTCCGATAAAAATTTATAATGACAATGATTTGGAAAGAGAGGTGATGAGACAAATATAGGTAATACTGAGTTTGTATGCTTCATATCCCACCTTTTGAAATTCTAATTTGGTGAGTGTTACCGTGAATAAAACAATTTAATGAGCATAAAGTTTGTGATGTCCCACAGACTTTACTAATTTACTTTTAGTCAAACCAGATCCAATAGACTTTGAAAACTCTGAGCACTTTACTAACCTCTTTCTCTTTCCTCTTGCTCCCTCGAGTCTGTCTTGTGGTGAGTTCTTCAGGAGTGGAGGGCAAAAAGTTAAGCTGTGGTCCTCTCTCTGGTGAAACTGTGAGAGCAAAAATAATATGACATTATAATAACTGAATAGTACATTAAACAAATGGTTGGTTGTAAAGACTTAAAATGCTCTATATCTAGTAGTCAATATCAACGAAAGTTATATTCATCCCCATATTTTTTTCTTGTAATACTTTGTCACAGTCCCAACCATACTTTTGTATAGTTTACATTTTTGTATATATCAAACAATGTCTGAACTATTTGTACATGTATTCGATGAAAGAAATCAGGTATTATCTGGTCTAAATATTGTACTTTTATTTTCTTAATTATTTGCTGTAAATTTTATAAATGCGGATTCTCCGGATCCGAGTTCGAATATTTGAAATTAGTCTCGCCGGAAGGAAAATATACATGTAAGCGAGAACAGCGGTGTAAATTTTGGCAGTCAGTTATTGCTTATATGGGGTTAGCCAACGCAAAATACAGTTTGCGGTAAGTTTGAAATCATTTCTTGTGCCTTTATATAGCAATTATATGCCCGAAATCTGTTGTGTTTGATATTTGAGGCGAATATTTATCTATAAATGTATATGCTTATAACGCTATATGAGTACAGTTCAATATATCTCTATTATAGCTATAAGATATCAACTGTTATATGAATTTAGTTTGTATTTAATAAATATAAGCGAAACTTGTCAATATGTCAATGAATTACATGGAATTCAGGCTAGAATTAGTGAATAGATTCATATCAATTACTGTATGTAGGCAGATGAATGTATATACACAAATAATAGTTGAAATAGAAGAAATACTGTGTATAAATATTTATGAATCATTATTGACTATATAGTCAGCATAGTCAGACGTAGTTTTGTGTTATTGCAGTTCTACCCATGTTGATGGCGGGAACGAATGTGACAGTCAGAATACATACATATATAGAATACAGAGTCATATGTGGCCCAGGACAGCCGCCAGTTACAGTCCTTAGTGGACAGATGCTATGATGTCCTGTGTGGGCAGATGCTATGATGTCCTGTGTGGACAGATGCTATGATGTCCTGTGTGGACAGATGCTATGATGTCCTGTGTGAGCAGATGCTATGATGTCCTATATGGTCGTGCAGATGTTCTAATATCCTGTGTGGACAGATGCTATGATGTCCTGTGTGGACAGATGCTATGATGTCCTGTGTGAGCAGATGCTATGATGTCCTGTGTGGTCGTGCAGATGTTCTAATATCCTGTGTGGTCAGATGCTATGATGTCCTGTGTGGACAGATGTTCTGATATCCTGTGTGGGCAGGTGCTATGCTGTGTGGACAGTTGTGCTCTAATTATGAATTCCGTTGGACATTTGTCATCAGACGTTCCTATGGGCAACTGTTCGATGCTGTGAACATTGCTGGTTGTTAGTCGGTCCAGAGACGTTTCCAGACCTCTTTCCAGATTCGTTGAGGACAGACTATACTGTTTCATATGTAATTATTAAAGTGTGTGTGTTTTGAATGAGTGAGTGAGTTGTACATATTTACATTTGTGTGTACAATTTATAATGTGTATATAGTGTATTAAACTTGTATATATTGTATATTATGTGTTTGTGCCATTCTATGTGAGTCACGCTCATCCAGGTTACATACTTACAGTGACCAGTGTCCTGTTCAATTGCTGTTACCAATGACCGGACATTCTCCACTATCTTCGAAAGGTGGGGTCGTTCCACTAAACTCCTGCAAGTTCCAAGCATAATGTTTAGGACTTCACTGTATAACCATAATATGTAACATTGCATATTGTCAGATCCACACAGAATACTACATTTAACTCTTCATCAGTCTTACTTGAATAAAGAGTTTTTATTCTATATGTAACCATCAGATTTCTGCATCTCCTGTTTGTTCAACCACATATTTTGGAGAACTACTTTACTTAGCAACTTTAAAAAAAAAATTAAAAAAAAAAAACCCTGTTGTTATTCAGATGGATAACAAGTAAACAAACAAACTGACATATAATATAAACACTTTCTTCAGGGTTAATTTCCAAACACTTTAAAAAAAAGGTACTGTTGCCAGATTAGGAAACTAATTGCATATCTTTTTAGCATGGTTAGTATTAGGGATACAAAGGACCAAGATAGACTTACATACATATGAATATTTTATTTGCCATTCTATTTGCCTAAGAATTTAAATGTATATCTATGGATCAAGTGAAACACAATCATTAAATATATAGATTTGTGAAGTTTTTCTCAAGAGCTACTGTATATGGGGTAACTTTTCATCATTGTTTAACTTTCATCCGTTCGACCCACCAGCTTATCCTGACTAAATTCAACATGTACTAACCATACAATAGGCAATTCCAGCAGTCCATCATGTCTGGATTTACTAGTTACTAACCTTTTAGTGATAGCCGTCTTACAAAGTGGGCAAGGTACAGACTTCTTGGTTTTCAGGAACTCTCTCATACAAAATCTTCAAAAGATTAATTGCAACAAAGTTTTAAACATTCTAATTCAAATAAAAAGTCAGAACAAGTTCTACAGTGCCTAACCATTATTCTGGGTACAATAATATATATATATGAATTGTAGAAAGACTGGAAGATACTTTGTGTATTTGAAGGACATGATCCACTTAGATTTAATTTATAGCCATCTTCAGACAAAGAAAGTGGCTTTCGAAGACAGATAGAACTGAAGAAATTGTTATCAGAACGCTACATAATGGTTAATAACAATTCATAAACTTTTAATATTCTAGTGTATTGAAAAAAAATGTATATATTGAACATTGTTTCATTTCAACTTACCCACAAAATTGATGACCACACTTTGTGGACACTGGATTTTTCATTAAGTCCAAACTTCAAAAAATGTAAGAGTATCTATATGTATAAAATGAGTCTCTGAAGAGGCGAAAGTGTTAGTTCAAGACAGCAGTAGGTTTTGTTTTGTTTTTTTTTTTTTCTGTATGCAAATACATGTATAGCAAACATATTTGGAGATCACTAACGCATACAGAACTAAAATTGCAATAAAAGAAAAATCTAATCAATCATGAATTATTTATTGTTGGTCTTAACAGTTTCAAGGTTTTTTTCACGCGCCATGCGTCTTGATTTTATCACAAGGCGAGGTCGTAATAATATATAATGTTAGAGTATTTTTATCAGGACTCTATAACTTAAAGACTAATTGTATGTGTTTACCATATCACACATTCCAAATTCTTCACCATCAATCCAACAAACTGGTGAATTTGATGTCGCTGGTCCATCCTGATCAATTCAGCCCTTCTGGTTTGTTTACATAATTACGTCTACCTCAGTACCGTGGAATGTGCATTCTGAATTCTGAAATCAGTCATTATTCGACGGATTATCTGCGTTTTCACGCGCGACCACCTGGTGCAAATGATATACGCTTGCGATTTCGAGTTATTCTTTACAAGTTAAAAGTTTGAGATACGAAGAGAATATTGCAGTGTCAGCGACGAATTATTTACATCTTCTTTTCCCCCGCGCTCGAGGTCTTATTTTACCTTTTAAAACTGGAGAGTTCCTGAAATTATACAACCAGTTTTTGAAAACATGAAGTTCGATAGCCACCATGGATATTTATTTATTTATTTATTTATTTATTTATTTATTTATTTTATGCCATGATATATAAATGGTGAAGCATTTACAGAGTATATTTCTAATATTCCTAGGTTTATTCAGATGATGTCTCCACTGGGCATCAATCGAGCCAAAAGCACCTGAGCTCGACCTCATCATTTATGGACAAAAGTATGAAATTAAACCCGGTTAAATATAGTGAAATCAGAGACGTATCTCTGGCTTGCCATAAACGTATAGTTTTCTGGGTGGAATATATATGGTTTATTTGTTACATTCTTGAGAACTAAGCCACGGCATGTTCTTACACAACTAACAAAAAGGGGACTTTTACAGACATCACAATATATAATCCTCTCAATCCGTCTGGTTATGACGCAGAACAGATAGATTCGGAATAAACGCAGGACAGAAATAAAAACAGAAAAAGGAACAAAATAACAAAGTGAGATGAATAGAACGATATATTGTCAGCAAAATATAGTGTGCATCATCACAAGATTTACAAACGCGTTTTCTCAATCTTTAGATACATATATAATCCTTAAAAGTGGTCGACATTTTGCAGAGCGTCATATTTTGCAGGTCTCTATATTTTGACATAGATATCACTTATATTATTATTCTGAGTTAGGCAAGCAGACCTACTACCGAAACAGTTCAAGACAACAAGAGTAAAGTACCAAGAAGTGTTTTTTTTTAGTTTGTCATTGTTCATTTATGTATTTTCTTTTTGAAGACTTCGATCAAAAGTAACTCGCTGTTTGTCTTCGATTAATGTCTGTCAAGCTGATTACAGTTAACACCAGGAACGTATTGTATACATATATGTATTATACGTTTCTGTTAAAGGCTAAAGATGACGTAATTGAATTTGATATGATTGAATATGATACCCGGGCTATGAGCCTCTATATCCATATCAGTACATAAATTACACAATATAAGATACGTCCTTTGTTAAATAGACAATATCTAAACTAAAACTCATATTAAAAGTAAAGAATGTGTTTCCTACTATCAAAGTGTGAATGCCCTCTTGTTCTGCTATTAATAAAGATGTACAACAATGAGGTCATGTATAATAGATGCATTTTCCGGTCCTTGAATACACTACAGTTAGTTCCAATACTTGTTCGACTTGTCACCAATTGAATATTACTTGTAATAAAAAGTACGTTTTGTATGTTCAGCTGCAGGAATGTTTGGCCAACTTAATCTACCTTTTCATTAAATTCAATTTTTTAAACTTTTCACAAAAAAATGTAAACTGATAGATTATAAATAGATAAATTTACTGGAGATTGCCACTGTGAATAAAGCACTGTTTTCATAATAACTGAGGAGTAACATTTCATATACTCGGCAGGTTCTCGTTTTTTTGGGCAGTGCGTTATAAGCATTAACTCCCTTGAGCTATGCCTCGGAGATATGAGGCGGAAATTTTAAAACACGCCTACTCATTATGAATAGTTTTTTTTTCTCTGAAAATAAATAAATAAATAAACAAACAAACAAATGATTTGTCAGACATCAGATAGTTCTAAATACTATCATATGTGCAACTATCGTAACGTGATAAATGCTATAAGCAGATGATACATATCACTGGCGCTGCCAAATGAAGCTTAAGTGCACTTCTACAGTATCGTGTTTTATGAATCATATTGATATTTTTTTCAGAACCCACAGTATATGTGAAATCTACACATGAGTTAACAATCGGGATAGATTTTGTCAACAAACCTCATCAGTTCCCTGTATCTCCGATGAAAATGTATCCTTTATTTTCTTGTGCAGTCAGTCGGAAATAACTTTATAGATATAAACTATAAGGTAAAAATAAAGGATTTTTTCTTCACAGTACTATTACAGAGAGTGTGGCGACATGCTGTGTATTCTATTATTTTTCGCTTTTGTAACGAGTATCTCGTTTTTGATAAACATGTGTAAACTGTACCAGAATAGGCGCGTTCCGGTAAAACTGTAAATAGAAGTTATATACCAGGTGTCTCTCTTTGGTATAATAATGATAATTTTTTCGATTATTTCTAATACTCTTCATGCACTTCCACTTCACTGGTTTCAATTATCTGTTCATCGTTTGATTCAATTCTGTCAAACACACAAGCTTTTAATACACAAGTACCTTAAGCTTTCTGGTAATGTATGATGTGAGCATTCCGAATTTCTGTAACCATACTACTTGTGGAGTTTCACCTCAAGTACAAGGAGAATAAAATCGTGTTACGGAAGAGCAAGCGCCTTCTGCTTCATCTACGACACCCGCCGTATAAAATCTTGGTCAATCCAAGTAAGTAATGTCACGTTCTCAGTTGAGAACAAGGTATACAACAACGAGACCAACTTGCAAACTAACGACCATCACGTCCAGTGTCGCATAAAGAAACAGAATATTTCTCAATGAGATCACTATGACGATCGTAAAATTTCTCCATAATATTCATCAAAATGCATCATTTGAAACCCTGTGTTACGAGTTTGTTCGTCAGCTGACAATTTCTAGAACGAAAATCGTGTTAATGGGAACAGGCCCTTGAACATTGAATCAACTGCGACTTGTAAACACCATGGAATACAGAACACTGTATCTACAATTTAAAAAAAGAACGATAAAAAATCCACAAAAAAACCCTCTAAATTTCTAACAGCAAACAATTTTATCTCTCTTGATGACTAACATTTCCTGGTAATTAAACCATGCGTTAAACCAACGTCCATTGCCATATCGTCTTCCTCCATTTTGTTTATTTTACATACTAAACTTCAATTTCCAATCGTTCTCATGATTTACTGACGGATATAGATTGTGCCGTTTTTTATCATTACAATTATTTACAGCTTAACGTATGCCATAGCTAAAATTTGTTATTTCATGCATAACCACATTTTTTCGAGACAAAAATTTGGAATAATTACCGAAATACAGGCCCACAACCTATAGTCAAGAATTAGTTCAGCGTCATTTTGAGGCGGGGTCTTCTTCAGTAATTAGTGGCTACTTCACTGAATGATCATACGAAAGTCCGACGAATATGCCACCCAAAGTAATTTAGGTAAAATGTTTCGCCCAAAACAGAGACGTATAATACATATTCTTATGCGTTTTGTACGTCCCTCCTCATAAAGGAAATCTATATATATTGTTTGTATGATGCAATCCGTGCTTCGTAAAATATTTTCAAACACTGTTTACACCACTATGGTAAGTATTGCCGCAAACACAAATTTAATGTTCATCGGCTCATATTCCCATAGGTAACATATAGACAATGATCGCCCACGGTTGGTTGAGATAGATAGCGCGCGTCAAGCCTGGTAGAAAAGAAATTGTGATCAGTACACAAATAAATTTCTTTTTCCCTACTGTTCCTTTCCAGACATTCTCTCACTTCATAACAAATAATTTAACATGTTTATCGTCTCTTATCATTTTTTTCCAGCCCATTTCATATTTCCCCAAAGTTTGGAGAAAGTTAATATGTTAATATTGTGATGTTCTTCTATTAAATAAATGGTGAAATTTTGATATTGAATAAGTCCGGAACAACTTAACTGTGTTTGTTATTTTTTGTAATAAGATGCAGATAAGACATCAATAAACGGCTGTCTAATTTTTAAATGTATCCCGGTCTGAAAATGTGGTTGAAATAATCGAGAAAAGTGAAGAAAAAAAATCGTTGCGGTTTCTCACGGCGAGTTCAACCGATTGTACAGTGAAATTAATAGACTCAGAGAGGCATACAGACGGTATACAAGGGTTTCCCTGCTTTAATCTTATAATTGTTTATATCCACGATGACACGTGGTGTCAGATACTGGACAGTTGACCAGGTGTGACGTGGTCACGGTCACGCTCACAGGTGAAATAACACGTGCGCCAACTGATCATCTCTCATATCCTTGCCTTCTTAGAAACAGGTACACGAGGAGTCGCTGCAAAAATTTTCTTACCCTGCTTTCGTCTTCTCAGCCAAAATTTATAATTTTAGATGAAAAATGAAAATTGTATAAGAATCACACTTTCGAAAAATAAAATAAAAAACGAAGTTTGATCAAATTTAGCAAAGTCTTATACACAATTATGTATCAGTTAATTATTTAATAATTGTTATTATATATGTAAGTACTATGACACAAATATACCGATTCTGAATTTCTATATATCTATCCCCGACTATGAATTTACAATATATATCATACTACAATTTGTTGATATTTAGTTGTCTCTTTTTGAGAGTGTCATTAGTTACTTGAATGTCGCTATATATAGGTAAAAGTACATCATGCGAAAGTAATTTGTTTACAGCACTGTGCCGTTACCTTTAATTACAAAATCGTGTGTAAGTATTGAACCTCTTTGTATACCTGTGACTTGACCGCTTCATCATGATAGTACATTACATTTTCAACGACTCTGTGTTATCTATTGTAGTTTAAATCACATATTTAAGTTACTTTTCATTCGTATTGTCACTGTAATAGACTGACCGCTGACCTTTACAAATCGCCATAATCGTCCCTCCCCCTTCCTCATTGAAATACTTATTTTTGTTTAATTGACTTAGTGTTCCAGTAAATGCGTTGTACCCCGTCGATAATTCCAAACATTTAACTTAATTTAGAAGAGATGTAAATGTAAAGCAAAACATAACATATGAAATAATATTGTTTATTTAACCTTTAAACATAACTACAAAATCAAACGAGTTTTGAACAGCAGTTAACAAATGAAAGTATATCACAGAGATAAGAAAAAAATATGTTACCATTTGGTGGGGAGGTGAAAGGAACAGCCCATTGTGTGTGTTAAAGATTTCTCTGGTCGCTGTGCCAGAACGTGTATATGTGTAGCGAAGGAGCACAGGCATTAGTGTGTATTCACAATCATGAATTCAGTGGTGTACGGATGGAGAAATTTACCAACATGATTTTATATATTGTGGTTTTATTGACTTTCATATTTAATGGAGAAACATTGGGTTAGTATATTCGTCTGTCAGTAAGCAGCACTGTCTATGTGTACTAGTATGTATGTCAAGACACCAGTACGGCTCCGTACGTCGGCCATAGGCCGAAATTTTGTTATTGAGTTTCGAATGATTTCCATTTGGTTTCTGTACAAGTAGACTGTTAAAAAATAATGAAATATTTTGTCACATGATATTTTGATTAATGTAAGCCCTGACATGTCTTTTGTCAAGTTATTAGTCTAATATGTCGCCGGTGTATTAGGCTAGATCAAACACATGTATTGGAACACTAACGCTTTAAAAGACCGATGTCATTCCTCTCCTGTGTAGTGCCGGTTAACTCCTAACGTTTGCTGCAGATTCGTTTTGAGGTCGGTGTGGAGATTATCATGATCTGTTTCAATTAAAGTAAATGTTCTGGTACTTTTGCAGCCTCAGAATGTTGCAGTAATGCGACCGATGAAGCGTGCAGGGATGCCTGTGCTACGGTAGGTGGACATGGTTTATAATCACTTGTCTGTAAACCAGTATCAATATTTTTTTTATTAAAATATGTTATGATAAAAAAGATAAAATTTAGTAAAGTACAGGGTCACTTGAATGGAGGGATATTAAACATTAACAGTGTCTAGATAGTGAATATTAATTTGTTGATTTTAAGTCAATTAATATACCAGGTAAGACAATGTTCTGTGATACAAGGTTTATCATTCTGATTGATGGACAGGAATTTCTCCATGTATGACATGCTTTTAACACTTAATGGGAAACAATCACAAATTAGTGATTATGATTAAGCAGAGTTGATTCAGCAAATTTATACATTATACAGTATATTATGCCTGCTCCTCCACCACCCCTGTTTCCCTGTATTTCTTGGTGACTCCTGATTCTGCCCACATAGAACATCAGTAAAGCTTGCTTTTTCAATATATTTTTAATTTTGAAAATTAAAATTGAACGGATATTACTCTACCAGAAAGAACAATGACATTTAATCCTGTATAATGTTTTTGCCTGCAAACCACTGTCATTTATATTATCTATGAACGCCATATCAAGACATTTCATTGAATATTATTTACATTCAGGGATGTACACTTTTCTCTTGGTTGAAATACATAATATAAGTTTATTGTTGATGGCACAATCCTTTGGCCCCATATACCACACTTTTCTCCGTGGCTACAATTATGACATCATGATGATCACATGAGTTATAAATGTTGTTAATTAACCGACATCTTCTGTCTGACAGGTTAATGTAATGGAAATGCCATGTTAATGTCACATTGAGATATTAAGCTAGGAAGGAAAGGAATATGAAGTCACTTAAAGTAACCATTCATATACAAAGTTTACTGGTTTTTAAGAAATCCTTGATAATTATATTTTGGAATGTTTTTGATTTTGTAAACAATACTGATAATTCTCTATTAAATTCATGTCATATATGAAAAACATGTTCAATGTCATGGTTTGAAGACTGACAAATAAAAATCAGTAAGGTTTAAAATACCAATGAAACATTTTTGCCAGGTTTGTGTAGAGTGTAGAATTTTTACATGAATGCAATTCTATTTTTTTTAATATTAGGTCAAATATTTAGAGAGCAACCATGAGCATCACTATGCATATAATATACAGGTACAAGTGTAGAGAAAAAATGCTAGTTTTCCAATGAGATGGATATGGGATTGATCTCAGATAAAAACCAGATATAATAGTGTCCACCTTCTTGACATTCTCTTGCTCCTCCAGTGTTGACCTGCAGATAGTAAAATTGCCACTACCCTAGTACAGTTAGTTCTCCTGAAATCACTACAGATACAGTTCCAGGATTATTATAGATCTGCCAGATTTGGGGCCGATTCACAATGCAAAATAGTATCTTTTTTCCCCAATTTAGACCCCAAGTTTTCCCAATTCTAAGGAAAACGCCACTATTTTTCACAATTCTAAGGGTCGCGGGCCCCAGTCCCAAAATGGGGTGTGAGAGGCCCTGTAGATATTGGACTTGATATATGGTAGATTTAGTTTACACCTGCAGTTGTCACAGAATAATGACTTTCAACATCTTCATTCTTGTGGCATCTTTTCCCTGTGTGTTCTTTGTGAAAGAACCTGGTTATAAAAATGGTTCACATATAACACGTAAAAATGTCAGATTATTTAACTATACAGAATTAGTTGTTTAAAGTTTCTTCACAGACACAGATTTGAGATTAAGATAATGAAGTTTCTCTAACTTTTATTTTTGTCGGACCTGGTTGATTGGTCTGGTATATGAATTAACAGATCTGTTTTCTGACATTGCATAAACTTTATGTTTACATGGGCTTATGACCAGGCTCCAGCTACACACATGATACATTAAATCATTGCCATTGATACTGACTGAATAATACCTGTATGAATGTGTTCCCTAAAATGGACACCTTTTAACGATTATTGTGTACCTTAAACATTTCAGTCATGAACCTGCATATTTTGTGACAAGATCTCCACTTCCAAGTTTCACTAGGTTTACATGCCAAATGATTACTGACATTAGAATGCACAGAATGCTTTATTTTACCAGAAATTCTAAAGCTAGAAAGTTGGATTATTGTTAAATTTTGTTGCTTAAAAATTATGTCATGTTTTCAGCTTCATGTGTTGTATTGTATGAAGCGAATATTCCTTCTGAATCTACCTTAACATGGAAATTGGAAATGAACAGTTACTTCTATAAGGAAATGACAAATTTTTTCAAGACACTTGTTAAATCATGACTGAAGTTGAATTGTGTGGAACAAAAATATCATAGTAACAAAAGAAAAATGGAATGGCACAGGAACAATAGAAAGACAAGGAACATCACAGGGACAATAGAAGGAGGGAACATTACAGGGACAGAAGTAGGGAACATCACAGGAAAAATAAAAAGGGGGAACATTACAGGGACAATAGAAAGAAAAGGAACATGACAGGGACAATAGAAGGAGGGAACATTACAGGGACAGACAAACATCACAGGGAAAATAAAAGGAACATCACAGGGACAATAGAAAGAAAAGGAACATGACAGGGACAATAGAAGGAGGGAACATAGAAGGAGGGAACATTACAGGGACAATAGAAAGAAAAGGAACATCACAGGGACAATAGAAGGAGGGAACATTACAGGGACAATAGAAAGAAAAGGAACATCACAGGTACAATAGAAGGAGGGAACATTACAAGGACAGAACTAGGGAACATCACAGGGAAAATAAAAAGGGGGAACATTACAGGGACAATAGAAAGAAAAGGAACATGACAGGGACAATAGAAGGAGGGAACATTACAGGGACAGAAGTAGGGAACATCACAGGGAAAATAAAAAGGGGGAACATTACAGGCACAATAGAAAGAAAAGGAACATGACAGGGACAATAGATGGAGGGAACATTACAGGGACAGAAGTAGGGAACATCACAGGGAAAATAAAAAGGGGGAACATTACAGGCACAATAGAAAGAAAAGGAACATGACAGGGACAATAGATGGAGGGAACATTACAGGGACAATAGAAATGGGGAACATTACAGGGAAAATAGAAAGAGGGAACATTACAGGGACAATAGAAAGAAAAGGAACATGACAGGGACAATAGAAGGAGGGAACATTACAGGGACAATAGAAAGAAAAGGAACATCACAGGGACAATAGAAGGAGGGAACATTACAGGGACAGTAGAAAGAGGGAACATGACAGGGACAATAGAAAGAGGGAACATTACAGGGACAATAGAAAGAGGGAACATTACAGGAACAATAGCAAGAGGGAACATTACAGGGACAGTAGAAGGAGTGAACATTACAGGGACAGAAGGAGGGAACATCACAGGGACAGAAGGAACAATAGGGACAATAAAAAGGGGGAACATTACAGGGACAATAGAAAGATGGAACATTACAGGGATAGAAGGAGGGAACATCACAGGGACAGAAGGAACAATAGGGACAATAAAAAGGGGGAACATTACAGGGACAATAGAAAGATGGAACATTACAGGGACAATAGAAAGATGGAACATTACAGGAACAATAGAAAGATGGAAAATTACAGGGACAATAGAAAGATGGAACATTACAGGAACAATAGAAAGATGGAACATTACAGGGACAATAGAAGGAGGGAACATCACAGGGACAGAAGGAACAATAGGGACAATAAAAAGGGGGAACATTACAGGGACAATAGAAAGATGGAACATTACAGGGATAGAAGGAGGGAACATCACAGGGCAAATAAAGAAAAGAAATGTCGCAAGAATGAATTAAAGAAGGAACATCACATGAACAGAAGAAGGAAGGAATGTCAGAGAGACAACAGAACACTACTAAGGAACGGTGGATGAATGTCCCTTTGTATAATTAATAACAAAAACAGCTATATACTACCTTGTCACTCCTAGGAATGATTTAATTAGATATGCACATATTTTCTGAGTAGAGACTTGGTCATTAAATTCTGTTTCCTTGCTGTAAGTGTCATGACTAGATATATATATATAACTGGGATGAATTTAAGATTGAATATCATAAATCATTAATGTATGTCTTCAGTATGATTCAAGTATATATACCTGTACAGATCCCTAAACCAGGGCATAAAGTTGGCACTTAGCACTGAATTAATTTTCATTAATTTAATAAGTTGTTTTTGATGACTGTATATACACATGCACTTGAGTACCATGAACTTTCGCATTCATTGTTACATACGTTTAATGGTACTGAATGTAATTCATTATTTTCTTACTGCATAAATGACTGAAACAATTACTCTTACATAAGACAAAGTATGATACTAACAGAGGAAAAATTAAAATTATGTTATGAATATCTAAATATTTAAACGGATATCATAAATATGTGTGAATTCTGAAAAAAATGTTTTTGATTTAATATTTATATATATATATATATTTCCAGTCTACTTTAATTAGCATATGTAAACCAGTTGAAGCATTTATTTTAATTTTAGAAATTGAAGTCCTATACTATTCAATAAACAGAGTTTCAATTTCAATGTATTATATACAGGTCTTCCTAATATACATGTATTTATTTAAAACAATATACATTTCATAAATCTTGTATAAGAAATGAATTAGAAGATTATGTTCGTCACTTAACTTTGATGCTATTACAAACAAACCTGAGAATTGGATTTGATAAGGGTGATAGAAAATTTGAATTGGTAACTTTTGTATACTGTATCTCATTCCTCCTTTCTGTTTGTTGGTGTCACCATGGAAGTGATGGAAACCTTCAGCCAATCACAGCTCTGGTCTGCTAGGTCAAATAGCATGTGTGATAATAACAAAAAAATATGTAATAAGTCTTATTACAGTGATAATAAGTTAGTCATGTGATAGCTAGTTCATATGATTACATGCTGGGTGTTGTCAATGAAGCAGAAGTCGCTTACTCTTCCTGATCACCTGGTCTTATTCTCC